GCAGGGAGGGTTTTGCAGCCCAGGCCAGGCTGCCAGAAAGATTACAAGGTTGCTTTTGCGTGATATTGCTTGAAGAACAAACCCATCCCCGACTGCCTGGGAGGTATTGGTGGTGGCTCTGCGCAGCCTGGTACGCAATCTATTTTTATTTACATCCCTTTTCATTGTCACCAGGCCAAGATCCGGTCGACCAATATTCGGTATGCTTGCCCTGTCTTACCTGCCTTTCTCCCATCTTCAAGGGGCAAACTCGACTTGTCTACATCGCCAAGCAGTAGACAGTCAGATAGAGAGAGAGAGGTAGCATCCCAGGTAGGTTAGCAGGTGGTCTTCAGCATGTTGAGTTGGACGTCCACATCTGACTTTTTTTTTTTCCCCTACATGAGTTTTTGGCGGTTGTGATAAACTAGTGCCACATCACCTTGCGGGTGACCTAGGTGCGGATGGGACAGAAGAGTAATTGGATAACTTTGGGTGACGGATCGAGGGGGGGGATTGGAAATCTGTGTAGTTGTTGACTTGAGAAAGAACACATCCTTGCTCCATTCGGGAATTTTTGACGAGAACTGTCCAGCCAACCACAAGCAAAGGATGCAAGACAAAATCGTTTCTCATCTTTTCCAACACTGTTGCAAATTATGGTCGAATAAGCCCTACTTTCTACCTACTACAGTGCTTCAACAAAGTAGCTGTGACCCAGAATCGATGATGGCGGCTCATCATTTGTTCTCAATGATCGACCCGTGTCACCCGCCCCACTGTCACTACCCACCCCCAGCCGCTGGGCTTGTTCCCCAGGGTTGTCGCTGTGTCACACCACATAGGCTGCCCCCTCGCTCTGCCCTTTCACGCTGCGTGTCCTGCAATCTTCTGGGCCAGGTTGGGTGACACGCGCAGTCCCAGCAGGACGCGTGCGCGGGGGTCGTCGGCTAGAAGCTGGCACGAACCGCGCATAACAGCAGTCCGGCAAGAAGACAATGCATGCGATGTGTTCTAAGCACACCCAGGGTTGCGGATTGCCCATAGGGGAGCATTCACGAGCTGTATGTACAGTGCATTCACAAATCTCTGCCCACCTGCCTTTCCTCCCTTGCCAGCGAGCAGACGGATGACGGCTGCTCAACAACCCCCATGCAAAGTTACAAGGACGTCCTGTGGTGTACACTACATACTGTATGTACTGTATGTTTCGTTCTCCTCACCGCCAGCTTGTTTGTCATATGGTTTGAGGTGAGCAATCGACTCGGCGGAGCGGTGTTGGTGTCGAAAACCAACAACATCTTCCAGAGCGAAAAGGGACAAACCTGCTGCTGATGATTAGGGGCTCCAACACCAGCTAGTGCGCCGTTTTTAGGGTTTAGCGCATGCAGCAGACACAATCCGGACGTGCTAAAATGATGGCGTTGCAAGGTTGTTAAGGTTAACCAAACTTTAATCCGATCGCCCCGAGTGGAGCCTAGTTTAGGTCGTTTCGAGGCCTTCGGTCTCTTAGCAACGCACCACCTGGAACACACCAACGCAGAGGGTGCCACCGCGATAAGCCAAGCCAAAAGGCGACCGGCACTTTTTACTTACAGCTGAAGGACCCAATTATTTGGAGTACTGAGGCAAAATGTCCTACGACAGTTTGTTGCATGCACCACACTAAACCTATGATACGATCGCGTTCCGTATAAGCACTCAACTCCCTACATCCCAGAGGATGAGGGTGTTTTTCTTCGTTTGCCATGCACAGTAAACTCCAGAGATCACCCAAGAAAGGATCTGATCAGGAAGAGAAGACCAAGACTCGAGAGGTTGAAGGTTACCGCGGTACCCGAAGTCGAGGATGGCTCACCGGTTGCGCCGCAGCCGGGAGATGACAAGCCACTGCGCCGCTGGCTTGCGGGACGGCTGACGTCCATCATCAGGGGGCTCATGGATCCCGCACATGGAGATCCATCGAGGATTGGAGATAGCCGACACAGTGCTTGTCATCATCGGCTTCGAGTGCTTCTTACTGTGTGAGTTGAGGCAACCTACAGGAAAAACTTTGCTTGGAGTCGCCGATGTCAGCTGCAATGAAGCTGACCGACTACAATGCAACGTGGACAAAAAATATCGCGGAGATGTCCTTATGAAGTTGTTGTGCTTTTTGCCTACCTGCTCTGGAATCCATTACGGTGGGTGCAGCCCTAGTGCACATTCTATGGGTAACTGGGGGCCAATATTTCGCGCACCGTTACCCTTCGAGGGATGCGGAAAATACCGAACCCCACGCCTGTCCAGCACTCGACGAAACACACAGTCCCATCCTTCCCAAGCGCAATATCCTGCAGGTTCAAGGGGCCTTCTAAGCGGCTGAGTTCAGCTTTTGACGAGGGATAACGACAGCATTGGTGGGCTGACTGAGGTCACCCCCCATCCCTACTATCATGCGTTTGCCTGTTTCGATGCGAGCCAGTCTCTCACCCGTAAGCGGCAAGCCATGACCCCAGCCAGCGAAAGAGAGTCAGACAGCGCAGCCTTGACCGTGAGAGAATGAAGGCTCCCCCCCCCCCTTGAGCCTCAAATCGGGAAGTGGCACGCGCTGATGCCGGCCCTGCAAGGAACCAGCACACAACGGCGACTCTTTTGCGCCTTCACTACCACGGCGCCCTATCCTGTCCAAAGTGAAACGGCGCCATGATGGAACGGCCGGCCGTTGAGAGCTTAGACAAAGTGGCGATGCCGCGACGGGCGGACGGTATCTTAAGTGGAGTATGGACCTGTTCCGGAGACCAAGGTTACTTGGTGCGATGCGCCAATGTGGATGCACACACGTGAATGGCGCCGGCCGTTACCAGACAGGCGGGTTTTCAATTCAACAAAGTCACCGGGCCTGAAGCCATCCCCGGCAAGATCAGAAAGTGGCGACCAGAGCCGAAAGCCACATTTTGCCCCTGTGGGATTTGCGCCCATTGGCACCTACCAAAACCGGACATCTCTCCACAGATCTAGATGGCCATTTTGCGGAGGGGCTGCAGCGCTGTGCCAAAGTGCGGAAGCCTCTGGGACCTGCAGCAATTTGCGACTGCGACTGAGACTGCGGCTCACCCAGCAGCAGACCGAGCCCGGGCCCGGACTCTGGGTTTGCGCCGCCCGATGCGAGTAGAAATGCGAGAAATCTATCTGATATCGTCCCAGAGCTTGTTGCTGTGCCGGGAGTCAGTATTCGGGAGCCTTCGGCAGCACTTCCCGAAGAGAGGCAACGGGTCCGTGACCAGCCTTGGTGCACTCTTGCTCTCATTATATCTATCATTACGTTCAGTTGTAACCCATCATGTCATCAACTCGTCATTCTTTCTCACATGTTACTGACACTTAGTTTAAGATAAGACAGATCGCACTAGCAGAAAGAAGGCGCGATTTCACGTTTTCATTCCCACCTCCTATATCCTTCCCCCCTTCTCCCTCCCTTCGGCAGCCAATATCTATTTGTTTATTCAGCTCCTATGTCTCTTTGCTTGCTCTTAGGTTGTCAGTCCAGCAAGATCCCCAAGGCAAGATGCTGTCCAAGCCCGCGCGTCACACACAATAAAATGAAATTGGCGGAATCCAGCATAACGCAATGTCCCGATCAAGGCTGTCCCGTGTCGCACAATTTCCCGGAAAATGTTGCCGACAGAGCATGATGACTGTCCAACTGCGAGAAACTGCCTTGGTGGGCTCGAGTCCTGTGTCACCAATTATTTAATGTCGGCACCCCTGGGTTACTACCGCGAGACATGCCGCATGCCGTGCGCCTCGCTGTGTGAAGGATGCACATTGAAGATCACAACTAAACACTGACTTTCCGTGTGTGCGCGCGCAACCTGTACCTGCCTGACACATGCATCAATTTGATCCTGACTTGCTTGATTCCTCGTTTCGGGATGCGTTTGATAACAACTTCCTCGAATTGGAGCATTCTGGATCTCCTCGGCATTTGATGAATTGCAGAGACCTAATTTTTTGTGCTAGAGCTGAACCATCATTGAGGTCTTCTACATGCAAAATCAAAATCATCTGCGCCGTCTCGCTGCCAGGGGAAGGTGGCATCAATATCTTCCGTGGGATGTCTTTTTCGAGCCCCGTACGCTTTGGTTCATGATCTTTCGACTGAAGGTCGCGGCTTGTACTTGGATACTCTAGATCGTGTCACAGATGTGAGGAGAGCTTGGAGTGTTCTGAGGTAAACAAACCATTTTGTTTACTTGACTCAGGGGTAATGGACATTGGGTTCGGTCTGCCGGGAAGACTCCTGTTTCAACAGTTTAACCACAATAGCCTTATTGCCTTATCAACTTGGGTCGATGCAACCATGCACATCTGATTCATTACCTGAGCAATGATTCTACCTCTTACAAATGACAGATAGCCTGACCATCCAGCATTACAGACCAACACACAGAGTTGAAAGGCCAATCTTGCAACTAAATACACCAATAAAGTAATCAGGATAGAAGAGTATAATAAACCTCGAGAATTTGGTAGCAAAGGTAGCTCGCCCGAGTCAAATCAAACCAAGTTAAAAAAAAAAAAACAAGTGGGGGGGGGATGATTAAAGTAAGGCGGGGGTATCATTCCAGCACAATCTTGTCCCGAGTCCTCCTTCACTGTCCTTCACCTCTCCCATGTGCTCCAGGACTGCTGCTGTTCATCAACCAAAATAGGGTGGGGGCTGGGACAGAAAAACGGGGAATAAGCTGAGCAAAGCAAATCACCATCGCATCTGTCATCACTCACAACCTAACAAAGTCCTTGCTCTGCACCTACATCTTGCCATCATGACCCTCTGCCATCCAGTCTCCTTCTCCTTTCTGTAATTGTTATCGACTCAATCTGCAAGATAATAGACGCAAAACAGAGAAAGGAAAAAGAATAAAATCAAAACTAATAACGAGTAAAACCAAGGAAATGAAAAACAACAAAGGAAAGGCTTCAGCGCTCTGGTTCAATCAATCCAGTTTTGCTAGAGTATGTTCATTTTGGATCAGTCTTCAGTCATCCTCAAAGAACCCGGTGTCATCAAATTCTCCAGCCGCTTGCGCATCCGAGTCGTACGCGCTTGCCCGGAGCATCACGTTGGGCGGCGTGACTGGTCGAAGGGGCTGAGGGGCCTGAGGAATGAGTGAAGCAGTAGCCTGCATCAGCGGTGACAGCAGCTGGATCGACGGTTCAGCTTCCGTCGTCTGACCCTCAGCGACACGGTTAGAGACGGGGACGGCCGTCATTGACATTGCGGACGCTGACACTAAGGGGCCTGTCCGGTTGGCCAAGTCTTGAGGACCTGTGCTATTGAATGCCGTGGCCTGCTTGAAAACTGCTGCTTGAGCGGTCTGTTTGGTTTGCGAGGCAGGAGTCAGAAGACTTCCTAACAAGCCACTAGCGCCGCTGCTCGCCTGGGAGCTGCCGCTCTTAGACGGTGTAGAGTTCCGGGCGGGGGCAGGAGAGGAAAGCACGCTGGCGAGGCCGGCCTCCCTGGCCTTGCGCAAGCTGCCCCATGCGGCAGCCAAGGGGCCCACAGCCTGGGCTACGCGAGGAGTGCGGGCAGCGGCTTCGCGGATGGTGGCAGCAATGTTTGGCAGGCTGAGGGCAGAACCGCCGTTGAGGGCACGTTCGCGTTCTTGTTCTTCCATCTGGAGGTTGGCCTTGAGACGAATGGCAGCATCGCGAACGGCAGCACGGTCGAAGTTCTCGGTCTCGAGCGCTGTGATGATGTCCTGCAGGTCGGAGTGGCGCACAGCGAGCAGTTCGCGCAACCACATGATTTCGTCGTCGCGCTTGGCAATCTTTGTCTCTGCATCTGGATCGACCTTGGCAAGCTTGGTCTCGAGATCTTCGATGCGCTGTTCGCGCTCCTGCAGTTGGTCTTGCAGCACCATGATGGTCTCGCGAAGAGCCTGAGGAGAGATCTTCTCGGGCAAGCCAAGCTGGCGCGGACTGGGAACAGCCTGACCCTGGACTGACTCGGCGCCAACGGCGGATTTCGCGGCCTGGGCAGCAGCCCGAGCAGCCTCCTTGGCGATTTCCAGTTTCTCTTCCAGATGGGCCACCTTCTCCTGCAGACACTCGATCTTGGATGTGGAGATGCTGAGACGCTCCAGTAAGTTTTGCTCGGCTCTCTGAGCATCCTCGGTCGCGTTGCTGAGTTGACGCTCGTAGCGTGTCTGCATGTCCTCGATCTCGTTTTGATGCTTGCGCAGGAGGGCCTCGATAGCAGCCCGCTTCGAGGTTTCTGCCTCCTCGAGGAGCATCTCGTGGCGGGCCTTGGCCGTGTCGGCATCCAGCTTGACCTGGTCGAGCTGGGCCCGGAGCCGCGCGATCTGCTCTTCGTACTCCTCGCGAATGACGTTGACCTGGTGGTTGGCATTCTCGAGCTCGGCTTGCAGGGCGTCGCGCGTGCGTTTAATCTCCCGGGCGGCTGTCTCTCTGGCCTCCTGGAACTCGGCCTGGTAGCGCATGGCAGTTTGGTGGAGTTTATGATTCTCGTTCCGCATCTCAACCAGTAAGGCCTCGAGTCTTTTGCACTCGGCAACGGCGCGCATGCCCTGGCGCTCGCCCATTTCCAGTCGCTCTAGCTCGGTTTCAATACGCTCGCGGGTCCGCGCTTCAGCTTGCAGGCGAGCCTCCAGAACCTCTTGGCGGGACAGCAAGGCCTGCTCCCTCTTCATTCTCCTGGCGTTCTCTTCGGTAAGCTGGCGCATAGCTTGAGCCATCTCATCTTGCAGTGCAATGAACTTGGACCGCCAGGTATCCCGAACGCGCTCGTTCTCCTGGAGTTGGGTTCCCAAGGTGTCGATCAGTCTGTGCAAAGCCTTGTTTTCGTCAAGCGTCTGGCTGAGATCTTGCTTGTTCCGCTGAGCAATGGCCATAATACGGTCGACCTCCATGCGCCAATGCTGCGCGTCCTTCCTAGTATCCCGAAGCTCAGCCTCCAGATCATTGATACGGTTCTGCCACTCGCTCTGGGTCTGCTGGGCGCTGGCTTGGCTCCCTTCAAGCATAGCCAAACGCATCAGGGTATCACTCTGTGCGGACTCGAGTGCCTTGATCCTCTCATCCTTCTCGTTAGCCAGCTTGCGCAAGTGTTTCTCATCTTCAGATGCGACCTGAAGAAGACGCTGAAACTCGGCGGCCTTATCTTCAGCTGTCCTCCTGTGCTGGAGCTCTTTCTCAGCCTGAGACTCAGCGTGTTCTGCCCGCTCTTCGAGATCGTGGATGCGTTGATTGAGTGCACTCTTGTTCATCATCTCGACCTCGATCCTGGTCGTGGCAGTCTGGAGTTCGCGGCTGATTTCCGCGGCGCGGTTTTCGGCAGCCTGTCTGGCAGCAGCCTCGGCCTCTGCCTTGGCAGCCTCCTCGTGAACTCGCTTCTCCAGTTCAGCGATGCGAGCCCGAAGCTCCTTGACCTCCTCATCGTTGCCAACGGGAGGCGGCAGCAACGTTGGCATGCGGGTCTCCAAAACTTCGGACAAGATGCTCTTGATATCCTCGCTGCGAATAGCAGGCTCGGTTGGTTGTCTAAGCTGCTCCTTGACTTCCTCGAGCACTGCCAGAACTTCCGAGTTGTCGACAGGAACAGGAGTAGCCTCCTTTGCTTGGTTGCGACGCTGAATAGCAAGGGCGTCCAGAACCGCAGTGCGGATCTGCTCCATCCTGCGGTCGCGCCGCGGGCTGATGGAGCGCATCGTAAGCGGCATCTCGTCATCTTCATCATCGGCATCGCTTGTCTGGATATCGGCTGAGATACTGCGTCTGCTACGTCGGCTGGACGAGGGACGCCGCGAGAACCCTGCGAGCGAGTTGTTGATATTCTCCAAAGCCCGCTCAAGCGGCCCAAGTTTGGAAGCCAGCAGGTTGCCCACCACTTCGTTAACGCGGCGGTCAAAGGCGACCTGGTACTCAAGCTTTGTCTGCTCACCCTCGCTGAAAACGCTCTCCCAGTCGCTGTTTGGAATGCTGCGAGCGCCATTGAGGTGGTAAATGGGACCATCCGCACCGGAATGGATATCATGAGAAGGCTTGTCAAAGTACCCTTCAGCCTCGACTGGCTGGAGCTTACCAAGGCTTGGGCTGGGAGCTACACTGCGGATTTGTTCTTGAGGCAGGCGTTCGGCAGAAGAGTCTTCTTCCTCGGTAACAGAGCCAGAGTGGTGTTCTAGGGTCGGTTCCGGCTGCCACTCTGGTTCCACATCGTATGTCCTGTTGACGCCCATCTCTGGTTGCTCCTGCAGGCGACGCATGACCTCATCAATATCGGCCATGGTCGGCTCAGCAGGTAAGTCCCTCTCGTCGAGCTCGTCTCCTCCAGGGGCGAGAGACGGAGTCTCGGCAGTAGCAGGCGTAATAATGCGTTGTGAGCCCACAGCGTAACCAGCATCCTCAGAAACTGGTGAGGGAGTAGCGGCAAAGCGAGATGCGGCCAGGCCAGTCTTGGGCTTTGCCGAGGGAGAGAGCGAGGTAAATTGAGAAGCCGCGAGACCCTTGGGCGCAAGTGGTGACTGGGGAGATGCGGCAGTCGGCAGAGGAGATGGAGCCTCCTTCTTCGTCAGATCTTGCACAGGCTCGCAGGATTCTTCCTTGACGTGGGGATTCATTAATTCCTCCTTTGCAGAAGTATCCACGTTTCCCGCAGGTTCCGTTGGAGCAGCCTGCTTAACTTCACTGATCGAGGCCTCGTCAGCAGAGCTGGTCTTACCACCCCATGCTGTGGCTCCGGGCACGAAAGCTTCAGCCGTCGCAGAGAGTGATTTCTTATGGATATGCTTGGTGTTTTCAAAGGCAGAAGGCCGAGTGTCATTGAACTGTTGGACTTCAAGAGTACTCTTGAGCTCAGATGAAGCCCAGCTCACCGTAGGCTGGCCAGGAGATGGCTCAGACGGGGTGACAATTGGCTTGGTATCTGTGGTTTCAGACACCATGGTAGAAGCCATCGTGCCAAGGTGGGAGTCGTCGAACGACTTCTCTTCGACCGGCACTGGATCGTCCCGGGGAGCGGCGTCTGCGGAAACAATAGCATCCTCCTTGGGAGGCTCAGCAAATTGGGGTACAGTATCGTCCTTCTCAGCCGCAGCACGAATCCTCTTGACGCGGGAATCGTCAATGGGACGCCCATCTGGTCCTTCCTGGAGACCAATCGCAGCAGGAGCAGCTTCATCACGGCTCTTTGGACGAACGACGGGAATGGCCTTGGGCCTCTCGCCGGGCTTGACAGTATCAGTGCCGCTGAGATCAATGTTGCCAAAGATAGAGCTGGCCCTGTTGCTTCCACTATCCGACGTCATCGGGCTCGTCATAGCAGTAGAAACCGTATGTGGGGTGAAAGCAGGAGCATCCGGACGGAACTTGGGGCCCGACGTCGAGAAGTTGAACTCACTCTGACCGGGCGAAAATACGGGGGCGTTGGCATTGATTTTAGAGGATGAGCCAACGCGTGGCAGACCAGAATGGCTGGCATCGGCATTGTTGTTGAAGCCCATGTTGAACGACATAGGCTGGAGTGGGTTCGGTTGAAAAGAGAATGCACTGCTGAAGTTAAAGCTGCCAGTAGACGGATTGAACTTGAACTCTGGTGCCTCCACGTTGAGCTTCGAAAACGAGGGCTTGCTGGCATGGTTGGAACGGGCTCGGTGAGCAGCGTCGGCGGGCTTGTTTGACTCGGTGTCTGCCCATGGGTTGCCAGAGGATGAAAGCCCACGCTGATGGCTCAACAGGTTTGCGAAATCCAGGGCCTGGACAGGAGTACCAAGGCTGTTTGGGTTCATGATAACTTCATCATCCTCTCCAGGATGAGCGTTGATGCTCTGCAGCGTGGGCTTGAAAGGGCCTGCGTTGGCCGCATCCTCCTCCGTGAAATATCTCTGGGACAACGAATGGCCCCGGCTGTGCGGTCTGGGATGATGCAAAACAAGGCCTTCGGTGTTACTAGAGTAACGGGGCAGTTGGGGAGCAAGCGCGTCACCAGGCTTATCGTTCTCTTTATGTGGGCTATAATCCCTGTCATTCTCAAGCTGCGACCGCATCTGCTCCTCCAAGTGATATTCGGCTTCTTCAATCTCCCGCTGTAGGCTCTCGTTCTGGTTGGGACGAGGCAAGCCAGGATTGGGCAAGGGGGGATGAACGTCGTGTAAGCCTTCCTCTTCAACCTCACGTAGCTCCTGAAGACAAGGAGAGGCCCTAACTGGGGCAGGAGGGGGTGGGAATGGCAATGCGCCGAATTGCAGGGATTGATGACGCTGATGGCCCATTGGCATGCCGGGCACTCCATCTGGAGAGAAGGGCGAGCCGGTTGGCGACACGATCGAGGCGAGATTAGCGAGCGACGGTGATCCAACACGATGACCCTGCTGGAGCATCAACTGATGGCTCCACGCGTTAGGTGAAGCGACCGAGATTGACGCCCGAGGGTTGAATTTGACGCCCAACGGCACCGGCGAAGGCCCAGAGGGCATGGCAGGACTGGGAGCAGCCGAGGGTATGAAGGGAGCAGAGAAGGACAGAGGGGGAAGTGCTGGATTGCTCGTCGCAGAGCCGGGAGGTATCGGCGGGGAGAATGGTAGCTGGGGGTACTGGCCCATCGGTATCTGGCCCTTAATGCCAGGAACCGGGGAAATGGATGGCGCAGGAGCTGGAGGATCGTTGGCGGACCCTACGCCCAGAGCACGGAGCTTCGCCTCGTTCAATTCGTCGACGTAACGCTTCCAGGCTACAGCGCTCAGTTAGCATCACGAGCTTGCGATCTGACAGTGACGTTGTGTAGCACAGCAGATTGACCTACCATCTAAGTCCGGAAGAACAATCCTGAAGTTCCTATCTTGATGCTCCTGTCTCATCTCCGCAGGATCGGGCCAAAAACGCTTGCTTTGTGCCTCCGCTGAGGCACCAAACTCGTCGGGCGGCCCATACAAATCAAAGCCTCGGATATTGTAGCCGAGACTCTCCCAGCGGTGAAGCAAGGCAGCGACCTCTTCCTCAGAAAGAGGGATAGGAGGCTTTCCTGGCTTACCACGGTCCTCGTCCCTAGGGAGCAACACCATTACGCTCTTACCCCTCCATGGCACCCTCTTTTTCACCCTAGGCGACGAAGGTGGTGCTACTGTCGCCGTTGTTACTGCCGCTGCTGCTGCTGCTGCTGCTGCCAGGGACTTCTTTGCAGAGGCTCTTGCGGGCGTCGTAGGCGCGGCAGCATCGCCATTGGCACTGCCATTGAGCACGCCATTGGTGGCGTCTCCGGTACCGTTGGCTGGCTTTGCAGTCGGGTCAACACTGGGTGTGCGAGGTCTCTGAGCGACAAACGGAGGCTCCAAGAACTTGCCAGTTTGGCCGACAACAGAAGTTGAGCCGTCTGAGCGGTCTCCGGCAGGTGTTGAGTCCGACGCAGCCATATTTGGGGTGGCAGCCTCTCCTTTCGTCTTTTTGGGAGCCACGCGTTCCTGGGTTAAGGTCTCGCTGCTCGATTGTCTCCAGAGGCCGGTAGTAGACGGTTGGCGACGACGCCTAGTCTTATTCTTCTTCTTACGACTATTCCTGGGCGTGTGGGCGTCGTCGTCGTCGTCGGCGGAACCCAGCCAGGCAGCCTCCTCGCCGGAGAATGAATCGCTCAGTGAAGAGGTATCAGTCTCTCCGGAGCCGTCGCTGAACCAATGTCGCCTTTCCTTGTCGTGATCGGTGGCGCCAAGGGTGTGTTGGCGAATCCAGCCTTCAGTGATGCCGTGGGCAATACGCCGTGCCCGGTTTGCGAGGACGGCGGCAGCGGCGCTGATGCCCTGGAGCCGTAGCTCAGGCTGGGACTCTTGTTGTTGGACGGGGGGCGGCGCAGGACGGAGGAAGGGAGTCTCGAGCTCGAGGCGGTGAATGGGCTCGTCGTCGGAGCCTTCGCTGTCAAGACTGTGGCTGCTCGGTGAGCTCTCGCTACGCAGGTGGGGCGGGTACGGCGAACCCCAGATGCAAGAGCCAGGAGGGTCAGACTGCTGGTCTTGCTGGTCTTGCTGGTCTGTGGCTTCGCTGGCCTGTTGCTGGGGGGCAGCGGCTCCGCTCTGGGGCGCGGCAGGACTATCCGGCGGGGTCCTCAACAGGCCGAGGACTCGGTCGGACAGCCTGGGCACAGGCAGAGGCGGAAGCTCGGGAGAAGCCTCGCCGTCGGCCGTGGAAGCGTCCGACAGGGCCGGAGACGCAGTCGGCGATCGGTGTTCTGGCCGGGAGCTGGCAATCCTGGCGATATTGGCCTGCGGCAGCGCCGGATGGGACTTGGGGTTGAAAATGGGGTTGGGATTGGAGTTGGGGGGTTGCGGCGACAACGTTGAGGACGACGTTTTCACAGGATTTCTGGATGGGCAAGATGCGGGTCAGTAGAGCCTTCGCCGGGCTATTTGGGGCTGCTGGGGCTGCGGGCCAGACATCCAAACAGACAGGATGGCCAGGCCGGGGATCGGCGCCCGTCAGAGGCGCTGGCGTGTGTGGTGTGAGGCTCACCAGGCGAGATCAGCACAGACGAGCCGGATGTCGACTGTCGTCTGCCGCTGATGCTCAGTCTCGCAACTCCACAGTCAATCAAGAACAAGGACACAGCAGGCACAGGATCAGGACGTGTGCCTTCCCCCGCCTGCACGGTACATACAACACCCGAACGATGTGTCGATGTGTAGTGTCCGTGCCTGTGCTCCGCAGTGCACCTAGGGGGCCCAGGATGGCAAGTTGGCAACGTGGTGCCGGGAAATGATAGCCAAGGATATGTCGTTGATTTGTCCCTGGTTGGACGCGACGCGTGTCCGGCTGGGTGTGGTGTGGGCGTGGTCGACGATGCGGATGCAGGTTTGATACTTGATTCGAGAGGGCCCGACAGGGAAACCAAAAAAACAGGGGGTTCGCGAAATTACAATTGGTAAGGTAAACCTTAAGGTGGTAAGAAAGCAGTAATGCAGCACCTATGGTAAGGTGCTATTCGCAACTGCACCCCGCGTGAATTAAAAGAGCAACAGGTAGTCGAAAAACGAAAGACCAAGAGTTCCCAGGCCCATCAAGACACGCACTTGCTGCCACAGCTCAACGGTTGAAAGAATACGCAAGAATGGCCGACTTGCCGACACAGGATAGACAGGATGCTCTGATGGGTTGTCAAAGACCAGAAAGTAAGACGAACACACGATAAATGCACGCTCGGCTTGTGGTTTGACTCGCCAGCGAACGGTGGGAAAGCAGCCAAGATGGATGTCTTTGTTGGCAACAATTAATTTTTCTGCTTGGCCAAGTTGATGAGATGGAACTTGAAAGGCAACCATTCCATAGCCAAGCAGCCAGCCAGCGAACCTGGCTGGATGGAAGCGCCGCCCCCCTGCACGATCCACTCACATGCTCTTTGACTACAGATTCGGCCAATAGTGATAATCCCCAGGGCATGATGCTTTGCTGCCATCGCTGTACCTGACCGTTGCATCCAATTGCTGCAAACGCTGCACTAAAACACTCCTCATCTCCCTTGCCTCAATATAACTTGCGACAAAAATCGGTGCCGTGAATAGTACAGTCTCTATATTAGTAGAGGCGTCAAGCAGCCGACCCCAATTTTTCTTGCCGTTTGCGACAGTTGCCTAGTGATTCAGCCATAGCTTTAGTTAGGTATCACGGACGCGCCCGCGACGCGCCCCTCCCGGCATCTCATCTGCATGCACTTCTGAGCATTTTGGGTGCTAACCCACGAGTCCCGCGCTCGGCTGTCTGGCCTGGCAACGTGGCATGCATGTTCCCTGGACAGTGGTCATCTGGGCCTGGGAACTGGATGCTGGGCTAGAAGCCTTCGGAGCCACCACGTGGGGGGCTGCACGGACTGCGGACCAGCGCCGATATGCTGGCGCTCGGTGAGACCCTTGGTCTGATGTCCGTCATTACTTCAGGCCCAAATTATCGGATTCAGGGCCCAGTCGCAACGAAGGTCGCTGCGCTCCAGGACAGATCTCGAGAAGCAGAAGAAGCACAATAGAACACAATGGAAACTCGACGCTGTCCAGCCCAAGCCAAGTATGGTCAAGGCTCGCGGACTAGTAAGGCTATTGGCTGGTATAGCACAGCTATTATCATTGGAGGACTTGGAACCGCCAAATACGTGGTGCAGCAGGTAAGGAGGATGTGAAGGCTGTGAGGAGCCTTTCTCAACGGACCTATACCCAGTTTGGGACAGCTATGTAAAGGAATGCATTAATATTTTTGTTATTTCGCATGCTTACCTGCCTTGGAAGTTATATATACATCCTCTACCCCGTCTACCTCGCTGTCTTAGTCCAGAAGCTTTGGATGGCCAAGTAGACCTTGTCCACGATAATGGGTTGGAGCCGGTCAGAAAGATGACTTTCCTCCAGTCAAATTCTTCAGCACTTGATTGGTGTTCCGAGGACCCAGCTGCAGCTGACGTTTAGAATGTATTCAAACACCAACTCATCGAAAATCTTGGTAATTATACGCCTGCCGATCCCAACCAAAACATCAGACCATGTCCTATCCGAAAACAGGACCAACCTAATCAAATACATTGAAAGAAATATAGGCAGTTTTCTTGAATTCTACCAAGACTGTTCATCAAACACCATCATGGATCACAGAAAAAATCATACTCTGCACTTGATCCAACAAACACCGGAAATGAGGTGACTGTTGCTGCAGCTGCCACGCTCTTACACCGTTCTGTGAAGCAACCGATGTTGTTAGCCGGATGTTAATTTGAACGTAGATACGGGAACTAAATCAAGACTTGAGCCAAGCCCCAAAGAGGGGTGCGAAACTCAACAAAGAGGTAGAAATATAAGAAGTTGAAGCATCCAAAACAAGTCAATAAACCGTCGATGAAGATAAGTGATAACGACTTACCATTTTGCTGGTCGCAGTCTCCGACCTTGAAGTTTGCAGACCCGTTGTTGGCTAAGTCTGCGCAGGCATTCTTTTGTCTGTCACAGGCTCTCTCTGAAGCTGAACGGAAGTCAGGCTGTGAAGCAGCAGCACGTTAGCCCCGCTCCTCTATCCTTCTCCCGTGTCCTTCGGGGTGAGCTTCGATAATGGCGATGATGGCATACAAAGGTATCTCCATCCACCTCAAATGGTCGTTCTGGATCACCCGAGTTCGTGATGGCTGGCGCTGGGACTCCTCCGAGGGCCCCTGTGAAGGTCTGAAGATTAAAGCGACCAACTGCTTGTCGGGGAAGAATCGCGCTACCGCTGAAAAATAATTCACCTTGTCTTCGTTTCGCAAAATCGATGGCTGGAGATACCGACGCTAACGCTGTAAATGCCAGATTGACGGTGAAAAAAACGAAGACATCGAGTCTCATTGTGGGTGTAGCGTTCAACCTAGACGAGCATAGAGCACTGTGGCGTAGAGGTTCCGTAAAGATGGGATATTTGGCGTCCAAACTATGCCTGCGTTTTTGGGGCTTGTTCTCTACCTGAAGATTGATAGTCAAGTGTGAATGGACATCAGGAGCATCATCAAGAAAGCCAACAGGACAGTTATTGGAGACTTTAATTCTGTTGTTAGTTTTATATTCGTGCCGATCTCCGCACGGTCCCTAACGCTATTGCTCCATAATCCAAGCAAACTGCCAGAGAGGACTATCTAATAGCTAAGTGCCGACGATGAAACTATCATGAGACAGATGCCATCAAGCGCCGAGTCCCCCAGGGGTGTAAGTCATGTTGGCCACGTGACCGGAGATCTGCCGAACCGGCTTATCATCGCTGGGGGTCGAGGCATTCACGATTTTGTTGCACCATTGGTTAATGAGTAGGTAAGAAGACAGCTGATGAAAAAACAATTACAAGGTTTGTTGGATGAGTGTTGTATTAAAATGTGCTACAGGGCGCTAGCTATTTTCGTGATCCTGCTCTCACGGACAAGACACCGGCTGAACATCCAAACCTGACCCAAAACCTCCCATGCGACGGAAGAGAAGGGCATCCGATCATGAGACGAAGAACAAGAAGCAAGTGTCATTCGTCAAAGTCTTCCAGTTGTCCATCTCGTCGGACTATTCGCCGGCTCACGACGGCGTCGAACAAATACCCAAGAGCCAGAACGCTGTACAAACACCATCTCAAATGAGCTCCAAGATACGCACTTGATTTTCGAAACATTGGCGTATGTCGGAACTTTGAGACGACATCTTCCTCCGCCCAAATGACATTAAGGCCGGCTCTGGCCCGAATGCTTGCCGATGCCCTTTCCCAGCACGATTAGCCCTCCACCTAACTATGAACCCTGACTTGCCCGTAAAAAACGACAAATGGTTGAAAATGCCACAATATAGATCCCGTTGAAAACTCCATAAACAGGCTTTCCCGTATGAGACGCATGCTTAAATCGACAGAGAGATGACCCAGAGATGAAACCCGGCACGACAATGACGACGACGAAACCCCATTAGTTATACCGCAGAGGGAACCGTTCGCTTTTCTTTAAAAATTCGATGCCTGGTTCACGTGTGTCGGCGCGTGGTAGCTCTCAAGCGTACTCTGGAAAGGAGTGCGGCCGCTCAAGGAACCGCCTGATTCAGGCTTCTCAACCGGGCTGCCGTAATCCATCAGCACTTCGTTCTCTTCCTGGTTGCGGCGGCGGCCCCAGATCCTCCAGACAACAAATGCCAGGCCGCCGAGAACAATGGCGCCGCCGATGCCGACAACGACGCCAATCACAGTGTTGCGCGTCTGGGTTGACATGCCCGACTCGCTCTTGCCATCGTCGCTATCTGCGAGATCGGGGGTTTGCGTGGTGACGACCTCGTGGGTCTTTGTGACCTTTGAACCATCAGTGTTGGTGATCGTCTCATAGTAGGTACTCGTGATCGTAGTGGGCGTCGGTTTCGGCTTCTCGGTCTTGTCAGTGATTGTTGATGTTTCCCCTGGTACGGAGGATGTCCCAGAGTCCGTAGCAGTTTCGGTAGGCGACGTCTGCGCATCTGTGGGGGAAGTGGTCGTCCGGGTTGCGGTCGTCTCTTCAGTCGATGTTGGTAATGAGGATGTGCTAGAAGTCTGAGGAGGAGAACGGGTGCTGGTTGGCAATGTGGGCTCAGTTGTTAGCGTAGGAAGGGCAGTGGTGAGCGTGAGGGTCAAACTATCGTTCCCCTCGTCGTCATCCTGCCTGCGCTGAAGCGACCTCTTGTGGCGGCTGTCGCGATAAATGTTGACATAGGTGGCCTCAGCAACAGAAGCGGCCGAAAGGCCCACAATGAGGAGCTTGAGCGCCCCCCTTAGCTTCATCGTGACAAAATTCGGCGTGTGGCCGATCTAGTCGGTGTCCGCAAGTAGTCGTCGCGAAACGTCAGACGGTCAAAGTAAGAAACGAAGCGGCGACTCGGAAGGCACTCCAAGCTGGCGCTTCTCTTAATTCCGCCGATGAGTTGATACGGTCGGGTACGGCCAACTGTTTGTCGCAACTGAATTTGCGAGTTTGTTGCCGCTGTGTGACTCGCCCAAAATGAAACACAGCACAGTGTCTGGTGGTTGTTGACAAAGACCAACGTGTTAAGGAGAGGTGAATGTGAATGGGAAAAAGGTAAAATAAAGAACCAAAATAAGCAGCAAGCGAGAGCGGAGAAAGGCTGGAAAGAAACGAGTGAATTTGGGAGTTGGCTTTCAAGGTGGTAAGGTCGTCACGGAGAGTAGGATGGCGAGAGGACGATGGGCCGACGAGTGAGAGCGTTCTCTCGCGGTCAGGTCGGTTCACTGGCACCAAAAAAAGCAGGGGTTCAATCTCAGGAGAGAGGGCTCCACTTGATCCCCTTGGCTCGTATCCCGAGCTAGCCTGAGGGAGCCAGCAGGTCTTGGCATGCAAGTGGAGAGTATGCTTACGTTCTCTTGTAACAATGCTTCCCTCTGCCCGGCTATCGATAAACTAGATCTACACACGTTACACGGTGCAAAACGATGCCATCGCTGTCTATATTAACCCGCAACGAAAGAAAGTTTTGGTAATCAATGGAGGAGAAGCTTGAGCTTGGGCCTCCAGGGTCGCATTTTTCGCCTGCCAGCTAATGTTTCAACCCTTCTGGAAGTGGGGCGAACCCATTTGGCACAGTGGATCGCCGCCAACCGTTTTGTTTGCACAAAAAACACCCATCCCATCTCGCCCTCGGCGTCATGCATCTGGGCAGCACCCTTTTCAAGATTTGATTTGATCAGAACTCTTCGCTTTTTAGAGAACTACCATTTCCCTTGCTTGGATGCGTTGCGAGCATTCATCACCAGTGGTTATCTAGAACATTTCCTAGCTATGCATATACGACTATGGGTTGTGGACGCCAACCTTTCCCTCCTAGTATCGGGCCTTTCTAGGATGAAGTGCCGACCTAAAAATAGGCGTTTTCTATCGGATCGGATTCCAAGGTACATGCCAAGGAATACCCTCGCAATGGGCGCATGACGGCCTCTTCCATAGCCTACCAGAGATGGTGTTCTGTTCACCCATATGCTAGCTCTCGGTCGGTAGGTTGTTAACGATGTGCTTGAACACGCGGGGCTATCCCAAGAGGTTGTGCAACCTCCCCATCTTGCTGGAAATCGCCTATGGACCATCCCGGTTCCTCCGACGTGGGATACGTCGGCTTGACCTCAGGTGGCCATGCAGTGGGAGGATTTACAAGAACAGTCCCACACGCGCGTGAGGGATAGGGCGCGTATCAGCGAGTCGTAGGTACCTAGCTAGGTATACCTTGTCCTTTGTGACTGCTATGACTGAAGTGTCAGAAGCCCAAAACAAACAAAGTTTTATTGGTCTCGTGCAAAAACAGGAGCAAAAGAAATACTCAATGCAAAGATGTTGAAAATTGGTCGAAGTCGCGGTTTGCCAGCTGACTGACAATGTTTTATCATGGTTTCCCGATCGCTCGGACGCTCAAGCGGAATCTTAAAAGATGTAGGTAGATAGGCACTCTGTGCAGTTACACGGCATTCTCAAACACCCTTGCTGGACCTAACGAGACATGATTTAAACATAGGTAAGCCAAATAGACGACGGGCTGGAGTTCTCATAGCGAGCAGTGAGAATTGCTCCTGGAGGAGCGGGATATGGGGAGTTTTGGTGTCAGTATTGAAAAGCTACCGAAGACGCTGGGCAATCCCATTGAAGCTTTCGATTTCGATAAAAGGGAGGTCCTCTTTTGTCTATCTTGGGTCCAAATGTACGTCTGGCCTCTGCTTCAGTTTTTTATTTGCGTTTTGGTTCTATACTTTTTGGGGGTCCTGGCTTTTCAAGTTTGGCTCTGTATGGCATACGGTGTGTTGTGTTTATGAAGTTTAACTTGTTATCAGCATGCCCACTAGGCACCTTGCACTGTCACAATTTTCTACGTTTGTGGCCATGCCTGTTTTGGGTGGTTCAAATCTTGAAGATTATCTTTTTGGAATTAACGAGCGTATGTTCAAGGTTCTCCTTAGAGGGTGTTTGACGGCCATGCCTAAGTGACTCAATATGGGTAAACTGTTGGCATGGATTAAGAAATGAGCGCTTTGTTTCGCCGTCTATAGGATAAACTAATAATCTCTACCCACTTACAAAAGTCCTTTTGTGAGCCATTTTCATCTACGCATTTCAGTGGACTTGACGACTACAACTCCTGGAATTGGCCTCGGCAGAAACTTTGTAAGTTCATATTCTTCCATGCGGTCCTCCAAACTTCCAGGGAGTAAGATATATAACAAGTGTTAGTATGGAAGCTGCAAAGGGCTAGCCTAGAGCGTCTATAGCTTAGATAATAAGTAAGCTTATCAGAAACGGGTCGTTCAAAAAATCTCCCTGAACATTGATGACAACAGTCTTGGTGCCATCATTAGCAGCTACCCACATGTTGCAAGTTTCCATTCCTTTGTTATTGTGAGTATGTAGAAGATGTTGATGCATAGAAGGTGGTTGGTAGTGCACTATGATTTGGGGCCACTTGTCACGGTTAACAATGACTATCTGGGAGAGTAGCTTCCGTGCAACTCACTGATCGGAGTAGAAGGGGGTTATGACCCATCGAACTCGGATATCCGCTCCCAACAGCCGAACATTGGGAAAGTATTCCTCAACACCCAAGGATGTTGACTCTCAGCAGTCTGTGCTGTTGAGGAAGAAGGAAGGGAAACCACAAGAATGCATGAGATGTATGTAGATTCCAAGTAGGGCCATCTGGCCCAAGAAAACACTCTAGTCACTAATACAACAGTTGCTTACCAACTGGTGACCACAACGGTCACTTTGGTTTTGTGAGAACTCCTGTCTCTCAATCCAGCAGCCTGGAAACCATCGAACCCATCTCAGGAGGTCTGTCTGGGTCGTTACACCACCGGTCCGAGAGTCCGCATGGACTATCTCTTTCGTGTTTCGCACTCCACTTCGAATGTTTCAAGTGACCAAAGTGTTGAATCCGAATTACTCCAACTTTCCTGGCTCACTTCTATGCCATAGGTGCAACGGATTATTAGTAAAGCTGGGTACATCCAACTGAGCAGCCAAAATTTTGACACACTCGAATTCCAGCACCATAAGCTGTATGCATATGTGTAAATGTGATGATATCCTTCACTAGGCTCACAACGTTTAGAAGCAGGAGTTGGAAACAATGGGTGATTATCATCACGTATGATGCTTCTGTGGGAATGAGACAATCAAATTACCACAGTAAAATACCAATGTCACGGAAAACTCCAAGAGATTGCACAGTCTCACACCTGTTCAAAAAGCCAACTACCAAGTAGCACATGCTAGATGGGGGTTATCTTCGTCACAGTGAGCCAACTTGCATCGAATTGACAGAAGGGTTGGAGTATGTTCGTGTACGATATCCACTTAAAATCGTAGGAAAATAACAAGATGACACTTTACAAACCGGCTGAATCCTTAAAATTTTAATCTTCAATTGTATCGGCAATCACGATTGTCACCAGCGCGACATTTTGATTGGCATAACATGATACCTGATAATGTTAAGAAACGGGAGCCTATGAGATGTTTTGTACGGTTAAAAAGACAAGTGGCGTTAGAGGATGCGATTACCATGGCAATTATATTTCAGAGAACTTACATTGCTGTAGCGTACTCGTAGTTTTGTGACCACAGAAGTTTTGCCGGCCTCTAAATCTGGAAGCAACGTTCCCTCGAGAGACAGGGTCCAAGTTGTGTTTTGATACAGATGACTCAGGTAGACATGTGGGAAGGGTCACAGCATAGAATCATAAAGCACCTGTATGACTTACTGAGTGAGCAGCATCGAATAAGCAGTAAAGCAGTGGCCTTGGAAGCTTTCCGCATGGCGCTGGACTCGAATTTGTTGTTTCATAGCTCTGCTGATCAATGACACGGACGAGAACAACAACCCAAGGCTGAAAGGAGTTGTCAAGAGCCAAGGGAAAAGGGCTTACTAGCAGGGAGCCCCGCCCCATTCCATCCATCATGGGTGAATGCATTGCGGGCCGTTACCTCGGCGCATAGCAGGACCCTGCAGAAGCACTGCTGCACCCGCCAGGAGGCATCTCTCTGGAACATCAACACATGATGGGTGCTCAATAACCAACTGTTCCCCATTTCCCCCGATTACCTCTCTTTCGAGCCATCGCTTTACCTTGACCTTTGGTTTTCGGAGAACATAGTTCGAGAAAACCGGTTGTTGATCCTTTCCTCCCCAAATTTTGGCATTTCTCGATTGGTGCAGTTCCTTTTAGCGAGATTGAACGAACTGATTGGCAAGCTGTTTCACTCCTAAAATACCGTTTCCAACTGGTTAGAGCAGCTTCGAAACTCCGTCTGTATTATTTCTAGCTACGATGCCTTTAAGGCATGGCTTTTTGTTTCATTCATCGATTTGGTAGTTTTGTCTCGGGAACTGCTTGAATCAACGGTATTCTGAGCTTAGAGTCCGAGTTCTAAGGCCCAGAACCGGAAAAACTTCAAGTCCCCGCTAGGGTTCCCAATGCCAGAGAGGGTACGGAACAGGGCCGCCCCAGAGGGATTGGTGACTTTGGATATCAAAACCCTAGGATTCAAAGTCAATCCCGTCTGCGAAAATCCCTTTCGCTGACATGAAGCTGGCTTTCCTGAGGTCTCAAAATATTCAAAATATTCTTTCCCCTCCCCCATCCTCCTGATTCCTTAGGCGGGTAAATTGATTTTTTTTCGTTTGGGCTTTTTCCAGCCCAGAAACCAGCCACTGAGAGCAACGTAGGCCAGGTTGTAGCTCCAATGCTCCACAAGCCATCCATAGGGCTCAATGGCTCCACCCGCTAGGCATGGCTCCACCCACTAGGCAGCGCCTTTACCACGGTAGTGTGGAGATGCCGAGGCATTCAGATCGACAAACCAGTTGCACCAAGAAGAGCCTCATAAACGCTGAGGAGATCAGGTTCAGCCCTGTAAGACGACAGCCACGACAACGGGCAGCCCATCTTTCTGCGTCAATCAAAATACTTATGCGCGCAGGCAAGACGGACAGAGGCGACGAGAGTAGTGCATGGAATCGACGGCCAACACCCTGATGGAGGATTCAGCGAGATATGGTGTCAAATAGGAGAATGATGTGATGGCCAAGCGAGCGCGGGTTGGTACCATTTCTCCAGTTCTCCAGGCAGCAACTGTGAGAACAGACTTTTCTGCGAGCTCTGGTTGGCTGACTAGCCATCACCCAACGGTCTACCTGGTTCAACCATGGAGGGCTTGGGATGCAGAGAACTTCTGCATTCTCTTGGCAGGGACGCCTACCATGTTGGGATATTCCTTGCGACAATATCGCCACAGCACGCATATCTGCGCCCCGTTGCCTGCCGCCAGTACGTTGCAGAAGGATTCGTCAGGAAATAAACACATTATGGGACGAGGGAACATCCCGGCTGATGGGATGGGCAGAGAGAGGAGAGAAGAGAGCGGGGGAGATGACCAGAGCATGGACGATTGCCTGTCTCGAGCTACTTCAACGGAACGGATGCCGTAGCTGTTTGCCATGGTCCTTCTGTCAGACATGAAAAGGGCAGTATCTTCGCTGTGTTATTTGCCCAGAAGCGTTGGGATGGCCCCTGAGGATGTGTGTAAACAGTGCTGGGGACGAAGAACCAGAAGGGTTGCTTCCGGGTCTGGTTGGCGCTCAGCGGTCTGTCGACTCAACAGCGTTTCATTGAGACTGTCCTCATAGCACGAAAGCGGACTATCCGGTCACTTTTCCATACCCACCTAAAGCAGGTTAATCTCCTTTTCTTTGCTCATGCTGTCACTAAGTGGATATGTCAAGCTTGGGGGTGGGAAGCAATCCTGGTGGTGGTGGGATCAGGACAGGGGAAGTATCCCCCCGAGAACCCGGCCACTCCTTCGATGCCGTTGCTTCCCAGATGGACAAACTATAAACCTACATTGCCCCGAGTCTGTTCCGCGACTCTAGGTTCTATCCCACCACGTCAACACCAAAAACCAGACGGCGTGCTCTCCCTCTGCTGCAAGCGTCTCGTTTGCGTCCTCTCGTTGTGTGCTCTCAGCACCGCCTGTCGCTCCTTATCCATCACTCCAGACGGCCATCCTTGGCCTAGAGTCTTTCTTTTTGTGTATATCCCGTCCACTCCTTTCCAGATTTCTAAGTTTGAACGCCGTCATGTTCACCAGATCTGTGGCCGTGGCCGCTCTGGCCGCTCTCCCAGCCCTTGCCACCCCTGCTGTCAATGTCTACTGGGGCCAAGCAGGCAACGTCCGTCTCCGTGACTTCTGCGACCAAGACGGCTTCGACTATGTCACCATTGGTTTCGTCAATCAGTCTCCAGAGAATGACCCGTCCGGCCTTGGATACCCGGGCACCAACTTCGGCTCTCACTGTATTAGCGCCTACTATAAGAATGACAAGGGTGACAATTCGCCACTCCTCAAAGAATGCGGTTTGATTTCTGCCGACATCAGGCACTGTCAGAAGAAGGGAAAGAAGGTGCTGCTGTCTATTGGCGGCGTGTATAGTTCTCCTGGTGCGGATTACAGCATCTCGAATGCCCAAGCTGGCCAGGAATTCGCAGACTTCGTCTGGAACGCCTTCGGCCCATACAACCCTCAATGGACACTCGCCGGAAAGCCAAGGCCCTTTGATGACTACTACGAAGGTGCTGATGAGGGCGAGGAGTACTTTGTCTTTGATGGCTTCGACTTCGATATTGAGCATAAGTTTGGTAAGTCCTTGAGTCCAACGTCGCAGTTCTTGGGTTGAGTCACCATCGTCATCATTGTAGCGCAGTTCATAATGCTGACTGATTTCTCACAAGCCGACCCAAGTGGCTACATCGCTATGGTTCAGAGACTCCGTGAGCTTGCCGCCAGCGATTCAAGCGGCAAGAAGTATCTCATTACGGCGGCCCCTGAGTGCCCTTTGAACGACGAATGGGCGAAGATGAAGCCGATCATAGCCTCTTGTGAGTTCGATGCTTTGTTCGTGCAATTTTACAACAACCCACAGTGCCACGGCAACAACATCAACTTCGATGCTTGGGCTTCATGGCTCGAGACCACTAAGAGCAAGAATGCCAAGATCTTTATCGGTCTCCCTGGTTCTGCCACGGCCGCTTCAGGTTATCTTGACCCCGAGGACGCTGTCACCCAGATCAATAAGTACAAGAACAAGGAGGCTTTCGGAGGTGTCATGGTGTGGGACGCCTACTACGGCAGTGAAGTCAAATACGGCAAGACTTTCTATAAGTATATTCGCGACTCCCTTATTCCTCCCGCAACTACCACCACCTCGAGCGTGCTTCCGACAGCCACCCCTGTGTGTGTAAAGTCGTATACGGTCAAGAGCGGCGACTATTGTTATGACATCGCCAACCGTTATGGCTTGGACTTCCATGAGTTGCTGGAATACAACAACTTTGACGCCGAATGCAGGATTGAGATCGGTCAGGTACTCTGCGTCCGGGTCGGCTACCCTTCGCCTGCGTCAACCACGACCATCATCAGCAGCAGCGCCAGCGCTAGCGCGACCTCGGTGACTAGCACCAGCACTGTCAGCACTGGCACCACTACAAGTACCAGCGTGACCAGCTCCTCCAGCACGACCAGCGCGACCAGCTCCTCCAGCACGACCAGCACGACCAGCTCGAGCACGTCTACGTCAAGCTCCTCTTCTGTTGCATCTTCCACCAGCGCCATAGAGACTACTAGCAGTACCTCAACGTCAACAGTCAGCACCACGACTACCGATGATATTGTTTATCCTACGGACGATGCTACGTCGACCCAAACTACTGCTAGTGATTCCGAGGAGTTTGCTACCAACACCAGTAAAAATGCTGCGACGGTGACCGAGTCATCTGCCACCACCACTAGCACGGATACTGCTCTCCCAGCCACCGACGATCCCGTGACCAGCACGTCTATTTCCAGTACAGCCACTTTGGCTCCTGATGTCTCTTCAACCACAAGCAGCGCCGGGGCTGGCAGCACTCCTACAGATGACGACGACGACGAAGAAGGTGATGACGAGGAATATTGCGATGATGAGACTAGCACCACAGAGACTCTGCCTTCGGCCACTCAAACTCTCGTGCCTGGCGTGTCAACCTCGACTGCTTCATCCACTGGTGCTGTCGAAACCACGACCTCGGATAGCGCGGTTGTAACAGTTTCGGACGAGCCTACCACCACAGGCTTTGTTGAGCCTACGGGCATTACTTCTGATGAACCTGCTGAGACTGCCTCAGGCGAGTCGACTGCCACTGCTTCGGGAGACCCCATTATCACGGCCTCTCAGAGCTACACGACCTCCACCATTTACGCCACAACAACTTACACTGTGACGTCGTGCGAGGCTTCTGTGACGGACTGCCCGGCGCGCGTGGTCACCGAAACCATCGCAATCTCTACAACAGTTTGTCCCGTCACTCCTACCGGCTCTGAGACGAGTGCGATCGAGACTGTCTCTTCCGAGACCATTGCTCCGAAGACTAACGAGTTGCCGGCTGGCTGGACGACCTCGACAATCTACTCCACCAAGACGTATGTTATTACAAGCTGCCCTGTGACGGTTACGGATTGTCCCAGCAAGATTGGCCAAGTCACGACCGAGGTGGTGGCTGTTACCACGACCGTCTGTCCGATTTCAGAGGTTTCCTCTTCTGCTGTGGTGACCGAGTCGCTGGCCATCCCGACTGCAGTTGCGACAAAGGGTGTTGAGGATGAGTCTGAGGTTGACACAACGTCGACTGTTAGCGTCACTGCCACCAGTTTCACCACCATTACAGTTTCGAGCAGTACCGACTCGGTTGGCACCGATACTGTCAAGCCTGTGCCCATCTACCCAACTCCGTCGGCTGGCATCCCGCATGCTTCGAGTGCTCCTGGCCCTGTCACTACTTTCCCTGTCACCGCTGGGGCCAGCCGCAATGTCGTAGTCTTTGGCTTGCCGGCCGTGCTTGCGGCTCTGTTCTTCGCCGTCTAGACCATCTTATCTTCCGTTCATTTTTGCATCCACATGATCAACCCTGGATGATTTGTATTTAGTGCATACAAAGTGTCTTAATTTCACTATCACTGTAACACACAGGTACATAAATGGGCGGGCGAATTCTTCATGGTTTCTTGGATATGGATACCTACCTAAGTAATGCAATTGACGGCGTGCATAGTTATAGATAAGTAATCATGAAGAAATTGAAAATGGTCAATCGCTGCCCATTTTAAGTTGGTAATGTTTGCTGAGCATTTGAGCAAAATGTGTGGTCTCGCAATACCCTCATGCGAAGATCAGAGATCATGAGATACGTGCTGTTCGTTTTCGAGAAGCGATTGAGGGGCTCGGCAGCCTGAGCAAGCCCAGCACCCCAAGGGCTGGTGTGTACTTCGTAATTTTGTCCGTCAGCTCACGAAACCGGTATTATTGACAAAGCCCAATCCCACCAAACAATCATGCTGAGGAGGACAAAGTGCACTTCTCACAAGCCTATGCCCCATGGAAGGCTGTTTGGATACCAAATACCTATCTCAGGTATGTAGACAATGAGATCATGTGGTATTGTATGTGGGACTTCTAGAGGTATCTGTACCTGCTATGAAAGCCATCGAGGCAGAGATTGCTGTGGGAATGCTAAGCAGCGGTACGAATAGGGATGACCTGGTACGGGTAATATACCGTAAATTACATGCAACTTTCCTAAATTAGACACACGCTGGGACGCGTGGAATAACGGCGGGCCCTTTTTTTTAACCCGGGCATCCTCTCGCCTGAGGTCGGCTCAGCTTCCCCCCGACCTGTCAACCTTTCCTTTCAGGGGAGAACACCGGCCAGGAGCCGCAATGACTGTGAAGCTGCACAACGCCGCCGAGGAGCACTGCTAGAGTTCGGCGGTCGCAGTCATCAAGAAAGCTCTCTCCAACATAACGACGGAAGGTCGTCACTCTCGTCGCTCTCGTCATCCGCTTGCCCGTCACTGCACGCGTCATCTCCACCCGCTCTTCGTCCTTCGCCGGGCAGCGCCCTGCTCACGTCCCAATGCCCTCCTTTCTCTCGCCATTGCTCCACGATGGCCACCATCGAGCCACGGCTTATCCACCTCCTCAACGGCCCTGAGCCTGAGGCCTTGCCGCCCATCCAACAGTCCTCGTCCTCGACTGCGGCGCCGGGTCCTCCCATCTCGCTCCCGCCGCTCGAGCCAGAGTTAAAGTCCAGCTGTAAGGTAGACATTGCCATCCCAACTCGACTTACGCCGCGTCGTGCTGCCAGTGACGACCATCTCACGAGACCGCCCCCTCGGTCAGACGATAACTCAAGCGCCCTGCTTACCGCGTCTGTCGTGCCCCTCCAGTTACTGCTCAGCGAGTCGGAGCCAGCAGTTCCAGGGATTCCGCTCAGCAAGATCGTAGACGATGTTCCCCCTGAAACGCAAGAAGATGGCTCTAAGAAACGGCATCTCACGCCTAATGCCAAAGATGACTTTGTTCAGCTACCAAAACTGCCTAAGAAACGGAAGTCCACGCAGCAGTTGCCCCCGATTGTCCCTCCGCTTGTGCAACCCCCGCCCGATCCCGCAGTCTTCCCCCCTATCGCCTCGGCGCCGCTTGGCGAGAGCGAAACGTTCAATTTTGGGTCATTGAAAGATTTTGGAAGCAATACTGTCGCCAGTGGTCCCGAAGACCGCTCCGCCCCTGCCGCTGTTTCTCAGGAAGAGCCGAAGCCAACTACGACTACAAAACCAAAAAGACGTGCCATGAAGCCAAGGAAGAAGTGGACTGAAGAGGAGACCAACAATCTGCTGCTTGGTGTGAGCCGCTATGGTGTAGGAAGATGGACCAGCATCCTTGAGGATCCCGACTTTGAGTTCAACGGCCGGACTGCTGGTGACTTGAAGGATCGGTTCAGAACCTGCTGCCCAGACGAGTTGCGAGTGACAACTGACGACGAACGTCCTACGAATGGGAGCAAGGGGTTGAAGGACGATGCGAAGCCAAAAAACAAGGCAGACCTTGGCAATATCTTGATCCAAGGTGAAGAGGGAGACGCGACCGAGCCATCTGGTCCTCCGGACTCTGATGAGCAACCAAAGCGTAGAAAGAGCAGGACACATCGCAAGAAGCTCGAGGATCTCGCACAATTGGGCATCCATGGTCCTTTTGAGAAATCTCATCGTCGCAAGCGCCGGCCGTTCACCCAGCAAGATGACGATGAGATCCTTGACGGGCTTCGTCAGTATGGTGCATCTTGGTCGCGCATCCAACGTGACCCCAACTACCACCTCTCAAGCCGCCAGCCAACGGACCTCCGAGACCGTGTTCGGAATAAGTATCCGGAGATCTACGCCCAGATTGAGAAAGCCAATATGTTGGCTAAAGAGGCTGCCCGCGCTGCTGGCGGTAGTGGGAAATGCACTGTTAGCGCCAGCGTCCTTGAGCCTCTCATAAACAATGCTGCTAGGATGTCTCTTGACCGCAAATCTTATCATCACCACCACCTGAACCGGTCTCGCTCGAAGGAGGAAATGCCGGTATCACAGAGACAACCCATGACTGAGAAAACGCTCAGTGCGTATGGGTCAACAGAGTCATTGCCCGCCTTAAACGAATTGTTCGATCTGAGCGGCAACAGCGCTGTCCCTGGAAGCGAACTTTCTATCGCTGCTAGCGCTGGTCGAGCGACGTCTTCTGCGGCGTTCCTTAGGGCAACAACAGGAAGACCTACTGGAACTACTTCCGAAATGGATGTCACACCTGTCGGTACTGCTGTGAGCAGCGGGGGTCATTCTTCTGCTCCTGTACAACCCGTTCCTTCCTCTATAGCCACCTCAGCGGTGGCAAGTCGAGAAGAGAGCTCAAGCACTGTCCTACCTGAGCTGCCCAGACTCCCTAGCATCCAACCTCCTCAGGAGGATTCTCGCCACACAGGCTTCGGTGTTACTGGGGTGTTCCCCTCAAGGTTAAGGAATCCTGGATGGGCACCGTCTTAATTGCATTTCTTTTTCACAGTATTCTTGTTTCCATTGTGGTCGTTATTTAACCACACCGAAGTCCCAGTTATCTTGCTTCTTGTATGCTTATCTGAGGCTAAGCATACACTACCCAGCACTTTGCATGTTTCTTTTTTACGGTCAGAAGATTTCACACAACACCTGAACGCAGGACGTCATGGGATGGGCGGCCGACTGTGCTCTTTAACAATTACATTACCATCTCTACAGACATACATATGGTGTTTTCGGTTGGCTTACTGCTTATTATTATACTTTTAAGGGTGCTGCATGCCTAATCTTGGCACAGCTAGTTGTGAGAGAGATATTTCAAGGGATTCATCAAGTTACCGCAACATATAAGAGTAGAATAGGGAGCGATCTCTGCTTGACATGGAATGCAAAACTTGATTAATTGCCGTTACCTGTTGGTCAGTAAGATATATCACCTCAGTGATAACCTTGCATCTCCAATGTTAAATTATCACGTGATAATGTACCTAAATGCAAAAATCTTCTTGTTATGCGCTCAACGACTGGTTTTGACTGGAAGACATTGAAGTATGGATATCAGACCGGTAGGTTGACAGATCTGAGCAGAAACTGAGGGTCAGATTGTGGCAACCCTAACCCTTGGTGTACAATGTGTGCTCAACGGGCTTCACAGGTCAATTTTCTGCCAGCCCCCACCGCCTCAAATCCCCACCAATTCCGCTAGGGCTCGGCCACAAATTCCAATTTTCCCCGGTTGATATCCTCGCTCCCACTTCTGGCCTTTCGACATTCCATCGACCAGCACATCGACAGCAAGATCGACCAAGATGGCCAGAGGACCGTAAGTGATTAAAATTCCTACCTCTACGTTCCTACGTGTTCTAGGATCGTCACAAATTCCACTTAGACCTGGAATTTCTTTGCGGTGGCTGCGCTATCGAGCTCGTTGCCCGCAAACCGATCTCCAACAATTTTGCAACTCTTCGAAATCTCGAGATGCTAACGACCGACGAACAGGAAGAAGCACCAGAAGCGCCTTAGCGCGCCCTCTCACTGGCTTCTCGACAAGCTGTCGGGCGCCTATGCCCCTCGCCCGTCGACTGGTCCGCACAAGCTGCGCGACTGCATGCCTCTGATTGTCTTCGTCCGCAACCGCCTCAAGTATGCGCTTAACTACCGCGAGACCAAGGCCATCATGATGCAGCGCCTTGTCAAGGTCGACGGCAAGGTCCGCACCGACATCACTTACCCTGCCGGCTTCATGGACGTCATCACCATTGAGAAGACTGGCGAGAACTTCCGCCTGATCTACGACACTAAGGGTCGCTTCACCGTCCACCGTATTACGGATGAGGAGGCCAAGTACAAGCTCGGAAAGGTCAAGCGTGTCCAGCTTGGCCGTGGTGGTGTGCCATTCTTGGTTACGCATGATGCGAGAACGTAAGTTTCTCCGACATCTGTCAGCCGTTGGACCAAGCTTTGGTAGAATCGATCGGATCCCCTCTTCAGCGAGGGGTGAAGGCGATTCGAAACACAGCGAGATCTCTGCGGTTGGTATGTCCCATTCACCCCCCCTGTTTGCTAACGAGCACACCCAAAATAGCATTCGCTACCCCGACCCGCTCATCAAGGTCAACGACACTGTCAAGATTGACCTCGAGACGGGCAAGATCACCGACTTCATCAAGTTTGACACGGGTGCCCTCGCCATGATCACCGGTGGTCGTAACATGGGTCGTGTCGGTGTTATCACCCACCGTGAGCGCCATGATGGTGGTTTCGGCATCGTCCACCTCAAGGACGCCCTTGACAACACCTTCGCTACCCGTGAGAGCAACGTCTTCGTCATTGGTAGCGAGAAGCCCTGGATCTCTCTGCCCAAGGGCAAGGGTGTCAAGCTCACCATCGCTGAGGAGCGCGACCAGAGGCGCGCTCGTGCGCTTGCTGCTGCTGGTCACTAAATGGGCTTCTTCTAACGGAAATGGGCATGATTGGTATTGGGTCGCTGGTTTCTGAAAAAAAAAAAAGGCATGCGGGATGGAGTACCGGATGTGACTTTAGTCTAGGTTGGCTCCGGAAGAGCCTCATGATAACTGGTATACCTGGGTCAGGATTGGACCCCAATATTTGACTGCCCTTCCGATAGCGTTTCGCTTTAGCGCCTCTTGTGATTTGTGATTTGTGCTCTTTCCCGAGTACAGGTCTGCTGTCCAACCATCCCGATTCTATATTCTGACTTTACCTAGTCGGCTACGGCGCTTTTTCTCGTTCTTCGAGCGGTGAGACTTCTGTGACATGGCGTTCCCTGAAATTTGCGTTTGCCGTCCTCAATTGCAGGCTTGGTGCGGGGCAGCTGCACGTCTGATGAGAGACGACAGGTGATTACCTTTCTAGAATTCTTAATTTGATGGATCTGAATACCTTTTCTTCCATGACTAATACACATCCCGTGGCTTACACAAGCCAGGAGACAGCCGGCGACAACTAGTTGAAAGGAAAGTGAAATAAGTTTTATGTTTGTCCACAAGCAAATATATTCACTTAGTCGTCTGCGTAACATCCTAAATACTCACTGGGGGTTGCCTAGTAGGTGAAACGAGATTATAAATTACCTATATATCCCTGAACAGGGCTGGGAGTACTAATTAGTACATAGGCAGGAAGGTGGGTGAAATATCCCGTGGATGTTTCGGCTGAAGGGCGTCACACGACTGGAAGAATTCTGTGGAGTGCATATTGCCTGCTGTATGTTCCCCCAATGCCCTGGGGCCGTAACATGGTACCTACCTTTCTCGGTGAGGCTGCTGCATCATGTAGTGCATGTGGCAGGAGAGCATGGAATCGGAAACAAAGTTTGTATAGGGCGGGGCCAAGGGAAGGGGGAGGGTAGAGAAAGATACCTAATTGGATGGCTTACGTCGGGAGTATACCACCAATACCTTGGTATGTCGGCGGATGGGCCAGCTATAAAATGAGAAGGCCGAAGGGGCTTTGTGTAGGCAACGTTTCACAAGATATGGGATGGGTTAGGGGTTGGTATGGGCGAAAAGTAAGAGCTGAGAGTTGGGGAGGAGGCTTGCAGGTAAGGATCTGATGGTGTTGTGGACTGTGGAGTTTGTAGGTGACGAGCGTGGGGGTTGTAGCGTTGGTTTCGTGTGGCCGTAAGTAGGATATGAGGTTCTTGATTTCGAATATGTCTCAGCTTCGTTGTGGATGAGATTTGTGATGCATGGTGTGTATTGGGGAAGCTAGACTTTTTGGTAGTGTATGTGGGATGGGGTTCGGGGACAGACAAACCCCCAAAGGCTTGTTGCTGGACTAGGATCTGATCTACACTTCGTTCACTAGCTGCACCGTTGATTGCCGGGTGACTGATGCAGCAATGTCTCCTCGTGGGCATCACAACCACTGTGGTTGGTGGATCTTGTACGTTGAGAAGGCAGCGTTTGTCCACAGGCGCAAGATCAAACTCTCCGTGCGGGTAGTGGAGGTTGAGCTGTGAGATTGGCAGGATTGCCCAGCGCGGGGGTCATTGAAGCTATCTAGCCCAGAGAGATAATCAACAGACGTTAGGTGCTAAATGAGAACGACTGAAATGCATGACCCTCGTGCGTGGGAGCGGCGTGAGGTTGAGTGCTAACGGCGGATGCGGCGGTGTCCACGCTAAAGAACACTCCCGTCCCCGATTCCTCTGCCTAGAGGACGCTAGAGTATAGAGTATAAGCAGCATTGTTTCACTTCTTGAACAGTAGTTGGCTTAGGATCAAGAACTGTGAAAAAGGACGAGATCATGTTAAGGAGATGTTGACCAGAGTGCTGATCATCAAATGAAATGCCTGTGGAAGCGGGGCAGGGCTTGGCATTCCATTGGGGCTTCAGTCCGTAAAGTTCGGTTGTTCTCAGGTGCTTCTCGCCCTCTTCCAAAGCGTCGCACAAGGCCGACCATCCAAACGGCTGTTCCACAACAGCAATGGGCGGTCTGGTATTTGCCCTGATTGCCGTACATGTGAGGCTCGAGCTCAAGTCGTAGACAACATAGGTGGACTCCTCCACTATTCTTGAGAGTTCCCTTGCCAAACCGGCACCCTGTGCAAAGAACGATTTGTGACTGTTGTGTATCTGTACGGAGTACGGAGCCAAAGTGGCGTGGGATACGGCTTGTGAGCAATTTGTACAGACAATGCCAAGTACGAAGTGTACGAGAACTGTAGAGAAACCTGAGTTTACCCACGGCCTGTTATGTACCAAGTTGCGCAGCTTCTCGAGCCTGACGGCTTCCGAAACATGGAAAGAAGGCGTCACGGGGTCGCTTGCTGCCTTGCTGCTTCTACTTCCATTAGCATTCGTTTTCGTCCCAACGTCGGAAAGCAAGAAAGCCATAACCAAGAATACGCATGTAAGTAAGACCTATTACCTCCGGTTTCACCCTGGAGTATCGCTTTTCGCGGCGAGACTCGAAAATCAGACAATCAGCTTCAGATTCGGAAGCCGGCTTGCTTTTTGAGCGATATTCAGAGGGTAGCATGCTCTCTCACGTGTGACTGCCAAGATGTAAGTGAGCGACGCTGCAGATGATAGCCTGGTCACACTGACCTCTGCGCATTTAGCCTGTTACACAGGTTGGGACGCTTTCAGCTGATGAAAGAACTTTAAGAGATGAGAGGTCTAGCCGTGTTAGACGCTGAAGCCCCTATTACTTACATAACACAAGTTTTTACAAAGATTGCCTAAATAGATGCTAGGATCATTCAGGTTGAGATTAGCCCCAATGAGGTGCTTAATGGTTTCCAGCATATAGTATACTGGCTCAAGATGTCCAGTGTTGCTCGAAGGAGATAGGAGAGCAAACACGGGTCACGGCAAGAAAACATGCTGTCATGCCTATGACATATGAACGAACTCGGTACAAACGTGATCAGACACACCAAGCAACCTATATCTCCACGTTATAAAATTTCCAAGCTGGACAGGGCTGCAGCAGGCAGGTATAAAGGCCTTCGGGTTTCCAAAATTGTGACTGACCACAAACGACGCCTAATCCATGGACCGCAATCCCTCTTAGACCATTGCTTTTTCTGGAGCGCGGTAATTATCAATTTTCCTCAACATCCTGACTGGCATGTGGCAATCAAAAACCGTTGATGTACTTACACTGCAGAAGAACATTGGTCATACTCCGTGCGTGGATTACGCGACTGCGACCTATGGGAATATATCGATTTTTGACTCACTTTCCGGCTGTGCTTCGGCCAGCAAAGGAAACAGACTATCACGGACGAACCATCTACTTTGTCCTCGCTCTGACAGTATATGACTCGATTCGGCCATTCAGCGATGCTACCCAGGATCCTATCAGGGATTGTCTTTTGCACGGGACATCCCCATGTCTACATAGCCCCCGTCTTTTCTCATTTGGTACCTTGGCTTGCGCCAGGTACGGTAACTGAACAGTCTTGACCAAAACTTGCTTTACCCCGACGCTTCTCCACACAATCTGCATCCCAATCCAAATCTGGAAGCCAGCAAGCGTGTGCTTCAAACTTCAAAGGGACGAATGCCGCCATCTCCCGTCGCTGACTCTCATCACGGGGAGGGGCTGGTCTGGCAGCCGAACCCAGGAGTAACGGGACTTAACATGCCGCAATTCAGTCTTATCCCCTACCCTTTGTGTTTGACTCTTCAGTATCAACCTCGGTCCTAGAGTTCACTTATATCCCACCCACCACGTTCATCACCCCCACCATACTCCTGAAGTGCTCACTGTGTGTTGCGACCGGCTGCACACCAACAAGAACGAAGATATCCCACTCTTGTTCATATATCTGATCTGCGTTCCTGCAGCGCACTGCGGGTCGAAGCAAGGTGTGGTTCTTAACTCATTAGCAGTTCAGTTGAGAGGTACAACCGGTATTGAGCTGGCAGCCTGAGCGAGGCCGTCTTCTGGTTATTACATCCGGAGAAGCCGACTCCTATACACAGCTTGCCACTTGCCTTGCTCAAAACCCATTTCAGCAGCGTGGAAGTCATTGTCTGTGTCCTGAATATCCTGCCTAGGTTGCAGCCAGTAAGCAACGCGAGCAACACATTTTTTTTTCGTGGCGAAGACTAGACAGCCAAGAGAAAATAGAACTTGAGGGGTGAACTTTGTTCGTAAGCTTCCCGGTTCCTCCCTTACAAGGCACCCAAACTCTGACCATTCTAGAAGCCAATCGTCCTTTTTACGGTTCTTGGTTTACAAGCACTTCTTTTCAACCCCTGCCCTACATGTCGGCATATCGCTTATCTCGGGCAACGAAGCCACTCAGCCGGTCACTGACTGTCGCTCTTACCAATTGTTGTCCTTCTGCTAACCGGCACGGCTTTTTAACAACGGCTTTACGTGGTGCTAATGCTAGAAGTATCAGTGATGATCAGCTAAGGCGTCAGACCGGTTTCAAGGAATCCTCATCGTCATCATCTCCAAAATGGTCACTGGCTGGTGTGTGTGCTGTAGCCATAGCATCCGGTCTGCTTGGGTGGGGTGTGAGCGAGTTGCAGCACGGAAGCCTCCTCGGGGCTGTATTGCTTGATGGTTCATATCCAAAGCACCGGTATGCAAGTATGAGAGAGCTGGAGCTGGTGCGTATGCTGCATGTGTGACATATGTTTCTCCTAAAGCCCCGTTTCTCTGGCTAACAAAAAGACATCTGCATTTTGATTAACAATAGGCGTTGGATGAAATTCGCAAAGAGATCCCCATAGACGACATAATCTCCACTGACCCTGATGACCTGCTTGCCCATGGTTACTCGGAGTGGTCTACGACCAACCCGGAAGGTCTCCCGGTTGCTGTGGCATATCCACGCTCAACTGAACATGTATCAACCATTGCTCGGATATGCCACAAGTACCGGGTGCCTCTCATTCCCTACTCCGGCGGCTCGAGCCTGGAAGGCAACTTTTCAGCCCCCTATGGTGGTATTAGCGTGGACTTTGCCTTCATGGATAAAATTATTCAAGTTAACAAGGAGGATATGGATGTTGTTGTGCAGCCAAGCATAGGATGGCAAGATCTCAACAACCAGCTGGAGAAGATGGGGACCGGGCTGTTTTTCCCCATCGACCCTGGTATGTCCTCTTGCCCCAGTCATGGTTAACAGTGAACTAACAAAGGATATAGGCCCTAGTGCCAAAATTGGCGGCATGATTGGCACCAACTGTTCTGGGACAAATGCTGTCAAGTATGGAACTATGAAAGACTGGGTCATCAACCTAACTGTTGTGCTTGCTGATGGAACCGTCATTAAGACCCGGCGTCGCCCACGTAAGTCTTCTGCTGGCTATAACCTTAATGGGCTGTTTGTAGGGTCGGAAGGCACACTTGGCCTGGTTACCGAGGCAACCCTCAAGTTGGCCGTTGTGCCAGAAGAGGTCTCTGTGGCGGTGGTTTCGTTCCCCACAATTAGGGCTGCTGCTGCAGCTGCTGCAGAGGTGATGCGAACGGGAATACCGGTGGCTGCCATGGAGATCATGGATGAGGTACAGATGAAGGTGGTCAACATGGGTGGCGCGACAGCGCCCCGTGTTTGGAAAGAAGCACCGACACTCTTCTTTAAGTTTGCTGGAACAAAAACTGGTGTGAAGGAGAACATTGAACAGGTGCAAAAGATTGTTAAGGAACACCAAGGCAGTGACTTTGAGTTCGCAAAGGATGAGAGAGAGAAGAAGATGCTGTGGTCAGCGAGAAAGGAGTCATTGTGGTCGATGCTAGCCTTGAGGAAAGAGGGTGAGGAAGTTTGTAAGTGAAGGACATCAAACTCTCATCTCACTTTCTCATGCTGGTACTGATGTAGCTCCAATTCTCAGTTAGCACCGATGTGGCAGTGCCTTTTAGCCGGCTAGCTGATATTATCGAAGTCAGCAAGAAGGAGATGGACGAACTTGGCTTGTTTGCCAGCATTCTGGGCCATATCGGTGATGGCAACTTCCATGAGAGCATCATCTACAATCGCCATGACAAGGTTCAGCGCGAGAAGGTTGAGACTTGCGTCAAGAACATGGTCAAGAGGGCCCTCGAGATGGAGGGAACCTGTACAGGCGAGCACTCAATCGGTTGGGGAAAGAAGGAAAGTTTAGTGTGGGAAGTCGGACAGGAAACATTGGGTGTGATGGTGAGATTTATCTTGATCCAGTTCTGGTTATCCATTCTGTCAACTGCACATTTCTTTGTTCTTTGTTCTTGGCCTGCAGCTTTTATCTTGGTGCATCTGGATACTGACCTCTTCGCACAGAGAGCTATCAAAGCCGCACTGGATCCTCATTGGATTCTGTAAGTTGTCCCTCGCCTAGGGTTCCTGAACGCTCGTACTAATGTTCCATACTGTTCAGAAATCCTGGCAAGATTTTTGACAGGGAGGCGTGAAAGGGCCGGGGCTGCTCATGCGATGACAACGCGGTAAACTTTGTATGCGGGCAACCGCAATGGTTATTAGACACCCTGTAACAAAATGTCATGGCTAGTGAACAAGCATAAAGGTCAACCAAACATAATTCACGGGCTAAAGGGACAGCTGATGCATACCGGAGAACAAAAGTCACCAATTTCCATACAGTGCGTTGTGTTTAGCGTTTGTCATCAATGCAGGTTGAAAGCTATTGGCAGATAAACAGTTGTGTTGGAACCAACGAACGGATTAAGCCCGGTCAAGCTAGGTATCTAGGTGCCACTGTCTAGTTAGCTTCAAGATACACTTATCGTTGCCAATATTAGATGCACACATTCTGTGCCTTGCCTTATGCATCCAACACTCCAGTAGCAAGACGAGCTTGTCTTTTGTATCTTCCACTACTCCTGGGTTAATGACTGCATCCTGGAAGGACATTAAGGCAATCACCAAAGTCCTGCAGTGCAATCACCATGGAGGGATGAAGTTGGTGTTTGTTCCTAACTGCCTAGACAGGTAGACATATAGTTAGAGCGATCAAACATTTATGCCAGTTTTTTGGTGTGCCGCTTACCACTTCTTGTTGCTTCTATTCTCATATCTCATACAAAACAGTGATATACGTGGCATGGAGAGTCTGGTAGAGTGGCTGATCGAGTTTAACATGAAGGGACTGGACGAATACATGCAGCTGCTATCACATATCAGTTGAATCTTCCGAACTTGAAGTCTTAATCCATGTTCTCTTCCGCTTAGCACAACAGTTTGCCTTATCACCATCGTTTCTTCAGTTCTTTGCTTCAAGCCCAACATTGGAGGTTGAACAAGCATGTTTATCACACTTTAGTTCTGAAAACTTCCCATACTCTGGACAGTTTGGATCATTCATTTGGTGATTTCCGACTCACGATCTTAAGCTTATCCCCAAGCACGCATAAAGCTGCCAAGGCAGCTCATCGTTCTGGCACTGCTGTTCTGACTGAGGCCTGCCTCACATGTGGGGAAAAACCCAGAGAAGTTGCAAACATTGATTTCACTTGAGTTTCGCAAAGGTTCGTGGGAGCATACATTGTAGGTACCTATCCGTTGCTCTGCACTTACTCCAAAATGAGGTGACCAGCTTCAGCTTGAACCGCCTTTCTACCCACCAGACCCATCCACCCCAGCATTCCACTTTTACAAATCTTTCCTGACCTTCTGCTCTGCTGTTGGGAGGAGTCAGCACAACTTTGTTATAGCTGATATTTAATCCTGCTTCTTCCCGTCACCTTCCAGAAAGGAACTGAGCGGGAGCCAACTTATTGATACCTCAGCTCTCAGCCTCTCACCAATGAGTCCGTCAGCCTGTAAGCTTGAATGCCTGCCGCCTCTCTGGCTTCTGAAGGTTCGTCTGTACTTTTGGGCTCAGAGATCTCACCTGATCCACATCCATCCGCACATTGGCATTCTATGTACGTTACTGGCACCCGATGAAGAAACGGCAGTGTGTCATGCATGTTTTGGGTGGCCGAAACATCTTTTTTGAGATGATTTTCCAAGACAGGCGACCCTAGACGTTTGCCAAGAAAGCTAAGAAGTAATTGGTGAGCTCACCTCACCAATGCACACACACCATCCCCGCAATCGAGCCCAAGCATTCTAACATGGGCATCAATCACAGACTAGAGATTCTCTTGTTCACATTCATCTGCCTAAACTGCAGCAACACGGTCATGTCTTCAGAGACCAGCCGGCTAACTTGTTAGCTTGTTTTTCTTGCTTTCACACCTTCCCTCCTTGGTGTTTTCCTGTTGCGGAAAATTCGCAATATACCACTGCACCGTGGTCGGTTTGGCTCCTTTGCTTCCGCTATCGAATCTCTCCCTGCTTCTCACTACTATTCCTGCCTGCCCAATAGCTAGCTGCCAGCAGCTGTTGCTCATACAGTTGCTTCTCTTTTCTCCTCTCATTTCTATCCTTCGTTGTTCCTTCCACCTTACTTCCAAAAGGGCATAACGGCAATAACGGCATAGCGCTCACCATCGGTGCTGAGTGTCACAGGTCACGGGTCACATTTGCACTGGAAACTTACCTACCTCACTACTTTTCTGCTCGCCTGCCAACCTCAACCAAGGCTACTATCCTTTCAATTTCCCTCATGCGTTTCTCTCATCTCTATTAAACATCGACACAATCGGCTCAAGGGCTGAACTGCCTCTCGAGCGGCAGGGTTTCCTTGGCCAGCTTGGCCTTATTGTGTTCGACAGGTCCTGTTTTTCATGGCATCCTAACTCATGAATGGCAACGGTGCTGAGTCCTGGCACGAGGCCGGGTGTGTAACTGGCCGGGGAACTTCATCCACGTCCCCAGAGATGCCTGACGCGACATGTTCAGACGCCGATGGCCAAGAGATCAACGGATCCGACTTTGAGGATCCAAGCTCGCAAGGAACCGCCGAGGTCCTGACCCCAGTCCAACCGCCTGAACCATGGCAGCAAGAGTCTCGTGGCGGTTACCAGTCGCGAGGGATTCGGGGATTTCGGAGGGGAGGACGTGGCAGATGGCGAGGAAATCATGGCATGAGACACAGCCCCGCACCCAGAGACACCAGACGACCCTTTAACCACAACAATGATGACGCACCCCGACGTACACGAGCTCGGTCCCAACATCCTCCGCGACTCAGTCCAGCACCCAGAGACCCAAGGCAGCTGTCTGGTGCAGCTAGGCGTTCTTCGCTTGCCCCTTCGTTTCCAACCCAGCACCTACCTGCTGTTGTCCCACAACCGAGCCTGCTTACGTTGCCAGAGAATTGGCATTCTCAGAAGAGTGCCACCATCCTATTGTACGGCGTTCCTGAGAAGGCGAGCGCGTGGGAAGTCCGCCAGTTCTTTGAGAACTATGGCAGAGTGGTTCATGTGGAGCTCGAGGACCCTGACTCTGCGCGAAAGGCTCGTCGGTTCGCTAAAGTGAAGTTTGAGCCACCGCCGACGGACACAAGCTTTATTCGAGATGGAGAGTGTCGTATTGTCATCAACAATTACGCTTCCTGGGCTCGCATTGAGATCCCACGTCAGTCCTCCAATGCCCGCATGATTACCACACCTGTAGGGGGCACTTGTGCTCCGTCACTAACAGTCAGATTGGTCAAGTTGACTTTCGGCCTGTTAATACAGCCAACGACCTTTATGCGAAAGAAAGAATTTGCCAATGTCGGACAGGATGCCCACCACTCCCTCCAGCTGACGGCGGACTTCCGACGGAAGAGAGTTATGATCAATTTTTCTGTGAACGTCGACCACTTCCATGCAGGCCAGTATCGCTTGGAGATGAGGTTCGAAATAATCAAGAGAATTCACCGTTTTTCACAAGACGGCCGCGTGCGTTTGGTGATTGTCTGTGCTGATGCTCCCCTCGTCCGACAACGCCGAGACGACCAAAATGGGCGGCTTTTGGCTGATCGGTTGGTTTGGGGAGAAAATGAGCTGTGGTATCGCGTCACAGATATCGAAACCAGTAGCAGCCTTGACCACATGAGAACCCCCCTGAGCTTGGACGAAGGAGAGTATAAATTCGTTGACCTTGGCAGATGGACAACATACATGCTCGACATTGATGATTGTGAAGCTTGGCTTGAGATAGAAACATTGCTACGGGACTGGAACATCAAGACAGACCTTGACACCACGTTTGACCAAGTTTCCGGAAAGAGGTCAATGTTATGGGATGTGCTTGCAGATATGACTCTCGAAGCGCCTGCAGCCTCATCCAATTCTCTATGTTTTTCAGATCTTGTCCTTCTCGGTTTTCCAACCAACACCTCACTCCCATTTGATATCCGTTACCAACTCGAGGTCTGCCTTTCGCGCGGTGTACTCTGTGAGTACAACATCACACAGGAGTTCCTCGATAAACTCTTGGAATTATCTAAGCCCGATGGAATGGAGGTCAGCCGGGCACGCTTGATCCTTGAGTATGCCGCTGACCAAGGGAAGCGCATCTGGGACCCAATGAGCCTCTTCAGCGACCAAGCTGCTCTCTCGTACTGCCCGACAACGCTCCATATACCCAGTCATTGTGCCCTCGTCCGCAAGGTAACTATCACACCGACAAGAATTTACTTCAGCACTCCCACGGTGGAGACCACGAACCGTGTAGTCCGCCATTACGGCCGGTTCCGAGACTATTTTATTCGAGTTCAGTTCACGGACGAAGTGATGGAAGGTCGCATAAGATCTTCTTATACGGATCGAGAAGACAATGTTTACGCTCGAGTTTTCCGTGTCCTCAGACACGGAATCCGAATGGGGAAATGGCATTGGAAGTTTCTTGCTTATGGAAACTCGCAAATTCGTGAATGCGGTTCCTTCTTTTTCTGTGAGCCGGAGGAGGCTCATGGCACAATAACATGCGACTCTATCCGGGAATGGATGGGACGGTTCAGTCACATCAAATCAATTGCGAAGTTGGCTGCTCGGTTGGGTCAATGCTTCTCAACCACCCGCCCGCTTCCCGGCATTACAGCGCCAACTATCATCAAGACTCAAGATGTGGAGAGGAATGGATACTGCTTTACAGATGGTGTTGGGAAGATCTCCCCATTACTCGCTTTTTTCATCGCGGAGGACTGGAAGGTGTATCCTACTCCCTCGGCTTTTCAGTTCCGCATGGGCGGCTGCAAGGGCGTGCTCGTCACCTGGCCCGACGCAAAAGGGACAGAGGTCCATATCCGCCCCTCACAAGAAAAATTCTCGGCAGAATTCAACGGGCTGGAGATCATCCGGTGCTCGCATTTCTCCTGTGCTACCTTGAACCGGCAGACCATCACCATCCTCTCGTGCTTGGGCGTTCCCAGCTATGTCTTCCTCGACATGATGGAAGAGCAACTTGCCAACTACGATGCGGCAATGGAGGATCCAGATAAGGCGATTGATCTCCTGACTACCTATGTGGATGAAAACATGACCACTCTTACAATGTCGGAGATGGTGCTCGATGGCTTTATGGAGACACGAGAGCCCTTTGTCCGTTCTCTCCTTCAGCTCTGGCGCGCCTGGTCGATCAAAGCGCTCAAGGAAAAGGCACGACTTGTTGTCAAAAAGGGTGCCTTCGTTCTCGGATGTGTCGATGAAACGGGCACACTACGGGGTCACTCTCGCGCGACTGAAGGGACCAAGAATCAACCGAAAGAAGTCAGACGGGATCAATTACCACAGATCTTCCTTCAGGTCCCTGACCATGAGAATGGTGGGACATATAAAGTTATCACGGGTCTATGCCTTGTTGGCCGCAACCCTTCACTCCATCCGGGCGATATTAGAATGGTTGAAGCCGTTGATGTCCCCCAACTTCGCCATCTCCGCGATGTCGTGGTCTTTCCGCTGCAAGGAGACCGCGATGTTCCAAGCATGTGCTCAGGAGGTGACTTAGATGGCGATGATTATTTTGTTATCTGGGATGAGAAACTTTTTCCGAAAGAATGGAGTTACCCTCCCATGAACTATGAAGCACCGAAGGCACCGGAAGAGAAGGAAGTAATGGTTGCGAACAACCTTGCTGAGTTCTTCGTGTTGTTCATGAAGAATGACAGACTTCCTTTAATTGCACATGCCCATCTAGCAACGGCGGATAAGCACCCAGAAGGCGCTAAGACTGAGAAATGTAAGTCTTCGTCGCTGTAGTTCTTGGCCAGTACTCACACTGTTGTAGGTTTGGAGCTCGCCCAGCTTCACTCAACTGCGGTTGATTATGTTAAAACGGGTGTCGCTGCCAAGTGGGAAAAGAGATTGGATCCTCGAACATATCCGCACTTCATGGAGAAGTCACGGGCGAGGACTTACTATTCGAAAAGCGTACTTGGTCAACTCTACGATATGGTCGAGAGACAAGTCTTTGACATTCAAGAAAACTACAAACTACCCTTTGACGAGCGCATTATCAAGCGCTATGAACTCAACGATGACCTCCTTCGTCAAGCTCGAAAACTCAAGTCTCAGTATGATATTGCCATGCGCCGGATCATGGGCCAGCTCGAGATTCGCACTGAGTTCGAAGTTTGGACAGCATTTGTTATGTCGAAGCCGCGGGTTGGGACGGACTACAAAGTCCAAGAAAAGGTTGGTCGTGAGGCAGCATGCCTGAAAAAGCAGTTTAGAGATCTATGCTTGAAGGCCGCTGGTGCTTCTGACCGCGGGGATTTTGAAAAACTGGGCCCTTTTGTCGCGGCGATGTATAGAGTGACATGCGAGGAGATTCGGATCGCTTTATACGAAGCGCGGCAGCCACACAGACGGCCCGATGGCACGATGGGCTTACGGAAGATCACCGCGAGATCTATGCCGTTGATCAGTTTCCCTTGGCTATTCCCCGCTGAGCTGGGGAGGATTGCGACGGGGATTGAGAGGAAGGGCACCGAAAAGGTGGCCAGGCTCAGGATTTCTGTCCTCAATAAGCCTACGTACGCGAAGGGAATTTGCATCCCAGTGGACCTAAAAACAGAAGCAGACTTCGCAGCGATGGATTACACTCGGACAAGCGACGGCAGGTTTATTCATCGTGGCGAAATCCTCAACTTGTTCCATCACGACGATGAGAAAGCAAACGATGAGTACTACTGCAACGAGGGGGTGGATTTCTCTGATTCTGGAGACGATTCTGAAGAGGCGAGCCAATCCGGCGACGAGGGTAGAGATGGTTCCGAGCTGAAAACGAACATTGGCCGTATATCTCCAGAGTCTGCCGAGGCTGCAGGGAATGTCGCTGAGGGCAGACCTCCTGACTTCTCTCAGCAGCAGAGCAGTGCCCCCAGCGCCACAGTCCTTGACCTTTTAGTTGAGGACCTGAAGGATGCGACTTCTTTTCTTCCTCCTCCTTTAGTGCCTCTGCCGGTCGCCGCTTTTCCAGAGCAGCAACAGCAAGAAGATGAAGAGCAGCAGCAGCAGCAGCCCGAAGAATTAGAGTCGCCACAACGGCAAAAACACCAGGTACTGCGTGCAGGCCCAGAGGAGTTAGATCCACCAGCGTCGAAAGAGCACCCCGACATCACTGAAGAAGTTGATCTCAGCACTCTCGCAGCGGATGTGGTTGCCGAAGATACATCTGGACTCTCTAATAGTTCATGCTCAATCTTGATGGCTGAGCCTAACGGTTCTTATGTTGACGAGAACAAGCTGGATGTTGAATATGCACGAGACAACAACGAGCTTTCCGCCGATTCGGACGGGTCGGAGGTTGAATATGAAAACATTGTTCTGGATATAGAGGAGGAATCTGTACTCGAGCGGCTGGCTAGATTCTGCTGAGGGGAGGATCCACATTTCTTTTGCTTGGGGTTGGCAACGCTTCGACATTTTGCACTGAGCTAGTCTCATTTGCTTTGGAAATAATGAGAGGCATGGAGGTACACTTGCATTTCGGGTCTCTTGGGAGCATAATACGGGAAGGAATGGCGTAGCTGAGACGTTCATAATAGATGCCTTGAGTTTAGGAACAGCAGCCCTTTTGACACGGTGACTGTGAATTGAACGCGAAGGATTTTGGCTTTATCACCTCTTAATGCACAAATCCGTCCTGATTACCCATTTTTCGCCGGCAGTGACCTCTCTTGCTTCGTGCTATTTTGAGCCAGGTTTGGTCAGTCGATCTTGGGTCGAAGAAAAGAGACAACGGTTCAACACCTAGGGCAGCTCCGGTAGACTATTCGAACAAATAATCTGGATTTATCTCGGCAACCCTTTGTTACGTCCGTCATATTCTATGGAAAGCTTTTGAGGGATGCTATGTGGAGGAATTCCGAGGTCATGGTGGAGGTATCGGATGGAGATCAAAATAGGACAGGCACTGATGAGTGCAGTACCACTACGAGGGCGGGTCTGGAGAAGGGACAAGGGACTCCAGGCATGGATGGATGGGGAGATGGATGCACGATGACGAAAGGAAAGAGAGAGCCGTGGTCGAACATGGATAAAAGCACTCATTTTACTCACCAACATGCAGTCATTACCATGTTTGTGCAGAAGCAACATGCCGGTCTCGAGGCTGACGGCAATTTCCTCCTTGGGATTGCGTCGGTCGCGGGGGAAGAAGACGGTTTCGCCGCCGATGCTGTGATTTGTGAGATACTATTAGTACCGGATAGGTTTCCTGCTAAGAGATGAAAAAGAGAACGGGGTGGGTGTACCAGCCGTCTGCTTGTGAGGTGAGGTACAAGAGTAATGTCCAGGTGGTTTTTGCTGAGATCGGCGGGGCGCCGGGCTCAGGAGCGACAGTTACGTAGTTGTAGTCGTCGTCTGTGGGCGGTCAGATGCTTAGATGACATGTAGTTGGGATTCGCTGGCAAGCCAGGATGGTTGCTTACAATGGGCATCGAAGAATTGACCAGGACGATAGCGGTATATTCTGATGTTGGGATTGAGGCCGACAACCTGGCCGCCCCTGAGAGCAGATGTGAATGTTTGCTCTTTGGATAGTTATCCGTGGGAGCAGGAAAGGCGAGCGAGTGGGCCTACCACATATGTAAATACTCCTCCTTCAGTAGCGCCTCTTTCAGCCCCGTCTCTGTCCACAACCGGTGCGCGAACTTAGGATCGTCAATCTGGAAGCGGTCGTTGACACGCACGGCCTCACCGCGCTTGGGCTTGCCCGGCGTCGTGACCAGGGGAAGCTCGCGCAGGAATGCCACGTAGTCCTTGCAGAGGGAGCGCGGCCAGAACGACCGGAACACGACGACTTTGTCTTCAACACCCGGATACGGCTCCAGCTGGAGGTCGACGACGGGCAGCTTCGGCTTGAACACAGGCCAGGCAGGAGGGGTTGAGATTGGGGGCTGGTTGTTGGTGTTGTTACCCTTATTGGAACTAGTTGTTGTGCTTGATCCAGAAGATCCATGTGCACCTTTGGAGCGCTTGTCTTTGGCCATGTTGGCGTAGTGATCACGGTTTGGGTGACCAGTTGATGTTGAGTGTCCATACAGTCTTCGCTTTTGGAGTCTAATAAATCTCATCCAACTCCTCGGAATTTGTTGACAGTTGAGAAAGCGGGGGCAGAGCATGGGGCAGGGCCTGCCAAGGCTCTCGCTAGCGTTAGCGCAGCTCCACCGGTATGTGGGACTTCACGAGCCGGGCCCACTTGGCGCGTTGCTTGGCAACCTTAGCTTCTGGGGAGCCAGCCCGGGGTCAGCTTTTTCCTCCGACCTTCACCATCACCTCACCAACGTCCGACTTCTCCTTCCCGCAAGCTCTGCTGTCGCCAATTGCTGCAGATTGCGGCGGCGCTGACCCCTCTTGTTCACACCCAGAGGGACTTGAGCCAGCTCCTAGCTCATTCCGACTCAATCAGCTCGTGGTCCCTTCCCCTCGACAGCCGCCCACCATGTTTTTTTCAAGATGGCTCAAGTCCATGGTGTTGGGAGAAGAGAGTGACGTTAAGCCTGCTGCGGGTCCACAAGGCACGGCGTCAACGTCACCAGCAGCACCGGGAGCAACAGCAACATTACCGGCAGCCACACAACCTATCACTGTCCAGCCAACTCCCAGACCCGCCCCACACCCGCGCGATGAATACCCTCCCGTATTCTCCCAGCGCTCGCTACGGCAGCTCAGCCTCTTCCTCGGCGGCGCGGGCTTCTTGTACTGCTCCGTTTTTCTTACCCGGCGGGCTATCATGCGACACCGCATCGCGTCGCAGCTCAAGTTCTTCCAACCGAACTGGACGCGCGGCCACACGTCAGCCAACCCGCCCAAGCGCGGCGATCCCCTGGTTGCTGTCGAGGCGCTCAACCTGGCTACGCTCAACACGGTCAGCTTTGCCATTATGATGGCTGGCGGTATTTCCTGGGCGTTCAACATCTCGTCGCTGGAGGACCTGCGGGAGATTACCCGTCGGTCGTTGGGCGGGGCCGCTGGAATGACGGATATGGAGGCGGAGAAGGAGGTTGCTGCGTGGGTTGCGAAGACGTTGGGGCTGGAGTTGAAGGCGGATTCAGCTGAGTCGGACGAGCCGAAGAAGTCTTGAGGGGGTAAGGGCTGAAGGAAAACCTGGGCCCTGGCTAGGAGGAATGGTCTAGTAGCAGGTGTTGATCCGCTAGCAAGACATCCAAAAGGATATTGCGAGTTTATGTTAGGCAAGGGGGGGGGGTGGGTATCATGTCCTCTTTGGAAGGGCTCGTACATATCTGCCTGATGCAGATGGAATGGACATATGCGTGCATAAGGGACGAAAAAGGCATCTCAGGGTTGTGGTGGATGGATTGTGGCTTTGGTCGCTGAAGGCTTGATCTGAGCAATGGCTGCTCATGGCAAACTGGGTTGGGCGTTCATGTTGACTAGGGATTTACGGGAGCTCTATCTCTTCTGAGCTGTGTACGACTACGGGATGGAATACAGGACGTCATGACTCTCAATGTTTCTAGGTACTTTGTTCATGCCTTTATTGTCAGTTGACACTCTCTATCAGCAGCCAGTATAATGGTTTCGACGACTCGGTGGGACCGCCCGCCCATTGTGCCCCTCACCGGCTGCAACCCCGCCGGGACAAGATCTTGAAAACTCATATCAGCACAAACCCTGTTTCAATTTACAACCTCCCAGCTTTACCGCAACCATAACGCACATCCAAATCCAGGCCAAGTTCCAGGTTTGCGTTCATTCACTCAGACACAAGCCAGAAAAATGAAATCCCAAAAAGAAGTGGAAGCTGACGTCCGCTCCTGGGGCTTTTCCACAGTTTACACCTGGTCCGACGGACCCAATGCTTGTGAGTTTCACATCTCCACACCCTGCCCTATAACCACTCACTCACCCACATTTCTTTAATCTTACACCGGACTATTACACAACATTGTCTCTCTCTCTGCCCCATTGTACATCATTGACACACCTGAAGCTGACCGAGAATGTTAATCAAAAAAAATAGACTATCCCCCGCATTCCCATCGCACCCGCACAACACACGTCATCCTCTCCGGCCAGCTCACTATCACGTACCCGAAGGACGGTGACGGCACAAAGACGACATACGGCGTAGGTGATCGCATCGATGTTGATGCTGACCGCGTGCACGAGGTATGGATTGGGCCGGAGGGCTGTACGTACGTCATTGGGGAGTGATCTAGGCTGGTGATGAATGAGGAGGTTGGGATATGAGGTGAGGGGTTAAAGAGAGAAGGACGCGCGTTTAAGTTTGGTGTTGAGGATTGTCTCGGGTTGAGGCATCTTATATCACTTTTTGTCAAGAGGTGATCAGCTTTAGACTTCCACTTTCCAGCTTGATGAAGATGCAAGTTGCAAGACATTGCAAGTTTTGAGAAAGAGGGGAAGCCGGCGGGGTTGAGAGCATTCACTGTTGCAGCTTCAACTCGTTCACCATTTACGGATCTGTAACCAGAGGCTCAATTGCTGTCGATTGACGGCTTGCAAACAATGACATTGTCAGCAGTTGGACAAGAAGCACAGGCCTAACTTCAAAACACCTAAAAGACTTCTAGAAGATACACCTTCTTAGGGTTAGTTTTCAGCCCTGGATTGCTGGACAAGTTTTGGCGTTTGATCTGAATGTGACCGAAACTTAGAGATCGATTCCTTGTCCAGCTGAATGGAGTAAACAGACACCAGCTCTTGGCATACGTCTCGAGTGGCTTCAAGGAGCGTTTCCTCTCAACCTCCTTGTTTCAACCAAGGCATCCCAGCAGATATGCAAGCGCTTAGGCCTCTGGGTTTCTGTCCAAACAAGCTAAAAAAATGAAATTGGTGGATAGCGAGGTAGGCAATTAGAGCACTCGCGATGTCAATAGTCACGTGCTCGCTTCGAGCCCCTGTTTGACAGTAAGGTTGTGCGAATGTCTGTCAAAACGGACTTTTTCCCTGATTTCGATACCGAGGCCACTAGATTGAAATTCGCTGAATTACTTGATGGGACGCAAACATGGATACTGGACGTCTGCGAAACTTGGATCCACGAAATAGGGAGGCCTAGGATATAATGCGATCACATCACCTTTGTTGTCCGGTAGTGTTTCAAGCCTATTTTGCCAAAATCCTGCTTCTTGGTTTTGGCTGTTGGATGTTACGCAGCTCAGGTTGCCAATCAGTCAGGGCTGAAGCTGAATCTTGTGCTTGCATTCTCCAACGGACTCATTCTGCGATGATCCAGAGACAGGAAAATGTGCTATGACCTTCCATGGTCATCATATTCAGAATTCGTATCTTATGAACGAACAGACTGCCCGGTGTATGTTAAAAAACCAATCTCAAGCTGTCAATATCTCACTCCCAGATCGACATTCCGGTGACAGCGATTCAGTCCCGGATCTCGGCCGGCAGCAACTACTGCCGTTAGTTGACCAGGGGAGTGCATCGATGCCATCAACAAAATGCCAAGTTGAGATCGGAGATTGAGTGCAGGTCTGCTGGTGTGGGGCTCCCGCGCTGCAGGAAATTGCTAGGGTCCTAACGTTTATTGCTAGTGGGCCTTCGAGAAAGAGCTTCTTGAATCATTCGTCATTAGGTTAGAAAGGCCAATTTCCTATAATATCACCCTCCCAGTTTCGCTCGATCAGTTTACGTGTTCTGCGGGGGTTTGAGCCGAGCCAACATGACTCGCCGGAGGCCCAGATATTTACATAATCCATTTAACTTAGATCCTACTGGCTCCGTCTGGTTTTTTTACCTTGACTGGATCTCGATCGGCAGCCGAAAATCTGTGTCTTATCGTGTCTTATCGGACCGAGGTCTTCTGCACTCAGTTCCATGGCATGTCTCACCATTCTGAGATGAATTGTTCATAGGTTTTGGCGATTTTGCAGGGAATTGCCTGCATGTGTCCGGTATAGGTTACCATCATTTGCGAAGATGATGGTGTAGTGGTTGCTATAATCCTCCAGGTTGTCACTTCATGTATAACAAGACATAACGGGGAGAATCCGAACCAAACCATACCCTCAAGGTTTCACTGTCGCCCACAGTGATAGCTGGGAAATGTGGGAGGTATGTGGTACGAATTACTAACGGGATCCGGGCTTTACACCGGGCCCAGACCCGGAGATCTTCGACAAACCGGCCGCTCGAATCAGGAATATCCTAGACTTCCGGTTGGTGTTAAGACGCGCAAGCGCAGACGTCAATGAGCTCGGTCTTAACTCTTGAAGGGTCGAATGTGAACGTGTTGTCAAACATCTCTCCCCAGAGACGCCAATGCAGCGTTACATTCCGGCTGGCAATTGCCGACCATTTGATGGATCTAATATGTGGGGTTCATGAAAGCTGGGGGGATGGTTGCAACGATAGTAATTGAGTTGTAAGTACGGATGGCTTCGGGCCAGCGCACGACTGATCATCATTGTTGCCAACGGGGATAGGTAGCCCTTCTGGCAGAAACCCGTGGATCAGTTCGGGAAAGCCGGGTGTCATATGCTTGAAAAGCTGTATTGTTTACAAGCTCGGATAAACGAAATCTATGATCTCGTCATCTCAACGTGGTGAACTGTTCGGCGATGCACTCATACTCGGCTTGCATGACGCAGTTATCCGGGCTACATGGGCGATAAAAGATGGCCTCAACTGCCGGCTGAGCTGGCAGCTTGTTGGCTGTCCCAACCCTGCGATGGACGCTGCGTTTGAAACATTCCACAACATTCGACAGCTGCACTTTGTGGAAGCAAGTTACACCTGGCATGCGCCGAGCCTAAGTTTCTATGAGCAGGCACAGCAAAGACTCAGTCGAAAATTGTCATGGCACGGGGACCGTTTCCGACTAGACGAAAGCTCGCTGAACTGCGTACGTCGCTTGCCCGGCGGAATCTTGAACAGGCGGTGATTATTCGCATGCGTCAAGAGTGCGGTGTGCTACGGTTACCGTTGCGAGCTGTAGGCCGCTGCATTTGGTACATACGGATTATCTTATTTGTGTAATCCGCAGTATGTTTTTACTACAGCACAACGCCGGCCAGATGGATTGAAGGGAGGTTGGATGCTGTACGCATGTAACAACTTCTCTTCTTCTCTTCTTTCAGCTGATGCGGCTCGAACAGGGCGAGCCAACGGCGGCACAGTCGTCTACCGTCGTGCTCGACAGCCTGCCAACAGGCCTGTTGGTTTTGCGGACGTTGCCGGCGCTCCTTGTGCTGTAAGTCAAACAGCCCAGTCGATGTCCAGTCGACCGGCAGACAGTCCAGTCAGCTGTCGATAGACAGCGCTCATCGCCAAGTGCAGCAGCGATCTTGATGCGACTGTGGCGGTCGGCGGGAGGGGATTAGCAGCCGGGAATCACTGGATCAAAAATTCTCCTTTGGCGTCAAGTGGGTGGGATGACTAGCGGGCGCTAACCCTCTCGAGGCCATCAGATTGGGCGGCTTCCGCTTCAAGTTTCGCGGCTCCGCACCCAAAGCCTGAAGTGGAGCCAAGAACGCCCAGCACCCCCTGTGATCCCCACATTGTCTCCACATGGGGTTTGCAAATTGCTTTCACTGGCAACCCGTGCTGGTTCTGCTTGGATACTTGGGCCGGGTGCTAGATGCGAGATGGCCGAGACGCATGCGCCTCTGCACCTGCCTGTAACATCCGCATGTCAGGACCACGGAGTGGGATTATACAAACACTGGCCTGCCGCTTTCAGGCAGATGCGGGCTCTCCCTCCTCCTCGCGACATTTAGATTTTCGCTCGCCAACAATTGACAACCTTCGTCTGCTCTTCATTTGTGTTTTGCTGTCTCACCGGCCCAAGCAAGCCTGGCGAAACGGCAGAAAGGCGCGTCAATTGGCGATGGGTAATGGGTCCTGGCAGGCTGGTTCTGCTGCGCTTCCTCTCTTGATCCATGTTTCTTCTCTCGCCCATCGACATTGATCGCCAGAAGAGCTACTGGCACCACACCAGACTGAAATCTTCTGATCCGATCTGTTCTCCCCATATTCTCTCTTTGTTTCGAGTCTGGCCCTCAAGCTCCTGCCCGTTTCCCAGCAGTTCCGTCCCAACTCTCTCCACGTCTGACTTTGATTATTCTCGTCCATAACACGGATTACCACCCTTCCTACACCGCTAACGCTGCCGGGAACTCGGGGCCTACCGTTATGGCAGCAGCACGGCAGACGGCATAGCAAAACCCCTCTTCCCGTCTGTGGCCCCCACTACCATCATGGGCAATACTCAGTCCAGTCACTCGGCCCAGGCGCCCCGGAAACCAACCCATAGGCTGTCCAAACCGAGGACAGGAAATCATGCTGCCCCGGGATTCTTGAGCCCCAAGCGTTTGTCAAATGCCACCCGGCGCCATACCAATTCCCAGTTGCCCGATCCTCCCTTAGAATCGCCCATTGCCGCCACGACTCCAGCATCTTCAGTGCTTGAGGTTCCAGCGGCGCTTGGGCGGCGCGCTAACAATAACAATTCTTCGCAGCCGAGTTCAGGCTCAAAACGGAGGAGTTTGTTTCGGCCTGGCTCGTCTAAAGAAGCAGTTCCCTCTCTTAAGCGGCTTTCGGGGAGGTTCAGTAGAACCTCCTCCATGACATATGAGTCGGCAGTTGCATATTATGGACCAGAGACCCCCAACGAGTAAGTGCTGTTGAAGCGCTCTGAATGGTCTTGCGCCCTATGTTCGTGTTGCTGACCATGGTTACCGTATGCTTAGACCAGCCAATCAGCCCGACGTTCGTGCGTCGTGGCACTACAACCTCACATCCTACGAAGCAAGGAGACTGTTTAACCAGACCGATGAGCCTGCATTCGAGCACATGACTGCCATGTCCGAAAACAGGATGTCAACAATCACGGCGGCTACGTGGAAGAGTTCACATCCTGCAGTGCCCGCTAGTGCGCCGCTCACTCGCACAAACTCCGATGTCTCACTTTATGCTCCAGTTCGCCGGCGCTCAATAATCCAAACTCCTGGAGTAGCGACGCGAGAGATCTATAACCGCGAACTTCCCCCTCTGCCTCAGCCTAGTTTTCGCCACAGCGATCCTCCAAGTCCCATGTTATCACGACGGTCCTCGATCGAATCCTACCAAAATGGCGTCTTGTTAATGCCACCTCACATTCCAGACACGGATTCGGTTGAGCGAGTGTCAACACCCTGTGAGGATGGATATCGATCAATTGGAGCATTTAAGCTTGGCTCTCTGCGGATTGTGAACGGCTCCCCGGTCCCCTCAACTCCTGAGACGGCGAGGACTCGCGAAAAGAACGAAGCCCATGGCTTGCTGGGGGGAAGGATAGATTCTACAGCGGTATCAGCTCGAAATGCCGATTCGTCTGCCCCTGGCAGCGCAACTCAGCAAACCCAATTGCCACAGCCTTCTCTTAACACCCACCAAGACTTGTTTGCTAGCCCTGTCCAACCGCAGCCGATTAGTCCTACGCTTCAAGTTACGTCCAAAGTGACTGCTTTGGAGGATAAGCTTTTTGAGGACGAACTGCCAACCGAATACTCGTCGGCCGAGATTTTGGACGTCCGTCTTGATCCTAATGCGAAGTCGTCTCATCCGCGCGAAAAGCATGAGTCCTCAAAGATCGTTTCCAGAAGTGATAGCGGGTTCTTATCGATGAGCGAGGGCTTGTCGGTTTCCACTAAGGGGTTAAGCAAGGCAGACTCGGGGTATAGTTCAAATGTGTCCCTACGATCATTCCAAACTCGGCACCAGATGTCTGGAAAGCATTCAGCACCTACGCCGCCCCCGAAACAAGACCATAACTCAGAGGATTCGCCTCCCCCTCCCCCTCCAAAAGATCGTTCTAATGAATCCGTCATTCAGAAGAAAACCGGTCTTGCTTCCCTTCGCCGCTCGCATCCTGGTAGCCCGACTGGCCTCACCTCTAGAGATAGTAATCGCACATCACCTGTCTCAGGGCCCCTAAGCCCTGGAAGTTCCAAATCTCCAACGTCTGACACCGCCAGCTCGGAACCTAGCAATGGGAATGGGATCAAGAAACTTGGGCGACTACAACGTCTCTTCACTAATGCCCGTCGACCAGGAACAGCTTTGTCCGCCCAGCCAACGTCGCAGCCGCTTGCTGCTCCTCCTGCGGCCGAAAGTTCTAAAGAACGTTCCGAACCTCCGCTGCCTCCTCTTCCACAGGAGAATGAACGCAAGCGCAATGAACGCGCCCGGATGATCCCCCCGGCAAAGAAACCTGTGGTCAAGACTCGTTCGAGTCTGGACACACTTAAGACCATCTTCAGTGTGGGAAGTCTAGAGCACACCCTTGAGACTACAAATTCGAAGCAAACCAGCCCTCAGCCTAACGCTAAGGACCACACTCGAAAACCAGCTGTGCATCTTGCCAACCTCGCTTCCCACGTCGTATCGAAGAAACCAATTACTCGCAAGCCGGTTCCATCGCGTCCTCCTGTGGTGCAAGAAGGGGAAGAGAAAGGTGTAAAATACAGAGTCCACAGACCATCACCGCTTCGAGTTGGTGTTACACACAAGAACGAGCCCACACAAACTACCGATGGAAACTCTTCGAGAGTTGTGACGGATGCTCAAGCCAACCGCCAGCTCGGCAAGTCAGAAAAGAGAGCGATGAGTCTCACAATGCCGAAGCCCCAGCAGGCAGAAGATCCCCAACCACGAGTTTCATCTCTTGATTTGGTTACACTAAACAATTTGCCATCTCCTCCGCTCCCGAGTCCGGTTGCCAAAGCAATGTCAATAAATGGTAAAACAAGGCCATCGCCAACTGGTTCTGTGATAGTGAGCAGACCTCTCTCACTACGCGTTCCTCCCCCGCTGCGACCAAATTCCATCTCGAGTTTAAGCCGTAGATCGAGTCGAGAGAGTTTCCAGAGCTTCTCGGCAATGCATAGTACCCTCACAAGGCAAGCGAGCACTGAGAGTTTCCGAAGCTTCAGTTCAAACCAGCCGCCGATGCAAGAGACTATCGGCCATGTCAAGTCCCCGAGTACAGGCTTCATGGACCCTAGACGGTTGCAATCATTCAGGCAGTACTCTTTCCCTTACGATTCACCGAACTCGGAGGCACAGACAGACTATGGGCCGAGTCGTCGTTATTCATCTCAAATCTCTCAGTCCGACGGAGGGAGCAGCCGGCGTAACTCTATATCATCTGTTCAAAGTGAGGGAGTATGTGGCTACCCTCGTCCAGCCAGTGCCCAGGGTTGGTCCTTCACGCCTGATCATCAACCTCTCCGCCACCGCGCAAGCTACGATGGCTTGAGCTACATCCCACCGCGGCCTCAACCACATCCGAAGTATGGCTATCCGCCATCAATGTCGACCGGTTACACGTCTTCTCCCTACTACAACTACAGCAATCCGGCCGCATATGACGATGAACGCAGCCGAAGCCAGTTGAGTGCGGCCGCCATATGGAGCCGGAGCCAGGCAGATGCTGCCGCGGGCCAATGGTATCAATATAATGGCTGGGGTCATCGTCCTCCTTACTGGCCGCGAAGCCGCCACCGGAGCGCGTATGGGCCGAATCCTCCTTTCAGGATTCTGCACAGCTACAATTCGCCTGCCTACCGGGGGGTGCCGATTTGGGGATGATTGGCCTGATGAGGCTCGAGCCTCATCAGCAACATCGCATTTCATATTTCCGTGTATCATCATCTGTCGTGTTATCTTCCATTGCATAACACCCGGTGTGTGTTTCGCATTCTCCCTACCCTCGTTACTCTGGTTCGTTTCATTTTATTACAAACCATTTTTTTCTCTGCTGTTATCCTCCTTAGAGTGATACCACTGCCAACTCTTAGAGCAAGATATCCGATCATGATTGCGGTACGGTTCGCGTAAGTTATACCCGGTCCTGGATGGACAGCGCGCTCTCTATCTCACTTTTCCTTTTACCCATTTGCCTTTTTTATCTCACTCTATTTGTTTTACCCTAGGTATGCGGGAGGTTTATAGTTGGCGGCGTCAAGGGCTGCTGCGGAGTTGTGTGCAACCCATATACCCAGAAACAATTAGACTCAACTGCAGCATTTAGGACGGTCGGAATTGTGTGCTAGTATATCATGGGTTAACATAGTATTATAAACACACAGTGGTTTGTGGAACAAGTTGGTCTGTTGTGCGAGAGTGTGACAATGTCGTGTGCTTCCTTGGCTTTGGGCACTGGATCTGCACTTGGATGATGTCCCGTTGCATTAATTGATGCCGAGGCGGCTTGTGGCGGTGAACGTTATTTAACAGCTTGGGCGCGTTGCTCTCTGTAGCTAGTAGTGGTCCGTAGCATTCCGTGCACGCATGGTAAGCGATGGTCATACGGGGTCTCGCCCAGCCTTGAAACTCGGGGGTTTTGTTGATCTCCAAGTTGCAGGAGATGGACAATTGATCTTGGGACTGCTGACCAATTTCATGTAGGACAACAGTCTTTAGGACCTTCCCCATAAGATCTTCCTTAGGTGCACACCGTGAGTGTGGCGACGCACTTGTCCATAGGTAGCTTCCTGCGGCTCCAGGGGAGACTACCTGGGCTATTGGGGCTGTAGTTGCGAGGCGTTGATTCCCTCCCAGAGTCTTTTTGTTTAACCCATCGAGATGGGTCATGCCTCGGGGTTTTGTGGTTGGGCAGGAGAGAATTAAAGAGGGGGAAGCGGTCATCGTCTAGTGTCGACCTGCAGGAACGTGGACTAACTTTAGTGGAGAGCCAGGCAGGTGCGCTTTTCTTCTAATGAGCGACACAGCCACACAAGCAGTAATGGGTAAGAACATACAGATATGGTGCAACAAGGTGACGTCAAGCGGTGTGTCGGTAGTGCATGCGGGCAATACGATCTACAAATGCTTACAGGATGTTTGACCTCGATTCGGCAGGGGCCGATATGGGACAGGCCAGGAAGTATCCGTACAGGTACCATACGGTTATATCGCTTGTGTGGTATGGTTGGGTTGCACATAGGGCTGAGGGTTGCTGCAGCACGCGACATTTCGGGGGGTCAAAAGGTGCCATTGGGAGTCGTGGCTTGATGAAGTGGCCTGGAAACTTGGCTCTGAACGAGCAAGCTAACAACGGACCTGCACCTCGGTAGCTACCTTGGCACCCTGCACAGCCATCTTCACGTCTTTGGAGCTGGCAAGTCTTGGAACCTACAGCTAAGATAGGCTGTGACTCGAGGATTTGCAGCCTCGAAGGCAAAAAATTGTCTCGAAGAGTCCTCTCGGTATCTGGCAGGTTGTGTTTCAGGCGATAATGAGCCTCTTGATGTTCGGATGCCAGCCGGTTGGCGATGCTCTGAAGGGACAGGCGGCTGACGGCGGACGAGGGGGTGCCCTTTCCAGCACAGGTTCCTGACCCACCGGGCCCGGTGTCCACAACGGGAGCGGCACCGTTTTGTGGAGGCTGAGAGTAAGCTGACGAATCAATTTGCTCCAACTGAGTCGAAGGCTGGGTTGGCATCCACTCTCTGGGGTCCAGCAGCAAATCGAGCTCGGGAGAATCATGGTCACACCCCTGCCAGCGGAGTCACAGGGCTGCTACTACTGTTGTTCCTTCTGTTGACTTTTAGGTGTCACACAAGAACCCTTCTCTCCCAACTCCCGCCTGCATGTTTCTTCAAGGAGACTGCGCAATCTCCTATCTTCTGACGTGGGAAGTTTCCCAACCTTCCCTGCCTATCGCCTATGTTGGGCATGATTACCTGTGCAAGACACTGCTTGTCCGGCCATCCTACTTAGAAGAGGGAACCCCACTGGTTGCGCTACGTACCCGACAAAGCGGTGTTGCCTTTCATGTCGCGATAGCTCATCATTGAACTGAGTATAAGGCTGGCGCGAAGCTTTCCCCCAACCCACAACTGTGGTCTGGCTGCGCTCTTAGGGACATCCAACTAGTTATCCCCTCCAGTCAAGATTATCAAAGATGCATCTCTTCAAGGTTCGTCTTCCCATGCGCCTTGCTCATTTCCAATTCAAGCAGTTCTGCCACTAACCTGTGGACTCCACGCATCAGTTTCGAGAGAAGCAGGGCAAAGACAAGGACAAGCCTGGATTCATGCGCAGGATGTCCACCTTGGGGAAGAGCGGTTCGCCGAGTCGCGGGAGAAAAGCGATGTTGAATGCCGCCTTCCTGTCGGCCGCCCTTGCAGGGAATGTCCGGTCCCTCGTCGGCGTCGAGCACTCCCAGGATGGGTCGCTGCGCAAGTACATGCCGCTCCACGAAAATGTCAAGAAGCATGTCCAGCACGTCTTCAGCAGCTTGAATCAGGGCAAGAAGTATGTGTCGCGCGAGAAGTTTGCCGCGTTCCTGAAAGAGACGCAGTGTGTCCAGAAAGACATCCCGTTGACGCAGGACCGTTACAATTTCCAAGAGTTCTATCGAATTTGGAGTAGCGTACGGGAGGCTTTCTGTGCGGTTGGGGCGATACCTGCTCGCGATCTCGACACATCTCGCCCAATCAGCAATTACTTTATCAGCAGCAGCCACAATACTTACCTGGAGGGCAATCAGTTGTCCTCCAAGAGTTCGGCTGAGGCATATCGCACTGTAAGTCCGATTGCCTGCTTGGTTTTGAGACATTAAGCCTAACCTAATTTGTCGGTAGGTACTTCGGCGTGGATGTCGGTGCATCGAAATCGACGTGTGGAATGGCCCAACAACCCGCACACCATCCAGATCACCAGCCCAGGGGCGTCCAAGAAACCTATCAGTGACATCTATCCCCCAATTTGTTTCGACCACCATTGGTGGTCTTCGGAGCCCCAAGGAAAGTGGGCACCTTCGCAGTCTTAGTGCCCAACCAGCCCTAGCATCTCCGGACAAGGAAAACAATTCTGTGCTCGACACTGGGGAGTTATTCGAGCACGTTCAGAGGACTAGGGCTTCGTCATCATCATCATCGGGGTGCAGGACCGAGCCCGTAGTGCACCACCGGGGAACGATGACATCCACCGTTGGCTTCCGGGAAGTCTGCAAAGCGATCCGTGAAAGCGCATTTGTTGACAACCCCCTCCCCATTATCATCAGCCTAGAAGTAGGTGCTGAGAAGGAGCAGCAGGAAGCAATGGTGGAGATAATGAAGGAGGAGTGGAATGACTTGCTTCTTGACAAACCTCTGGAATTCTGCAACCCACACGAACAACAACCTCGATTAGAAGATCTGAAAAACAAAATTTTGATCAAGGTGAAGCGTTTGGATGAGAGCAAACTCGCTGAAGCTGAAAGGGGGAGGAGTCGTGGTATCAACCTTCGCGCCAAGCCTCCAATATGTGAAGCTCTTGCCGCCTTGGCCATCTACACGCATAGTGAGCATTATGAGGACGAACATTCGCTCGGATCGAGAACACCAAGTCATATCTTCAGCCTCAGTGAGGACTGCTTTTTGTCGTTGGCCGCAGACTCGCACAAGCTGCACAAGGTCCTCGCCCATAATCGCGACTTCTTGATGCGGATTTATCCCAAAGGCCTGCGGATTGACAGCAGTAATCCAGACCCGAGTTTCCACTGGAGGAGAGGAGTTCAGATGGTGGCCATGAACTGGCAAAAGACCGACGAGGGGATGATGATCAATGAGGGAATGTTTGCGGGTAGCAACGGATGGGTGCTAAAGCCTGAAGGTCTCCTTGGATACAGTTCTCCTGAAGATGCACAGAACATAGGACATCGAGCCCTGGATCTGCGCATCACCATTCTTGCTGGACAGTTCTTACCCCTGCCCAAGGACAGGAGGAAGACCGGCGGTTTCGGTATTTCTGGAGACAGGAAGCTTCGCCCGAGGGTTAAGGTCGAGCTCCATGCTGAAAAGCGGAGCAAGGCCGAGGACTTTGTGAGAGACACTGGGCCTGCATCAACAGAGAATCCGACTTGGGGGTATCAGCCCAACAGCCTAGACTTTCTGGGTGTCAAGGACATTGTGGAAGAGCTCAGCTTTGTTAGGTGAGTGATTGTTTCCGTTTGTCAAGTGTTTGTCAACTGCAGGAACTGACAATCGCTGAAGGTTTAAAGTTGAGGACGTCTACTCCCCTATCCGGAGCAACCTAATCGCTTGGGCCTGTGTTCGTCTTGATCGTCTGCAGCCAGGGTATCGCTTCCTTGATCTCCTGGACCCCAAAACCCGCCAACCAGTTCCCGGACAACTGTTCATCAAGGTTCAGAAAAAGTCTCATAGCGTATGAATCTTGCATTTGACGCCTCTAGGGAGTTTGTAGCAAACGGCGCCTTTCCGTTTCGACTGTAATTGTCATATTTCTGTCGCTTTGTCCATATTCCTGTCAGATTGTCGATGGTGGAGGGAAACATGTTGATGTTTGGCTCTGCATTTTTTAATTCAGGCGGAGGAAACTCTGTGAGGAACAGAAGGCAAAGATCTGGAAAGCATTGTTGGATAGCGGATACCCACCCAGAGATGTTTCTGTTCTAGACTGAAGTTGAGCATCAAATGCGCGATAATCGAGGTTGGGAGATGCCCTGGTTGTGCTAAATAAATTTTTGTTTGACAATGGAACCTGATGTCATTGTTGCAGCGGGGAATGAACTTTTATCAGATCTCGGGTGCGGCATCCGATCGAAGCTTCCGGGACGTTCGGCAGATAGGGCAGAGAGGACAGAGTGGGGTGGGACCACTGGGGCAGAGCTCCACCCACCCTGCTTATTTAAAGCAACGTCTTTCGTGTTTACCAAAAAATTTTCCTTCCAACGCGTTTCTGCACGTCCAGCCCTCATGATGCTCGGACAACTGCGAGGCTGGACCAGAAAGTGCAGACCGTGTCCACGACAGCTCCTGATATTTCTGTCATTTTATTTGGACACGCGCAAGGTAGGGTTTAAAGCAAGCTCAGTTTGCAGAGGTCGGTAGTCTGCCCTGTGCTGGCCACTTGCTTCAAATGACGCATTGGATATTTTAGGTATGTCCATCTTCTCTTCGAAGCTCTTTCTACTGCCGTTATGATGAGAGTAATTTGCGATTGATCCCGTATAGATGGCGCCCTTTCGCCGGGGTTGCTATATCTTGCGGATAAATGAAAGTCATTCTTACATATTCTGAACACCCCATGGCACATTTTCCTTAACTCTTTCTGTCTACGCCTTCCGTCGATCAAACGGGCTCTTGCTGACGGATCTCCCTTCAGATAACAAGCATACTTAAGATTTGTATATTGTGCTATTAATGGGAAAGGCAAATTTGCACCCTTTGCCCTCCCGTTTGGTACGCACCTCTCTTGTTGCGCCATAAGACGGGGTGATCGATTTGCGGGAGATAGCAAGGTTGAGCAAAGTCTTCGCCCAGCGAGGTACTTGTTCACTCAATACCCGTTGGGTTCAAAAAAAAGTGCTGAGCCGGCTCTACAGTTCTAGCTTAGCAATAGATAAATTTGTTTATGAATCATGGCCTATCATCGTTGTGCTGTGTGTCTGCCTGAATAGAACTATGCTACTGCCAAGCCATATTCAGTATATCTATCTCATCAAATTGGGACTAGGTTTTAGACTACGCCCTGGCAAATGGAGGATGTGTGCCGGTATACCACAGCTCAACGCCAACCAGCAGGATATTTTACAAGCCAGCTATATCTAGACTGATTGAGCTGAGCAAACATGGCAAATCTCTTGCGTGATGTCCTGGTTGTAGCTACCTTGCCTTGCAAAGTTTGTCAATGGTTTGGCATGCCCGTATCGGTGTGAACTGTTGGTATCTAAATGGAGTCTATCAAAGTCATAGGTAAACAGTGAAGATAAAGCCCAAACCCGAAATGGAAAGAAGTTGCCAAGATGCTCAGTAGAACAACAGATCAATATGCTTCTTCTCGTCAGTATACCTCTCTTTGAAGTCAGCCCGCGCTAACAACTTGGCCAGCGGCATCATGGTTTCTCTCATGTCCGTAATGTTCCGCTTCTTCTGATCGATGTGGGATGCATCAACCACGATCCGCCGAAGATTCTCAACAGAAAGGGCACCTGCGGCTCAGAATCAGCATCGACGGTCCAGCACAAATGCCAACTGACGTCTGACAAGTGGGTTGTAGTCAACCTACCATGCTCGATCAAATCGATCAACCGCTGGGGTGTGCCGACCGCAATGCCAGTGCGGGTCTTATTGAGGAAAGCGACCTGCTCTTCCAATTTGAAGTGCTTGGCAAACTACAGGAGTGTCAGAACCGTCTAAGAATCGACTCGCTAAGCACAAGACGGACGACTTACCAGCTTCGCAACCGGGCTGCCCTTCTTCTGGAACTTCCTACATGCCCTGCATGACGTCCATCATGTCAGTCACGGTCAACTTTATCCTGCTTCCAGAAAGCTACGGAATACTACCCACCTCACCAAGTCAGCGGCCCGAAGCCCGGCGGCAGCAACGATAAGGGTGTGAGGTGATCCGTTCTTCTTGGGAGCCTCATCCAGCTTCTCCTTCTCTTGTGCGAATTTCTCCAGGAAACTCGGCAGGTTTTCCAGCGTCCGGTCCTTTTCAAATGATGAACTGTCCCTGATTGACGCCGCTGTTCAAATGAAACTCCCATTCTGACCCCCTCCTTCAAGGAAGGGGAGGATCCCGGGAGCCGGGTTGTCAGCCAAGGTTCTTTCTTTCCCCCGAGAGTGAATCATAGGGTTTCCGTGACTCAATATGGTATATTCACCTGAGATGTACAAGTCATTGAGCTCCACGGAACTAAGTTCTGTACCAAAGCGACGTGTCTTTTGAGCCAGGTGATCAGCTAGCAGCTGACCATCCATACGGGCAAAAGCCCTGTTCAAGCCAGCTTCAACATCCAGGTCGGCATCGTCATCCCGCGTGGGGCGTTTATGCTTCCGCTTCTTACGCGGCTTTTCGTCATCCTGGAGCTTCCTTTTTTTGGTGTTAATGTCATTGTCGAGTGACATTTTGAGAAGTTCGATGCCTGGATGAGATGCTGGAATTTTCTGGTTTGTGATGGATGATATTGTGCCAAGTATGGCCAAGTTCTTGGCTTATGTGAAATCAGCTGGTGTCAGTCTTGGGTTGGGAGAAACTGAGGTGACAAGACTTCTCAGCAGTTGTGTCGTTTATGTCTTGGGAGTCTCCCGGATGAAATGTGCAGTGGCTTGTGAAGTCTCCCCATAGCCTTGGCGATGTCTTGGCATAAAATTTGGCCGCAGACTCTGTGCCCCCCACGGTGCTAGAAATTTGTATTAAACACTGTATTTCTACATGGCACTCAGGATCAATGGGACTTTTCGATGCCGAAATGCCAATCTCAAGCCCAAGTTGCGGCCTAAGAGTGGCTCTTCAAACAGTGCGAAATCTTGTGTCACACCAAGCCCGCTCTTCAAAGCTTAAAAACAGCATGTTGATCTCCCGATTTAGCTTGTTCTTTATCTCTTTTGTCACTCACAGATCTCGAGAGTGGTAGGGGATTAATTGCGATCGTCATCGTGGAAGTTTGGTGTTTCGCAACATGGTTACCGAGATCAACCAAGTTGCTATACAAGGCGTGGGTTGTCCTGCAACAGTGAAAGGCACAACGGGAGCCGGGCTGTACAGGTGACTTGGTCTCCCGACTGGAGCTATGGTCTCCAGACTTCAGCCATTCGCTTCCTGCCCCTCTGATAACGACTACTCTGCAGGTTAACTAATTCCATCCGCAAAGATTGAAAGTGTATCAAGAAAAGACTCAGTGGGACTGTGGGGGGGCCACTCCCTTCAGGAAAAGATATAAAGAATTGAAAGAGTTTTTGTTTTCTCACCTGCTTCTAGGTTCTAGTTCAAACCACCTGTGTATGCCTCAAGTATTTCAAATATCGTGCTTGTTGATCCTGGAATAACATCAAAGATATCGCTATATCATTGGTTTGCATTTTTTCTGTTTCGATAGTGCTGCAACTCATGCCAAGTCGGTGGCAAAGGCACTAAGCTACCATTATTGAGAGACAACCATTTGAACATCCTTAGCAGAGAGGCCGTAAATACGCAGAAAGAACGTTCCTGAGAAGATCACATACGATTCGCTATACACATCCATGGCTCCAGTAGCTCACAAAGATGGAGATATGCCCATCGTAAGCCATTACTATATTCACCAAGATATAGCATGTTCTTGCTAGAGAATGAACGACTTCTGACATATAGTGATATCCTAGACAGCAACTGTCCTTGGAGTGAGTAAAGGTCTCCTGCGGAATATTGAGTTATATTGGCTAACTCTGGCAACTCTGCGACATAGACCATTGGTACAGGTGAGTTGCCCTTTGCAGAGCTGTCCCTTTACTCAATAACGGGCACAGCATTGACCCCTCCTAGTGTATGCATCCTCTTCTCCAGCAAGCTGCTGTAAGTAATCTTCCCAACTGACCACATTTTTGTTATATAGTCTCTGGTGCATCCAAGTAAGTACTCCTGTACCCAATTAACAAGTCTAGTTGGCTTAATTCTGTACAGGTAGTCCCTCAGATATGGACCAACTGGCGAACAAAGAAAACAGATGGCCTTCCGGGCCTAATGATGTTTATGTGGACACTAAGTAAAGCCGCCTATAAGCTGGTTGTTTCCTACATTCTAACCATAACTTCAAGGTGGTGTTCCATTTGGAATATATGCCATCGTCCAGAAGTTCAATGTCCCGTTGCAGATCCAGCCGCATATGTTCTCAGGCCTTTGTCTTATTTGTTGGGGCCAGATCTTGCGATATCATAGGTAAGTTTCCTCTTGCACATTCAACAACCGCAGAACTCGATGTCCATGAAGAATGAGCCTCTAACGGTTAGCAGGAAATGGGCAACCTGGAAAGCCACTTTCATGGTCCTCTTTGTGGGCGCGGTATTTGGCAGTATAGAAACTGCCTTAATCCTCATACTGAGGGTAAGCGTCTTGTTTTGTTGCCATTCGACCACCTTTAGTTCATGTTCATGCTGACAGGGCTTCCAAGCCCCTCCACAACAAGGGGAACAACGCCCCAATGTTTGTTCTCGGCGTCCTGGCAGCCGTCCTGCTTGGAGGTGGTCTGCTTCCTCCGTACAGAGAAATCTGGAAGCGGAGGGGCAGGGTAATTGGCATCAACTGGGTGAGTAGTTGACGGTCAATATCGAGCATATTCAAGACTATAAGTCTAATTCCGATAGCTCTTCTTGGCCATGGACTGGTCTGGATCATTTTGCTCTCTTATGGCGCTAGGTGAGGATCAAGCCTTCTTTTTAGTAGAAGCAACATATACTGACCTCTCTGAAATAGTTGCTCAAAACACTTTCGATGTCTTAGGAGGTGTCATCTACATCGTGATGTGAGTCAACCTCATCCAACGGAATTTTGTCAGCATCGAAATATTCACGCTACTCGAAGTTGTCTTCTCGAGATGGGCATTGGTGTCTCCCATTTGACCTGGTTGTTCCGCACCGGGAGCATCCGCAAGGAGGCCGCTGCTCAAGGGAAAACTTTTGACGACATCCTGGCAGAACATGAGGCCAACGGTACACCATTCAAGTTCGCTGAACGCAAGAGCCGCAGGCAGCAGCCGAGGCAGCAAGTCGACGAGGAAGCGAAGATTGAAGGATCCAACAACAGCAAGGAATTCGTCTCTGGGAGCTCTTCGTCGTCTTCAGAGCACTCGTCTTGATGTCCATCCACACCGCCGGTACCAAAGATCTTGGGGATCTTTTGCAGGCTGAGTCCCTAACGGTAGGGTTGTTTGGGTTTGCTTTTTCAATACAGAGAGCTTTTGGTTATTTGTCTGTGTCCAGGGGGTCAATGGCACATGGAGAACAATGGCAATGCAACGCTGAGAAGCAAACATCGGATGGACTGGTTACACAGAGATGGATCGACGTCATATCGAGTTCCCCGTGTACATATTGCCGTACATGTTTATTCAATTTGCTAGTGTATCAAAATCCCAAGCTTCTCGTTCAATATAGACAATCCATTGATTTCAGTATTCTATTATCCTTACACAAGGGAAAGGCAAACACAGGACAGCTTTCTTGGCCATATGAACTGTGGCGTAACCTGGACCAGGGAACCGGCAGTTGCCATTTGAAATCTAACAACTCTCCCTCTTTAACACTCTAGTTCACGTTGACGATTCGGCCGTGTGGGATCAACAAGGACGAAGCAGCACCACAAGACCCCCACGCTTAACGCTGTCGAGTTACGGCGTCGTGGACAAAGTGCTCTCTCCTGGTTGGTTGGCGCTTACGCAGCAACTGCATGGCTTGAATGGCCGGGAACACGGTTATGTGAGGTAACTGCACGCGCCTGCCTGGCCGTAGATGTCGTCACTACGTAGGTACCTTTGACGTTGTATGCTTCCGCACCGTAGGATAACGGCGGCTTGGAGCGGGTAATGGGTCTCATCGGCTTTTCCCTCATGAGACTTGTCAACTCGAGCGGGTCTTGCATTTGGAGAATTTTTTTTCGATCTTTCGGTGAAATGCTACGCGAACTGGAGAAGCACTTGTGCTTGTCACATAGGAAGAGTTTGTGCAATTCTCGGTCTGTTCATTGCTCCGGTCTTGCACAAATTGTCGTCGAGCCATGGGTTCCAATGTAGTTGTTGCAGCTCAGTTGACTCATTGATAGAGAGCCTCATGACTATGACAGTGGTGCGCTCAATGTGATGTGGCAACAATGTATGACTGAACATTTGGAGGCTGAACCTACCAGATCTTTAATTTTCAGACATTAACCGCCACGGTCAAGCATAACGTGGTTCATGTATTAGTCGGATTTCAACTTAGCTCTTGAAGCCGGTTTCCCATCACGGTTTTGAACTTCTGAGGTTGATAACTATTGAAGTGCACAAGTCTCAGGTCTCAGGCTTGTGGTGCAATAAGTCGATCCATTTCATTTTGGTAGCACACGACTCTTTTTTTCCTGGTTGGCATTATACTTTTCAGTCCCCCGAATCCATGTAATACGTACAACTACACCTATCCTTGCATGCATACATCCTACACTTAGCCATAGTTAGCGGCTAGCCTCTGAATTCTGTCGGTCATTGAGACTGGCTGGATCACGAGATCTTGCTTCGTCGGACGGCACGGATACCCACTTCTACTGAACAGTCAGGTCATCAGCCTTACGGAGTGCTGTTACCTGGATGGATCCCCGAGGAGATCCAGATGGAGCCCCAGAGAATCCATAGCTGAAAACGCAACGTGATGGCCTGCAGGGTTGCCGTCTGCATCTGCAGGTTTTGGATAGGTCCTCTGGGGATGTGCGAGGTGGTATCAGCTCAGCTATTGCGGAGAGTTGCCAGCGAGGAAGAAGACGGGAAGGAGACAAAGGCACGACGTGAGGAACCCGAGACATTGACAAGACCACTGGAAACAGACAGCCTGTCAAGCTGCAGCCGGGCCCGTCTTGCAAGCAACGTCCTCAGCTGTTCCTACAGTTCGGTGCCAAGAATGCCTTGGCTAGAATCCTTCTCAGCTTCAAGATGCCCTCGTCGTCGCCGACCTTGCTGTCCTGTGTCTCAAGCACTGAGTCCGCGCTCAAGTAAGTACTGCATGGTGTATCCGCAAGGAACTTCAAGGAACTTAGTCACCAACAACCAGGCAACAAGCAACATGTTGCTCCCCTGCTTGCCGACAGGAACGCCACCACAGCGGAAGCAAGGAGTTTGTTCAACACTGTCCCTGGCGGGCATTGTGATTCGCCAGATTGCGTCTAGACCGGCTTCCTGCCTTCGATTTGGCCCCGGCTCCGCAAACGCCCCGCGTCCCCATCCATCCAGCAGGACCAGCGCCGCGGCTCCGGATTCGCTCGGGCTAGCGAACTGCTGGTTTCCACTTGTCCGCGCTTAGTTGCGTCAAAATCGCCTGCCAACATCAGCTTCTCCAGGAGTTCAGTTGATCCAGTGCCCAGGCGGTCTTCGCAGTCGTCCAGCTGTGTGCCAACGGAGCTTCGTCGTGTGCAGTGTGCTTGCAGGCTGTCGGTCCTGCTTGCGCTAGGGATTCTGATGATACCCACCGAGTCCTCCGATGACTGTCTCCGAGCTCGTTTTGATCCTGTCACCTCCCCGTAGGGATAGGACGGATGGTTCCTTTTGTTGGTTTTGTAGACAAACGCTCGGCCTTCACATCAGCACATACACACAACAAGCATACCTCACATACCGCAGACTGACCGCGAGGGCACATGCGCACGCCGTCGAACCCTTTCGGTAACATGTAGTACCAGCTCGTCGGCCAGGTTTAACCGCTCGCTTGTCGACTCTCGCGGCCCGTCAAAAACTGCCGCTGTGGCCCTGCCCCTCCGCGCTTGTCCACAGTCCAGGACCAACCCCTGCCCTGCCATCCGCTATCCACTCACTGCAATCCAGCATCCACAGCACCCACCACACCCACTGCGCCCACTGCATCCACCGCCCCCGGCTTTCTCTCTGTCAGCCCCCGGTTTTGTCGGTCGGTCCCCCAAGCAAAACCCAAGAGGCCCAAGAAGGTCCAGGCTGGCGTCGCCTGTGCCGAATAAAGTTTGCCAGGGCATACTTACCTAATTTCCTCCATACCTTCCTGGCCCAAGGAGAAGAGAGAGCTTCTCCCAATCCCATTCTCTATCTCTTTCTTTTCTCCCCTCCCTTTGAAATACACACCCTTCTTTCAGAAAGACGTTCGGTCCCTGTCCATCGGTTTCTGCATGTAGAAATCCTTGGTCCGTAGATCGTCGCATCCGCCCCTTCGGCGTCCCGTGAGGAGTGAGGAGGAAAGAGCTGCAAAGTCTACCCCCCAGAACCTGGTGAGAGAGTGGCGGAAGAACAGAGAACGTTGGGCAGCAGCAGCGATCGATATACGCTTGGTGGATCGATCATTATTTCAACTTCAGATTTTTCTCTTTTTTTTTTGAGTGACAATGCCGTCAAAATACAATTATCAGCCTTGGTGAGCGAGCTTCCCCCTTTTTACTGTCTGAAAATCTTCTCTGGTCCTTTCTGCCCTCCCTTGAGTTTGGGCTCTACCGAAATCGGTCCACAGCCCCTATTTTGTGCGTTTCTTCTCGTTTCGCTCGTTAGTCCACCTTTGAGCTTCACGTCTTATCTTACCTAAAGCTTGGCTTCCCTTTCCTATCTTTACAGTCACTTGCTATAGCGGGAACTAAATGCTGACAATAGACACTTTTCAGCCGAGAATTTCATGTCGTTGTTCTCGGTGCCGGTGTGTCTGCTCCCTCCCCGGTTTCATCACTAGAAAAACCTTTTCCTCGCCAAGCTGGTGCCTTGTCACATGCAGCGCTCGTACTGATGTCTTGTTGCTTGCCGACGAAAAAGGTGGCGTCGGGAAAAGCTGTCTTACTGGTACGCTTATTCTTAGGCCCCACACCATCACTCAAAACCTCTTGGGTATTCTTGAAGGCTTTTAACATGCTGCTGACCTATGTTCGCCAACAGCTCAGTTTGTCCATAATGAATGGATTGAGAGCTATGACCCTACGATAGAAGATTCCTACAGGACACAGAAGTCTGTCGATGTAAGTTGAGCTCACAATTCTTGAGTGATGACCAAGGCTAACTCCTCTCGTAGGGCCGCCAAGTCGTCTTGGAGATGTAAGTCTTCACTGACAAATAAACAGTTGGGTATTATGCTGACATGACACTCCTCGGATAGTCTCGACACAGCTGGCACGGAGCAATTCGGTATATTATTAACCCACTTACCATGCCATTACCAGTTGACAAGCTAACACAAGTCCCAGTTGCTATGCGAGATCTCTACATGAAGACAGGCCATGGCTTTCTTCTAGTGTTCAGCATCTCGTCCAAGGCGTCTTTTGAGGAGCTCGAACAGCTCCGCGACGATATCATTCGCGTCAAGGATTCCGAGGACATCCCGATGGTGATTGTCGGTAACAAGGCCGACCTGGAGGACCAACGGGTTGTCGACCGTGCTAAGGCATTTGCTCTCTCTCAACGGTGGGGCGCGCCGTATTATGAGACGAGTGCCAGGACGAGGAGTAAGTTGAATAGTTGATATTCCTTGTGAGCTGACAAGGCGTATCTAACATCCCTCTACAGCGAACGTTGATGAGGCGTTTATTGACCTCTGCCGGCAAATGCTACGCAAGGATGACACTCAGGAGGACATGCACGACATCGGCGGCATTCCTGGTGTGGAAGACTGGGGCGGCAAGAGGCGCCGCCGTAAGAGGAGAAGGGAGAAGTGCCCTATCCTTTGACTGAGATGATCATGGACGGGTTGGAAAGTGCGAGCACGTAAGACTATTCTGTTTCTTTTTCGCTGTTCATCTTGCTGGAAATGAGGAAGAATAGTTGGAGAAGGCTTCATGGACATGAGTTTATGAACTAGATATGATGATATATATTGGACAGATTATATGCCTGCCATGCTTTACTTCGGGCTAGGGATAAGGAAAATACAATAGTCATTGGGCCATAGGGTTCATTCTGGGCGTTGAGGTTCAACAGTGTCTTGGCAATGAGTCTGCAATGAAACTCCGTTTCCAGTTTGAAGGGCTGGTGTTCTTGTGCTAATCATGAAATTCGGGTGAAAATTCCAGACACATACGGGCTCACAGGGGTTCTGTCCATTTTTGTTGTTTCCGGTTTGAAACAAATTTACACCCCTGACAACCGACGGCATATTCGTTTGATCATAGAATGTACTCCCGTACTTGGGATGATATATTTATCAGCGTCGACATGTGATTAACCGGTCGGGTTTTGTGCATGGTTAGCAGGTATCCAAACCCCTTGTCGAAAACACCAAACAAAATAATCAAAGTTGCACTGACGGATTTGTTGTCGACTGTAAGAAAGTCGCATATCTTAGACGGTATATGCGCAAATTTAAATATACCTGGAGATGAAGCCAAAACTAGCGAAATTGAATTCACCAGCCCTATAACGTGGACAACTGGAGGAGGATCAGAAGTGATACTGTGAACGCTGAATTGTTGACTGGTTATGCGTTGAAAGCTGATGTGTGTTTCCGTAATATCAACGTGAGCCTGGATAGAAATACCTGGCTCAGGTAGAGACGTGCATGTGATTCCTACAAGCATATGTCTAAAACGCCAATGATGTTGAGCAATTAAGCAGGAAAAGATTGGGCTGAGGAATTGCGAGATACAATGAGAGAGTCGTCGTGATCCACGAAATAACGTATTAATTTTTATGAATAGAAGGATGACTAAGTTCGAACCGAGTTCTCGAAAAATGGGTATCATCTTGGTTCTTGTATCTCAAAGTTATATGTGATCATGCAGTATTTACCGTGAGGACGACAATAGCCGTGATGCGATCGCGGATGGACAAACCCCCCGCCGATATCAGATCCAATGTGGGGCACATCTGCTGGGCCAGGCCTGGTCTCCCGATGGGCCGCATGGCCCAGATCCACTAATCTAACTGGGCCGGTTCTTGCCTCCTCAGTGGGTTCTGGGGCAGAGACCCTGATGGAACCTTGGGTGGAGCCACAAGGGGAGCAATCGAAAACGCTTCACTAGCGTGATCACATTAGCGATGCTCCTTTATCTCCCGCAAAAAGTGGCCCTCTTTTTTCATCAAAGTCCCGTTGCGCTGGAACTGGGATCTCCCAACCATGTCTTCTGTTTTGGATCAGCCGATCTTCAACGACCAGATGGGGCTTCTCTCTGACGGCGCCATGTACGCCGGGAAACTGCCACGAACGAACGACAGCGCCAGTGGGGAGAGATGAGGGGTCACTTCGACATCGGCGACAACGCGTGGCTGCGATGCAGTGCACGGACCGAGAGGTCGCGTCGTCGTTGCTCTCAACGAGAGCGTTGTCGTCGGTCGCTGTTGTCCCCTCTTTGTTCGTCGACAGTCCATCAACGGGCGTCTACGGATTATCGATACAACCCCTTCGCATCCAACGCAACGTTTGTGTTGCGCCAGTTGAAGAGTTTGCTGCCGATGCCCGGGTCCCACCCCGCAAGCTGCTGCGAGGAGACGTAAGGACGAGATGGTTCGAGCGCGCTCGGTCTCGTGCGTCCCGATGCGCTCCTTGCCGAGCACGTTGTTGCTGTGGCTGTGTGGCGCAGCATCATTAAAGTCTTCGAATTCCCTCGCAGTTCAGCGTTAAGTGGTCTAAAGCAGGATTGATAGAAACGGCTAGATATATCCGTTTATTTCCAGCTTTACAACAATGGTGCCTAGCACATCTTTCGGAGCCGCCTATCCCCAGACTTGGGTGTGCTGTTGATCTCCCGTTAGGTCTCACTGGGTGTGGCCCAGCCTAGCGTGGGAACCTGGACCCTGAGAATGTACGCTGTTACTCGTCTGAAGTCTGCAGACTGCAAGTCACATTCACAACTCCATCGTCACGTTGCTCTGCATCCCTTGAGGATCGAATCCTGCTCAACTTACCGGTAACTTGGATGACTGAGAGTTCCGCTGGCTAGCTCTCCATCTCATCAATTCAGTTCTGTTGCTATCAGTGCCATCGTTTGCTCGGTCTCTCATCGACTGTTTTGATCTGTGCATGGAGAGGGTCAAGGCTGAGTTTTTGGCCCCTCGTTTCTGCGGCGTGCGGTGTTGACGACATCGTATGTCAACACCTGAGCCTTTCATTCCATTTTGTTCTCTCTCATACGGAACCGCTGTACTGGGCCGTTGCAATTTCTCGTTTGTACAACTGTTCGCCCTTCGTCGAACGCATGTTGCAAACAGATAATCATCATCACTACCATCGACATCATCGTCAGCCCAAACCTACATTACGGATCACCCACAGACGGACGGCCACGCACTACTGTGAGAACGCGCAGAAGTGATTGATGTTCCCTTGATCTTCAGCCCCTGTATCCACGCATTCTTTCAATTTCTTGGTGCTGTGGACTTTTCCCAACATGCCACTTGTCCCGCAATTCTGAAACGACAGCCGTTCACCCATACCCCGATTTCTTAGACCTGATCCCCGACCCCCCTGTCAACACCCCCTTCCCCTCGACTGTGCACTGCAACTGTCCGACCGCAGTCTCCCCCCCCCCCCTCTCCCTTCGAGAGAACCTTTGTGGGTGGGCCTAGTTGCCTTCATCATCGACGCCCGCTACCCAGATCACCTCACCCTAAGGCGCATTGCGCTGATCTGGTCATCTTCCTCTGGATAGGCTAAGGATCTGTTAACCAAGAGGTCTTTCACAACAAAGAGCCTAGGTTATCAACAAATATGCTACCAATATCCACAGTGTTGGAGAAGACATTGAAACGTTAAGTGTAAGTAATGTCTCGTCCTTCGGCAGCCCGTTCGTTTTCAATGTTTAGCCTTCTTTCCTCTCAGCTTCCGGGACGCGGGTGAAGCCACCCCTACACATATCCCGCGCCATGGTCCAGTCCGGCCGGGCCATCTCCCCGGCCAAATTGGCAAATGTGGGCTCTTGGGTACTCACTCACGCTCACCTCAGGTTCAAGCCCCCCTTCTCACAACCACCTGGCTAACCTCTTCTTTCCTGCGGCTCAGTTCTGTCTCGTATCATCTCATCTCTTTCACCTTCGCGCGGTCGAAGGTAGCTGCTTTTGGCCACATACATTTCATCCTCTACCTCACTTATAGCTCGATCACCACGGCCGGTGTACTGCGTTACACGCCGGCGGTCCTATCTTCTCTTCTGTTTTCTATTCGCCTTCGCATAGATTGCTGTCGTTCGTTTGTCCGGATACATACACCCACGGTTTCACGGCTTTGCTTTGGTGTTGGATATCCGTCGTTTGCGCGCACTTCCGATCAGGGTCGCGTAAACGGTTTTGATCTTGAGGCTTACTTCACTTCGACATCTCCCACCCGCTGACTGGACGATCTTATCTTCAAGTTGTCTCTTGTCACTGGAGACCTCGGGGATCCGCCTATGGGTTATCCAGTTTGTTGTCTGGAAGAGATATCATCTCAGAACTCGGCGATAGAAAGAAGTTAAGAGGTGATACCGCATGTGTTGTGGTGCAGACTGGGACCTGAGATAAATGAACTCTCAAAATGGAAGAGATATGGACTCGCTGGCAGAAGGATCCGTCAGGAGGGCAAGGGAACGTGCCGCCGCCGGCCTGCCAAGTCAACCTTACCCTCCCACGCGGTCAGCGCTCGGAAGGATGGACAACGAACCACCACCGATGGCAAGACCTTCAGTCCCCCGCCAACCAGCAATAACGCCTACTGCTGGGTCAGCTTCACGGGGCCCTCGGTCACAGGTTACATACCCTCGTCCAGCAAATGAACAACCGATTGGAATCGCCATCTCGAGACCGATGCCAGTACCGCAATGGCCGCTCCAAGAATCCATCCCCGCTGCCCCGGTAGTCGACGAGCCTTACCGGCCGCCGACCGCAGAATCGCGAGCTCCAGAGAGACCTCAGCGCCCAAGTAGAGTTCCTTTGATCCAAGACAGCTCCAAGGTGCAGGAACCGACTCCAGTTTTTCAGTATCCTCCCAGTTCCCTAAGGGATCGCGCAAGCCCAGATTATCGCGGGACTCCCGAAACCCCATCATCATTTTCACGACCGCCATCCACCATTTCATCCGTTGCTTCTCTTTCCGACTTTCCTCTTCCCGTTCAAATAACCACGGGGCCACCAAGGAGAAGCGTTAACCTCGGACCTCCCCCATCATCCCGGCGCGGTGCATCATCCTTCTACTCAACAACCTCGTACGTTTCACCAATTCCCGAAGAAAGCCCTCGTTCTCGATCTCGCACATCATTCGCATCAAGCGCTGCGATGCCAGATAACTGGGGGACACCGTCACCTGGACCAAGTCCCGATTATCCTGACCCAGCTTACGCCGAGGCGATTGCAGAGGAATCCGATGATGATGAGAGGGGACTCGTGAGAAGTGCGAGTGTAGGAAGAAAAGCAAAGCCGACATTGGTGACCGGAGGAGCTTCTGGCAATCCTGCAGGAGTGAATGGCAATGAATTGCCGGTCCCACCGCCGGGTCAGACCGGACCTTTGAAAGATGGGACAGGTTACATTGAGGGTTCGAGTGACTCGGGGTTGCAACAATCACTTGCTAGGGTGCCCACGGGTTCGGCGGTGAGTACGGATACCACGTCGAATGCCAATTCCTCGGCGAACGGGCAAGATCAGTCGAGCAACAGTTCTCTACCGACCTCGAACTTTACTGAGCCCGCCGGTGGTCGGGGTTACAGCCGGTTATCAGCAATACGAAGGCCGCCAAGGTTGGATATGGAGGCCGTTCGGAACGCGGAGGCTCGGGGAAGCCTGACGAGCTTACCGGAGCTCATCCGGCGTGCGACTAGACTGGCTGCGAGCCTTGAGAAAGGCAGACGACCGGCCAGTCGGTTTGGCGATTTGGACGACATGCCTCCGTGGACCAACGAGAACAACAGCAGGAGTAATGTCGAGAAACACCAGTCGGGAATCTCAGACATGCTGGCTGCTTTCCCCCCTCCGGCTAACCCAGCAGCAACAACGACGCGCGATCGCCGCAGTCTTCGCGAGAGTGTGAAGGGTCTATCATGGCCCTCACCTTTTGGTATCAATCGCACCGTTACCACCTCTCATGAAGCTGTTTCGAACAACAGCTCAGAACGAGGAGGGGAGAGAAGACGTCGGCGCAGGTATTGTGGGTTGCCCATCTGGGCATTCATCCTCGTCATAATTGTCATCATCATCCTGGTGGTCGCGGCGATCGCCCTTCCCATTCAGTTCTTCGTACTCAAGAAGCCGGCGGCTGATGGGGCGCAGGCAGCGATACAAGAATGTCAGCAGCAGCTCATGTGTCGCAATGGTGGCACGAATGTGCTCAACAATGGAGTCTGCTCTTGTCTCTGCGTTAATGGCTGGACAGGTGCCGACTGCAGCGTATTCGATCCGGTGGGCTGCGTGACATTTCCTCTTCAAGGGACAGACGCCACGGTTCGTAACGTCACGGTCGGCGATGCCATCCCACGCCTGATCGAACAAGCGCAGGCCAACTTTTCTGTGCCCCTATCGGCCGATACTATCCTCATGAAACTTGATGCTGGCGGGCTGAGCTGTTCAGCTGAGAATGCGCTCGTGACTTTTAACGGCCACTCGACTCGCCAGGCTAGCTCGTCTATTCAGGCCGTCGTCCCAGATGGAGTAAACGCCGCAGTCATCGACGGCGTTCTCTTTACCACCATCACCGTCATTGCCTTCCCCTTCACCACGTTCACTCTGACTCCCGGCGTGACCGCCACAACCATCCGCACAACAGTCACAGGCAACCTTGGCACAACGCTCTCGCTGACAATCATCCGCCCCACAACCACCTCGACGTCGTTCTCACCAACTCCGACAGCAACTAGGACGATCATGACAACCACAACATCCAGCCTCTCCAGCGGCGACCCTATGCCAACCTCTGTTCCCGGAGGGAATGTCTTCACCGTAACGGAAGACCGCCTCGACTTCGCGCGCGTGGCCGTGCTCTACGTCCTGCAAGAAGTCACAATCGACGCAGCAGAGACAGCGCAGCAGAGCCTGCAGCGATTTTTTACCGCGGCCGAGGGCAGTCGGCTAGGTGGGAGTGGTACTGAGAATAGCGATGGGAGGTCATCGTCGTCGCCCGCGTCTGGGGTTAGCCTAGAGCAGGCGAGAAATGTGACGATTGGGGAAGGCAGGACGGTGGATTTGGTGGGGTTCGTGATTGATTTGGGGGATGGGAGGAGGGTTGGGAGTGGAATGGGGTAAAAGGTTATCGAAATTGGGTTGGTCGGGTGTACGTTGGGTTTGTTGGCTTGGAGAGTCAAAGTGTTTTTTTTTTGACTTTTATGGAGTTTACTGGGGTATATGGAGAGGGTGATGAGATGGAAAGGGTTGGTATTTTTCTTTTCTAATTTTGGTCTGTACGTTAGAATATTTCGCACCAATGTGGCGAGGGATTTCGGTTCGGCCGGTGAGGGCTAGATCACTGGATCGATCACTATACTATTGTTTACTCTGTACTTGTACATTACACTGACTACACAGCAAGCTAGACTAGCTTTTCTTTGGCAGTTTGCTTCGGGATACGAGAGACAGTTACCTATGTTTTGCCTAGGGTAATTACTAGCATTGTTGGGTTAGTGCCGGTCTAGGAACGATGGGATTGAATGAAGTGGATTGAGCTGGAATATAGATACCCTTGAGATGGCAGTTGAGGAAAGTGGCGTTCAGAAAAAGTACGTAGATGAACAAGTGTGTGAGTGGAGACCAATCAAGCTGAAGATGTCGACCAACTTGTTGATGGACTCAAGAAGCCGATGATATTGACTTCAGGACATCAAGTTCAATGAGGGTGTCAAGTCAGATAGTTAGCTTGAATAAATGTATGATTCCGTCTCATGTGGGTGGCTACGCTAGCATGAAGATGAGCCATGGGATCGATTTGTCTGAGACGTTGTGATTCCCAAGGTGCAATCCGATCGTGGAGAGCGAGTTTGGTGGTGGAGCCCTTTCGTTCATGCTGCCTCAGGCTGCTGTCGATTGGAATTTGGGTAGTCTTGGCGCTTCATCCTAACCAGAGCCGGAGAAAGTGGGGCGGGTCATTGCCTTGTTGGAGCGGGAGATGACGCCACAAGATGGGGCTCGGGAAACAAGCCTGCGCTGTGAGTGCTCCCAAAGTGTCCGGAATCACTGCCTCAGGAGTTCAAGTGGTGCCTGCAAGAGAACGTTCCTTAGACAGCCCGGGTTCCCGGGTCTCTTGGCGCTCTCAAACATAACACGCCATGGTCCACACGTGCCCGTGCCCTTGTTCTCTCTCTTCAACAAGGCTACTGCTGTGCTTCGCCTTTGTTTCCAACCTATTGTCGCCTTCTCGTTTCCTTTGCTTCATTTGTTCCTCTCGGTCTCTTCTTGATATCGATACCTACCAGCTTTAATCATACCTCCGATACTTATACACGCCGTGACACTTCTCCTTTTTGACGACGCTCATTACCACTACGAACGCCCTACACTCTTCGTCCTAAAGGCTGTGCAGCATCATGAAACTGAACTTACTACCGGCTGCGGCTGGCCTGCTGGCCGTACCGACCTCTGTTGCCTTTCTGATACCGCCAGACCTCCCTAATAAGGACATTGACCTTGCGCTCAGTGACGCTCCCACTGATGCTGTTGATACTATCGCCAGGGCTCTCAGCGATTCGAGTGTAAATGACTTCGATTTGTTCGCTTCCTCTGTTCCCGACAGCTATCAAATCGCTGTCACGTGCCACGGCTGCCCCGGCAAACGTCACAGCAAGGATCCTACAGAGCCCAAATATGGTCTCTTTACATTCATGTTTAAGATCATTAACCACGATAACGAGCCAGACAGCTTGTGGGTGGACCAGCGTCAGATTTGGCCCATCGACGAACAGAAGCACTACCACGAGTTTTACGCCTGGTATGAACTGGACTGCTCTGTGCCGAATCTATGCAATCCGGCTAGTCCCCTTCCCGAGCCTCTTCACACTCCGTCTATCGGTTGGGGCATAAAATACTATGAGAGGGAGATGGAGGAGCGCAGCAAGAACATCAAGCTCCTCAATCTGCGCTTCTTCATCCACAGTGTCGATCACATTCCCGTGGACGGCATCCCGGATGAGGTCAGCATTAGCATGCTCCAGAACGAGGAAGGCCGGCTGGTTATCGCGGACATTAAGGCAGTTACAGCCGGGACGCCCTATGATTCCCCAATCACCGAGGAAGGTCTTCAGCTTGCCATAACTTCGAACAACGAGGGTGACGAGGAAGGGTCAGAACCCGCGACTCCCACTAAGCCTGCCGACGGCGAGTTTGAAATTATCGTCGTCGAGATCACCGAGTCGGTTGACCAGCAGCAGGAGGAGTCCGGCAACGACGACACCGCCGAGGAATGCACTGACATCTTCTGTGAGCTTCTCGCCTACACCAAGGAGCAACTCAAGAAGCTCAAGCAGCTTAAGATCTTCAAGGGCGGCTGCCATGGCAGGCCCAACGATATGCCGCACCACATGCCTGGCCCTCACCATATGCCTGGCGGCCCTGGCCCACACCACATGCCCCCCCAATCGCCTGGTGGCTTCCTGCCTCACCATCCTCACCACCATCATCCCCCGCCGCCCCCTCCCCCGGAGAGCCCCTTCGCTGATGAGCTGAAGCACGATGATACCTGGCATACGGAAGAATCATGGGCTCAGATGGTTCACGATGTTGCCGTCAACATCCTTGTCCCTGTCCTGATTGGCATTGTTGCTGGTGTGAGCGTTAGCATGTAAGTTTCCCTGTAAAGCATTTCTTTGTCCCATAAAATTAGTTTACTGACAATTTTAAGTATCGGCATGGCCATCGGCACCCTTCTCGTCTCGACCTATCGCAAGTTCCTGTCCAGCCGCCCGCGCGAGAATGATAATGAAAGCATGATCGGTCCCAAGCCTTCTGCGAAGGAGGCTGTAGTTGTTGATGAGGAGAGGGCTGGTCTGATGGAGAACCAGGACCTGCCGCCTGCGTATGAGGATGCTGTTGCTCCGGCTCCGGCGTATGAGGTGCACAACGAGGAGAAGGCTTAGGTTTGAGAGTGACGGATGCGAGATTGGAGTATGAACGTGCATGGTGGCTTTGTTGGATAGGGATTTTGCGGCAAATGTATGACGTTGAATGGGGGGCTGATTGACTGTTAGCTTAGACTGGGACGCTTTGAGATGTCCATTCCATGCACTCTCTAAATTTCCTCCTGTTGCTATACTTCTCTTTACAGTGTGTGTAACTTCTTAACAAATTCCCTTTAGGTTACTTATCTCCAGTCACTTTATAGAAACACTGGTTTGTATACTGAGCTCTGTGGAAGTCCAAGTGATGAGGGGAATTAACCGTCGCCCGAAAGCCATGAAATAGAGAGTGTACTCTCAGTCTCCTTCAGCTTCCACCGTGTCAGTTCCCAAATGAATGTCATTCGATCGAGTAAACTCTGAATCTGAAATACATCTTTCTTTTATGAAGAATTTTAAATCCACTCCCTGAGTTCATCTTGAAATACCTTCCCTCTTGACGTCACTCTCCAACCCGGGAGAGCAAGAGATCGACATCGACAAGGGTTTCGCAGCACAGGGAAAACTCCACCACTCACACCATCGGACTGCCGTGCATAGGGTCCCATCCAACCATCCATCACACAGCCCATCAAACAGTGAGCTCCGGCCGGCAACGGTTTATGGTAGGTGAGTGAGGTGGCCGCTGAACGGGCCGCAGCCTGTTAAAGAGCTCCACTTTTTCCAGCTGAAACGGGACTGGACCCTGGACAGCCCCACTGGGAAAAGGTCGGCTGTCCGCCTTTTTTTGCTGGAGAGGGAGCGGCAGAAAAATTCCCAAGTTGCAGGGTGCAGGCTGGTACTTCACTTTCGAAGAGGGATTGAAGAGGACGGTCTCTCTTTTTCAACCAAATTGTAATTTCGAATCATATACTCCTTCAACAGTCAATTGACTTCGGCTACAGCCCATCAACCACAACAATCATGGCCAAGGGATCGAAGAAGAGGCAACGCGCCGCCGATGAGGATATCGCTGACGTCCAGGAGCATGAGGAGACCAGCCCGGCCGTAAAGAAGAGCAAGCTCGACAGCACCGGGAAGGCAGAGGCTAAGAAAAAGGAAAAGAAGGAGGAGGTTACGAAGTCGGAGTCTATGGAGGTTGATCAAGAGGGCAAGGTGAACCAGACCAACGGCAATGTCACGAAGGAATCCAGTGCCGCTGGCGATGACAAGTCCGGCAAGAAGAAAAAGAGGAACAAGAAGAACAAGAAGTCCGACTCTGCCAACACAGAGCAGGCACAACAAGAGCAACAAGACGGCAATCAACAAGATGACACACCAGAAAATAAAGACCAGCAGCAGCAGCAGCAGCAACAACAACAACAACAATTAAAAAAGAAAACCCGTTTCATCGTCTTCGTCGGCAACCTCCCCTTCACAGCGACCGCCGACTCTGTGCGCGCGCACTTCGCTGCGTTGCATCCAATCTCTGTGCGCCTGTTAACCCAGCGTGACGACCCTTCCAAGTCACGCGGCATCGCCTTTGTCGAGTTTGGCCGGTTTGACCACATGAAGACGTGTCTGGATAAGATGCACCACAGCATATTCAATGATGGGAAGTCGCCGGCGAGGAAGATTAATGTTGAATTGACGTATGTATACCCCTCTTGCATTGGTGAAGTGGGCCGTGTGTGTGTGCAGGAAGAAAGACTAACCAGGTGAACAGTGCTGGTGGTGGCGGCAAGACGCAGCGGCGCAAGGAGAAGATAAAGCAGAAGAATGCAAAGTTAAACCAGGAGCGTGAAAAGAGGCTTAAGAAGATTGAGCAGGAGAAGAAGAAGAAAGACAAGGAAAAAGATAACGCCGGCAAGCAACAGGGAGAGGACAAGAAGCAACAGAAAGAACAAGAACAGAGGGACGAAGAGGATATTCATCCTAGCAGGCGGATGCAGGTGCAGTATAAGGCGAAGTAGAGTGTTGTGGTATGGAGGGAGAAAGTCCGGAATGGGAGCATGATGTATTACTGATACCCCTTTGTTTTGGCAGTGCGCCAACTCGAATGGAAGCATAGAGACTATAAGCATCTTTACGGCCACTGCACTCTCATCTTATGCATGGTTCATTCAAGTTATGGTTTTGTGTTGCTGAAAGGGCACTGTCTCACTCTCAACACATATCCACACCAACATCAAACAACTTCTATCAACAACTTCTTTTCTTCCGCTACTACTCTCCTTTTACCTACAGCAGCACGCTGACTCTGTGCTCCTGAATTAACGTTCCAACGCAAGAAAACGCGGAATGGGGAGCAAAACCACCTAGGCAAAGTGAAAGCAATAGCAGCACCAAAGTCAGAATCAACAACGATACAAAATACATAGGGAGGGGAAAGAGGGGAGGGTGCAGAATGACACAACAAAGAAATGGAAAAACAAACAAACGTAAATAAAAAAAAGACCAAAAACCAAGTCAGCTAAACGCCGCCAGCCTTGCCTGTCTTTCTGTAGGTAGTGTTGAACCAGTAGTTGTCAAATAATGCAGGAAAGGTCAATTGACGAGGGAATGAAGAAGCAAATCCAACGAAGACATAACAACCTTTGGTCCTGGTGTCAAGTACAGCTATCCATCCATCCACCCTTCTATTCCCTCTCCCATCCAATGTTAAGGATCTCCATCGCATAAGTTCGACCTTTCATCCATCTAAACCATATCCATTCCGACAATGAGTATGTGCTGTGCTATCGTCCATAAGGGGCGAAGACGATTCCATGGGGAGGTGAGGCCGAGATTGAGATAGAGGTCGCCTATCCCACACCAAAAACCGCCAACCACTTTGGAGGCCATTCATTAATGTTTGGTCTCACCAGTTCGACAACATTAAGACTTGAAGAATGTAAGAGTAGATATTCGTCATTCATAAGAGCGATAATGCAGAGATCCGAAAACGAAACATAGCGTTGGTGCCCGTATCCTCACAGCCATCGCCTAGACCTATGAAGTGTAATCTCTCGAAAGGACGACGCAAAGAAAAGCAACGACTAAGTAACATCTCTGTGTATTGTTCTCCAGATCAGACAATGGCCTGGTGAGGGTAAGGAAAGATAATAATAAGAGCAGGGAAATGCTTTGCGGTTCCCGTTTAGTAATTTACCATTTGTCTCTCCGCTCCGTTGCGCCTCATTCTCTGTAGTTCAAGTGGTGGCGAAAGTTGTATAGTTTGGTGCAGGTGAAACGACTCTCAACCCCCGATTGATCCCCCCTTCCCTTCCCTAAGTAGAACTGCGCACACACATATACTTCATTTGCCCACCGTCATGGAGAGAGAGAGAGAGAGAGAGAGAGAGAGAGAGGGAGATAAAAGGAAAGAGGAGGATGCCACCAGATACCGAACCCAAAGATCCAAGAAGTTTCTTTTTTTTTTCCCGCAACGCAGCGCAAGGCCGGGGCCGAAAAAAAAACACAGATCCTTCAATCGGGTATAAATGGTTGTTCGTATCGCGGAATCTTCATTCATCGTCGTGGTACGGGGGTTAGGAGGATTCGACGTGGAGTCGAGTCGAGTGGATATGTGCCGCGTCATGTTATTCAAAGCAGCGTGCACTGCTTTTTCTTGGCCGGCCTCGACGAGGGTTTCTGGGGGTCGAGAACAGCGCTACGGTAGGATAAGCATCAAGATTGAGCAGATGGACTGGGCTGGAGAAGGCTTACCGGATGGCGCTGTCAAAGACGGCCTTAAGGCCCAATTGTGTCAGGGCCGAGCACTCGACGTACTTGTAAGCATTGATCTGAGCGGCGCGCTCGCAGCCCTGCTTGTATGTGATGGGAGCCATCTTCTTCTCGGCCAACTTGCGGATTTCCTCGGCATCATCACGCTTATCTAGCTTCGTACCGACGAGGATGATGGGGGTGCCAGGTGCATGATGGCTGATCTCAGGATACCACTACAGGATGTTAGACAAACAGATTTACAAAAAGTGATCGCAATATTCTTGCCACTCACCTTGGCAAGCACGTTGTCGAAGGACGGCGGGCTGATGAGAGAAAAGCAGATAAGGAAGACGTCGGTCTGAGGATATGACAGAGGACGTAGGCGGTCGTAGTCTTCTTGCCCAGCAGTATCCCACAGGCCGAGGCTGATGGGGTTGCCATCGACTGTTACACTGGCCGAGTAGTTATCGAACCTATAATGCGCGTGTCAACTGGCGGACTTGGAGTGAGCAAACAAGACGCGGCGAGAAGAGGTCCGACATACACCGTGGGGATGTATTCGCCGGGGAAGGCATTTGTCGTGTAGGAGATGAGCAGGCATGTCTGCAGAGCTCAATGTCAGTCGCGAAAGCCCAACTTCGTGTGCGTGTTGTGCGCAGCGTGCGCGGGTACCACGGTCGTACCTTGCCGACAGCACCGTCACCTGTGACGACGCACTAGATTTGAGCAGATTAGTTAGCACGCTCTCTTATTTAGATCGATGAATAGGATGTCTTGTGGTGCTCGAGATGAGGTTGGAATTGGCGGCGTTGGAGATAATGGTTGGATAAGGGGCGACGGATCATCGTACTTTGATCGACTGTACTGGCTGGGCCATGGTTGTGGCGGTTTAAGGGACTGGAGTGCTCTAAGATGGTGATAACTGAAAAATAAAAAAATAGTGGTCTCGTCAAGAGACGCGCTTGTGTTGTGGTAGAAAAGGTGATGCACGCAGTGCAATTGATGGGGTTGTGAGGTGGGAAGAGGCAGAAGGCTGGGGTTGCAGGGTTGGTACAGGAAGGCTTGTTGAGAAAGGCTGGTGGTTGATGAGTGGATGTGCAGGTGGTCGAGGATTAAAGTCAAGGACAAGGTTGTGGTGCAGTGGTGGAGGAGAAGAGGGAGGACTACGGCGAAGAAAGGCGAGGCCTGGCTGGTGCTGGTCCCAGTGCTGCTGTGTCGGTTTGTTGGCCCACCGCCTAGGCTTGGTCTTGGTCCCAGTCTTGGGTTTTTGACTTTGGCGTGAGTTTACTGCTGCGCTTTTGCTCAACGTCGCGATGGGGTCCTTTTTCTCGAAAGCTTTAGTATCAAGTCTACGAGCCTGATCAAACCCGAAAAATGCACAATGCACACAATCTGTTAGAGATGAGAAAAACGAAACATTGCTTGGTCTATCAGTGTGTATGGGGAATAGCCAAATCAGGAGAGCCAGTCTGATTTGACGCTGTAGGCAAAATCGGCGAGGTTTGGGAGGGATGGTCCAGTTTCTGGATTGGGAAATGGGTGATTCGAGATAAAGAGGTGTGTGCACTGTGTGGTGAAATGCCAGTGGTGGACGGCCGATTGATTTGACGCTCGATGACACTGGCCGCGTCCGACCAGTCACCAGTGGCACACCTCCTGGTGAGCTCCTGGCTGCTCCTGCAGAGCGACGGCGGCTCAGGAGAGAGCCTGCAGCGGGGATGCAAGTGGAGCGCAGCGCTGGATACCATCATTCTTGGCGGCACATGCTCTGTTTTTCGGCCCCATTGGCTCTAGCGGGTCCCAGTGTGCCAGCAGCTCGCACACCAGTGTGGGTTGGGCTAGGCCAGCTCACTCACTGCCACCCTCCTCTGCCGTTTCTGGTTCTTCAGCACGTTTGCAAGGGGCTGGCTCTGACACGTTCGGCTTCAACCACCTTGTAGGCCCCGTTGGAACAAGTCAAACGATCGGGAGAGAGCTGTTCACTTCTATCAAGGGCCCAGTGCTAGAGCCGGGCTGACCTCCAAATGTTCAGACACGCCATTCTCCCTATGGCCACCACAAAACGGCAGCCCCAAGTTGATCTGCGGCCGGCATCAAGAGTGTTCATCCCTGTATCAGGTGCCAAGGCCGCCGACCGCGATCTTGGGTGACCGTCATTGATCCCAATGGCAGATTTGGGGCTGGTAATATATGAAAGACTCAAAGTCGAAATCAAAAACTCATCTGGCGTGTTCAACAAGGCTGTCGTGTAGCTCCGTGTTGCCTTGCACTTGGGGGCGGATGCAGGCACACAATATTCAAAGATGCAGGCCAGAGATGCAGGTTGGAAGGATCAGGTCCGATGATGAGTTACGGATTTCAAGATTGATTGGAGATATTGTGAAACGATGAGTTTCTACGAGCAACGACTCCCGGCGGCTACAAAACGAGTAGTCGGTCTTGAGGATGGCATGCTACCTTCATCAAAGGTGCTCTGTTACATCCCCATATCTCAGATCAGATCACCGATAGAGCTGTTGAGAAGACAAGACAGTCTGACCTCTCACATCCGGTGTTACACAGCCTAAACTTACCGTGCGCAGTATCTCCTCAACCAAGGAAGATCTCCTCTCATCTACTACTGGCTGCGGGCGGTAGAAGATGGCTTTTGCTGGTGTGCATCATTGCGGTACTGACACCTGCTCATCGTTGGATGCCAGACGACGTTCCGATATGGCGGATCGGAGACGCTGTGCAACAGGGCTTGACTGAGAGTGGCCATTTTTTTTGTTTTACATGCAGCCGTCGAGCTTCACTCGGGCTGAAGAAAGACGCAGTGGTCTACCTGGGTCGAACAGCTCTGCATCTGGGACACCCGAGGATCGAGCTTCTACCAAAGCGCTAACTTTCCTCATCTTCCTCTGATCGGAGGACTAAGCGCCTTCCGATATCGAATGATGGTGTGGCGGGCCGGAGAGTCGAGGCATGTCTGTGACACAATGGCCGCTCATACGGGCAACTAGGCTCGCAGGGATGTTGGAGGGGCAGAGGCTGCTGTCCATGGAAGCTTCCCGTAGCATTCAACAGCGGCCAAACGACCGGCCGTGGGCGGAAACACGGCTCTCCTGATTAGTTGTTTCAGTCCGCTGAAGCCTGTGACAGTGCTGGGGAACGTCGTCGAAATGGGCTCGCGTCCCCACACCAACAGTTGTGATGTTAAGGTTTGAAGGTGTATCCTGTGTCTAAACAATAGAAGAGCGCGGTTATTATTGCTGGCGAGGATCGTGAACGATAACCGATAGCCGGTTAAGGTGTTTTTGGTTGTCGCGCTGTAGGTGAGATGTATATTGCTCCAACAGTTGCTTGGCAAGCGATGCCTCACGGAAGCATAGCGGTCGCCCGCGGGCTCGGTCTCGAGTCTTGAGCTGTCGGCCAGAAAATTTTGGCAAAATTCTTTTGGGTCGTCGGGCCGGCGCAAATGGCAGATAAAATGCAACTCTCTAGGCAAAGAGGCGGTGGCATGCAGCTATTTGCGGCGCGAGCAAATGTGGCATGCGGTGGCATGGAGGGCGGAGAACGGACGAAAACGAGCCGAGTCTCCGTCCGGGGGGGGGGGGGGAGCAAAGTCTGATGCTCAGCGAGGTGTGCTCACCCTTCGGAAATATTCCATTCTCTGGATAGCGGCAAACAGTTGTAGATGTGCAGATGATGCATAGCGTCACAAATGAAGGCAGCCAGAAATTCTGGTAAAATGTGATTCTGAATCTCAGAAACCAAGTGCCTTGTGGTTCATGAATCCGCGATGACGTCCCGACAAGATACAAGGCACTGCGTTCTTATCAGCTTATCGATAATAGCTAATTGACCCCACATCTCGTCAACATGACCGCGAACTAGAAGCAAGCGCGAGCGGCATCATCGCGTCGCGTCCAGAAGCCAGAACTACTGCAGACGGGCAGTTGAACTTCCAACCAACACAATTTTCCGCGACAATGACCCATTAATTAACCTTCGTAATTTAAGCCAATACCATACCAAATGGAAAACCACACCTAGGCGAACGAATAACCCCATTAACCCATCCAACCAAGAATCATTCTTCAAAACCATTCTCCTAAACCATCATCGCCACCATGGTCCGCGAATCCCAACGCCCCAACCTCTCCTTCAACCCCCCCTCCGCAACCCCCGTACGCTTGACCGCCGCCGAACCGACCCCCGTAACCTTCCGCCGCTCTCTCGTCCTGCGTACGCCCGGCAGCCAACGCCGACTAACGTCCAACAATGTCGCAACACCCCACGCGCGCGCAGCCATTCGCGCGATCGACTCGCGGCGTGCAGCAATTTTGACGCCTCACCAACGCGCGCGCCGGAGGAGCGTGCGCGAGACGAGGGATTCGCCTCGGGATTTTTTGTTGAGTCTTGCGGGCGTGTTGGCGACGAAGAGTCAGCGGGTCGTGACCAGCTCCAGTTCGAGTGCTAGGAGTTCGCGAAGTTCGAGGTCGAGGGGGGATTCTTCGTCGCCGGGGACAGCTAGGGTTAGGAGGCGAACGAGAGGGACGGAGGATGAGGAGGATGATGACGAGGCGTTGGAGGCGAGTTTGGCGTCGATTAAACTCCGGATGAGGAGGGGGGAGGATGAAGATGATGAGGAGTTGCCTAAGAGGCCTAGGCTTTCGCTGCCGATTGATGAGGAGGAGGATGATGACGATGAGGATGATCTCCAGCCGCATAAGTCGGTGATTATCGATGATGAGAATAACTTTACGATTACGTCGATTGAGATGCCGCGGCGCGCGGTGTTTGAAAACAACAGGTCGTCGCTTAGCAGCATGCGCATGAGCGATTACTTTGGGGGTCCCAACGCCGCTAACGACGGGGATGTGGGCATTGACTCGGGTTTCTTCCCACCGGCAGCGGTGCTCCAAGAGGGGGATACGACCATGGGCGGGATGGACTCGCTCATATCGCCTGAGAGGATCGACGAGCCCTCCAACGTCGGACGCGCCGGCCTCGCGGGACGAGACAGCGATTTTGGTATCGAAATCCCCGTGGGGGATATCAACGAAAGCACGTTTGTATTGCAGGCGCAAGTAGCGGAGGATTCGACGGCGCAGTCTCCTGGGGCCGGCGATGTCACTGGTGAAGGGGGCGACGACCAGCAGATTGGATCCGACGGTTTCGCGCCGCTGATGGATCAGCGAAGCGACGACTACAGCGATGAGGGCAGTGGCCACGAGGACTTCGGTCCCTTACCCGATATTCCCGAAGACTTAGATGCCGAAGAAGACGACGACATGCTGGTCAATCAACAAGATAGAAGTTTTATCCATCGGAGCCGGCAAGACGAAACAGAGATGTCATTCATCTCTGCGAAGAGGGCCCAGCTGGCGCAGCAACCCCGCGAAACGCTCAAGCGAACAATCAAAGTCTCTAAGTACGGCATCGAGTATCCCTCGCTTCCCCCATCTGTCGTGCGCCGCATCGCCCAAACATTTGCCCGAGCCAGCGGCATCAAGGGCCCCATCCCGACAGATGCTATGAAGGCCATTATGCAGGCGTCGGACTGGTTCTTTGAGCAGCTGGGCGATGACTTGCAGGCGTATGCGAACCATGCCGGGCGCAAGACGATTGACGCTTCGGATGTGCTTACTCTCATGAAGAGGTATGTATATGCCACAACGTTTGACCTCTCTGTGTCTATCATTTGGGTATCTCCAAAATCCATAGTTATATACTGTTACACGTACTGACAGTGCATCCTTTGCAGACAACGGCAGGTCAACCCACAGACCACGCTGTTCTCTCTCGCGCAGCGTCACCTCCCTAGGGAGTTGCTTCAGGAGCTGCGCATGCCGCCGCCAGCTCCGTCGAAGAAGAGGAAGAGAGCTCCTGCTAAGAGTGGCGGTGGCGCCGCGGATGAGGATGTCACCTGATGATGGTTCTGAAAGGGGTTGTAAAGAGGATTGATTTCACCAGTGCATGTTCATGCGCACACGACGGGCCGCCTCATTAGGGGACTTCTTGGACTTGAGCACCATCCAAAACATGATCGCCGTGGCCAGGGACAGGCCATACCTAGGGATGGTTAGATTGTGGGAGAGTGTGACATCAGATACCCAGACTTACCATGTGATGATGTACTGCGCATGGTTGTTGCGCAGGTTAACTTCGGCCGGTCGGCCTATAGGGACACCCTTCTCTTGATAGGCGTTGAGCGTGAAGAAGTCGGGGTCTAGTAGGATCAGTATCCATCCGACTGCATCACCTTCCATGTAGCAATAACCCCCAAAGGGCATGCAGCGTTCAGAGAGAGTATAACTCACCCATAGTCTGCTCAATCCAAACCGCCTGACTCCCCGTCAACTCGGCCATCTGCTTCACATCCGGAAAGTAAAACTCCCACCGATCCGGCCGGTTCTCCGGCGTAAAGAAATTCTTCTTCCACGGCGTTCTCAGCATCCCTTCAATTGTCACCTCGCCTTGCGGCAGAGCCTCGGGATCTCGCAACCTCTGATCCGCCATTTTCTTGCTAATCCATCCTCGGTGCACCAGCACCGTCGCGGTAGGATCATCGTTCCTCTCCAGTGGCGTCACCACCATGTAGCCCTGCTCGCCGTCGCGCATACGTGGGCCGACGAGCATTTCCTTGTCGTGCCGGAAACGGCCTGTCACGGTGACGCGGCGGAAGTCGAAGTCCGCGACTGCGTCGGGGTCGACGTGGGGAGGGAGGGGCAGAGGTGGGCGGATGATACGGTCTTCGGCTTTGGCGATTAGGTCGGTTTTCCATCGGAGACGGTGGACTTGCCAGGTACCGAGAAGGAAGGCGGTTATGGGGATGATGGCTGGGTTTGGTGTCAGCGAGAGTAGAAGTGGCTGTAGCTGGGAGGATAGGTACCCAAGAGGATGATGCCCGGTCCATGCTTGCTCTTGACGCGCACCAGCTGCGGCGGCTCGTCGATGAGGGACTTCCAGTTCGGGTCATCGGCTGGGTCGCGAGGGCGCCGCGGAGTGCTGTGGAAGGGCTGCCTCCTAGAAACATTAATTTGGGAAATAATCGACCTCGAGGATGAGAAGTTTGAGCGCAACACCGGGGTGGAATGAGTCCATTGCGAGCGAATTGCGTTGCCAATCGGCGCCCTGGGCGCACAAAATGGCTGCAGTAAGCCGGAGAGGAGTCTCCCAGAAACCATGGTGTCGTGGGAGACTCAGGGTGGTGGGATCGGGGTGAGGGATGAGATGGTTGTCGTTAGGATGGAAGATGAGGTGACGACGTTGGGTCGGGACTTTTCCCCTCTGAGGTTCTCGGCTCGGCGAAGCAATGCCCCGCTGGTGAGGTCACTGGGGATCCACTCAGCGCTAGGCTCCAGCTGCATGGCAGGGATGGCTCACTGCGTGACGGCTACCGTAGACACGGTAAGTACACGGTTTGCTGTCGCTGTGTGAACAGATGACATGTTCTAGCAACATTCTGGACTCTGGCAACTTTGCTTTCATTGCATCTTCCCAGGTCGACATTATCCCCTGGTATCGATCAGTGAACTGAGGACTCGAGAAAGCTGATACGATAAGGGTTCATAAGCTTCATAGATGCAATTTTGATCCTATTTCCAATTGCACCCTCCCTCTGCGCAGAAGCTACGAATCGCCTTTGCCCTCGACTTGTTCTCACCTCGACTTTGCTCCTCATTGCTTTTGTGCCACCTGAACTCTTTTCCCAAGACTTGGGCATCAAAACGCTGGCAGAAGAGCCAAAGCGCAATCCACAATCGCCATGGTTTTCTTCCAAGGAACCCTCCAAGAGGGCATCGCCACTGCTGTCCAGCGGGCCTTGTCCGTCGTCTGCTTCGTGACAGGTGAGGAACTCATGAACCATTGAGACCCAACAACACTAGACTGACCAAAGCAGATGGTGAGACTGAGAGCAAACTCTGGGAAGATGACTTCTTCACTGAAGAAGAGGTGAGGTCTGCTCCATGCAACTCAAAGCACCCACTCCTTGACTGACAACTTATCAGATCCACTCCCTTCTGGAAGCTCAAGCTATCACCCTGCGCTTAGCCGCTGGGTCTCAGGAGGAGTCGTACCTTGCGCAGCTCTACCCCATCCCGAGGAAGCCGACCGTCATTGTAATCAAGTAAGACTTGTGTAGTCCCCTATTTCGTCCGGAACCCTTGAGGACTGACCATGTTCCAGGAACGCCATGCTTCAGGAGTATATCGCTCCTGGAGTCAGCAAGGAAGAGTTTACCCGCAGGTTGAAGAAGGTCCTTGAGCCAGCCCAGACTGCGGCCCCAGCGGCTCCCCAACCCCAGTCTTCTTCCAGCCCTCAACCTCAACATGCCCCTGAGGCTCAGCCAACTCGCGAGCCTGAACCAGTACCTGAGCTTCCTCAGTCCCAGCCCACGCCCTCCCCAGCACCATCCGCGAACCAATCTACCCCAGCCGAACCCTCTGCCTCATCAGCAAGCGCCACAACCACAACGCCCTCATCTTTAACCCCCTCATCCACAACAAACGACCGCGTCGCCGCCCTCCTAGCCGAGAGGGCGGCCCGCCTCGCAGCCGATAAAAAGCGTCAAGACGAACAAGAAAAGAAACGCCGCGCCGAAGCCGCGCGGGCTCAACGCGCCGGCCAGGGCTCAACTCCCGGCGCAGCGCGGCACCTCGAAGAGATTCGCCGACAGCGCGAGCAGGCGAGGGAAGAAAGACAGCGGATTTTGGAGAGGATCGAGCATGATCGGGAGGAGAGGAGACGGGTTAGGGAGGAGAATGAGAAGAGAAAAAGGGAGATGAGGGAAGGCGGGGAAGTCAGGGAGGTCGGGGAGATGAGTTCTGCGGGGGAGAAGCCGAAGAGGGGGGCGGAGAATTGTGCGTTGCAGGTTAGGTTGTTTGATGGGTCGACTATACGGTCAAGGTTTCCGTCGAGTGTGACGTTGAGGGAGGTGAGGGAGTGGGTTGATCAAGAGGCGAGGGGTTCGGCTGGGAGTGGAGGGAAGTACCTTTTCAAGGTGCTGCTCACGCCCCTTCCTAGCAGGACGATCCCCTCGGAGGAGGAGGGCCAGACTCTGCTTGAGCTGGGGCTCGCCCCGTCATCGACACTCATCCTCGTGAGGGCTCCCCGCTCCCAGGGGGCCGGTGTCACAGCCCGGGCAACGGGGGCTGCTGAAGGTGGCGTTGCGGAGGGTAACATCTTCCAGCGGTTTATTGTTGCCATCATCGGCGTGGTGTTGGGAGTGTGGAACGGGATTGTGGCATTTTTTTCGTCGCTGTTTAGTACCCAGGGTGTGCCACAACAACCCGAGAATGCCGCTCCTGCTCAAGAGAGGGAATCTGCTGGGCGAACATCGCAGAGGGAAGAAGCAACTGCTGTTGTGCGCAAACGTACGGGCGGACGGATTGTGGGTTTGGATCAGTTGAGGGAGGAGGGGAGGGGGGATCAGCAGTATTATAATGGAAATTCGGTAAGTTATCCCCCTCACATTCTGCAGATGGGTTGCAAGGCAAGGGTTAATATATATATGATACAGACCAATTTCGAGCCAAGGCACGATGAAGACGGGGAGTAGCCACTTGCCAGACGGTTACATAGGGCACTTTGGGTTCATGAGAGGAAGGATCATGTTAGGATTTGGATCTCTAGTACATCGGTACGTAATACAAGGCTTGATTGTCGCGCAGGCAGTCAGACGGGCGACTGGCATTTGCGTTCAAGGGAGCGAAAGCCGTCCCGTGTGAGAGAGTAGGCTCCATACCTGTGTCCCCTATCGTACAATGTAGTCTCACCACCAGAACATCCTCACTCTCTCCATTTTCTACGTGATCAAAAACCCGATTTAGTATTACAACTTCTATATCCTCCTCCATTACTTAGTCCCTCACCCCTTACTCAACCCCCCATTTAGAACTGCTTAGCCGCTTGCTGGCAAGCCTTCAGCTGCTCCAGGTACCAATTGCAGATGGACATGTTGCCGCCGTGCTCATCCATGCACTTGGTGAATTGCTGGGTCGCTTCGGCGCAGTTGCCGCCCCAAGTCTGCTGCTGCTGGGCGGGCGCCGCATTGGCTTGGGGCGCGGGGGCAGCCGCCTCGCTGGAGCTGCCTCCGAAGAGGGATGAGATGCCGTTGCCGATGACATGCCCGATCGAGGAGCCGATGGCAACACCGCTTTAGCCAGGGTTAGCCTCCGTCCTTACTTATAGTGAATGAGTGATATTATGGTTTGTGTAACACAAACGGGAGGGGCATGACGAGAAGAGCAGAGGGAGGGAGAAGGGAACATACGCAGCGGTGCTAGCCATCTGGCCCAGGAGACCAGGGCCCTGCTGGACGACAACTGGCTGCTGAGCGGGGGCAGCAGCCGCGGGAGAGGGAGCAACCGGAGGGGGGCGGCGAGCGTGGCAGCCGGCCGAGTCTGCTGCTGAGTAGGGGCGACGGCGGGCTTAGCCGGGACGGATGGGCGCGCAGCGGCCGGGCGGGCGGTAGGACGGGATTGGCGTGGCATTTTTGGCTATTTTGTTTGCTCTTGGTCTTGTCAAAAGGACGAAGAAGTGAGTGTTTCAGCGAGTGGTTGGCGTTGAGCAACAGCGCAACTTAATGAATGATTGTGATGGTGGTTGACGAGGATGATGAGAGATGGGAGATATTTTGCCGGGAAGGCGAGGCTAGAAGCGGTTTCTAAAAGGCCGATCGGAATGCGGATTTGCCATTGGCCACTGCGCGGTAGAGGCGCAGGTTTTGGAAGTAAATCGAACCAATTGAAGGCTGCCTCTCGGATGCACGGGATACCGATGTCCGATGGAAAAAGAGGGTTAGGGTTGGATATGGGGGGTAGAGCGTTGCACAGCCTCGAGGGAAGAATGTCTGTGGAGAGGGTTGGAACTGTTTTGAGTATGTAATGCGAAGAGAATAATTGAGAACAGCAATAGTTTGTAGGGGAATCCACAACAGATTCCAAGTTCAGCAGTAAAGGCAACGACAGGCTCGCTGTGCTGCCTTTCCTTGGCATCTGTCATCGCCATCTTCTTCCCCATCTCAGGGGCCGTGAATGACGTTTACGTCTGGGTATCTTGCTAGATGCTTCGTACATCATGTGAATCATGAACAGCGGCGCAAGATATTAGCATCGCTCCGCGGTCTCTGAGTCTCCGGCCGGATACGTGACCTGCCAGTCCGAAGGCGAAGCGGCTTTCACCCGCCATCAAGGACGTTATGAACTCGGCAGCCGCCTAGGGGATCGTCACTTGGCCTACCCTGCATAGAACCCAACATCCTCCCAACTTCATAATTCCTCATTTCTTCTTTTTCGACCCATTCTTTTTCGGCCGCTTCGGCAGGGCCGCCGACCCCTGATCAGAGCGGCCCTCTGCCGCAGACGAAGACTCCCCCTCTTCCTCCGCTGGACGCTTCGCTTGATTCTCAGCGACTCTTGCACGCTCGTTGGCAATCAGCTCGGTTAATCGATCCTTAATCCATTTGTTGTCGGCCTAAGCATGATATGAGAACGTGTTCTATATGTGTAATGGTGAACTCAGAGGGTGATAACTTACAAGATCTGCCCGGATGACACGCGCAGCAGCTTCTTTGTTGACAGTGGTCTCCCGCTCGGCTGGCGGCTCCTCCAGCTTTTTGATCTTCTCAAAGTACTGGCGGACGCGGGTAATCTCGGTGAAAACGGGGTGATTTTTGACATCGACACCGTTGAGGCGCAGGGCGGCTGGTGAGCGTTAGTATATATATGAGAGTTTAGAGAAACTATGATATGAGGGCACTTACAGAAGAGCAGCGACTCGATGGTATAAGTGACAAGGACAAAGAACTTGGCCTTGTCGAGCAATGGCAGCTTGGATGAGATGACGTTGAGATCACCCAGGAACGGCTTTAACACGTCCTGGGCGTGGTCCAAATCTTTCTCGAGCTGCTGAAGCTGCGGGGTGATGTCGCTAATGTCCATGATTTGATGTTCAATGTAAACTCTTCACAGCCAAATACAAGTTTAAAGTGTGTAAGGGATGAGTGACGTTGGCGGTGATGAGCGTTGTTGTGAGTGAGCCAAGACCGTTTGTGTCTTTGAAAAACATCTTAATCTCAAAAACTGGACAGGGGTGTTGTTCTGCAACACTCCGCTAGCGTGGGATGGGCATGGATGTCACAGTGCGGACTGTACAGACAGACTGTGGGCGGGCAGGTGGGATGGTGGGACAGTGTGAAGTCCCTCGGAAGCCAATCGCAGCGGCCAATCAGAGCACCCGTGAATTTTTCTTGAGGGCGCTGCTCTCCAAAAAAAAGTTCGGAATCACCACCAGCAGCCCGAGACACTAACGACGCTCAACGACGTCAAGCCAGTAATTGCTTGGTCGCAGTCCAGACGCCATACGACACAGCGAGCGAGCGCGAGGCCCCGATCGCAGTCGCACAGTTGGACTGCTCGCCCATGTGCCATCATACATCCTAAACACCTCTAGTTGGTCTCGAGAGACGAGGAGAGTCCCGGGTCGCTGCGGACAAAAAGCCAGCCGAGGGCCTCTGCTCTCTGACCGCTGCGACGCCGGCCCTGCTCTCCCCGAGCCCTACGATGCGCTCCTCGGTTCCCCTGTGAAAACACCGGCAACCTGTATCTCCTCCTGGGCAGCCGCCCGCCGTCGCGGGTGTTCGCGAGAATACCGAACAGATCTCTACCATGGTCCCCCAATAGCCTGGGCGTGGGCCGGGGGGCCTTTCGTCGACGCTCGCTGCTCCGACACCACTTTGCCAGTTCCTCGACCTTGACCAAGGAGAAGTCCCACGATGATCGGTCCTGGTCAGATCCTGATCCCAATCCTTACCACCGTTATCTCCAACCACCCCCGAGACCATCCTCCCCCCGAGCGACCACAGCTCCCTTCTATATTCCACCGCAGTTACGCACACGCCGGCCCCCCTTTCTTATTCCTGCGATTCACAAGAGTGATGGGACCAAAACAAAGACGGATGTGTATCACCCAGACCAAAATTCCCAAGGGCAACATGATGCCCCTGAACACACACCAGAGACTGATGAATATGAGCACCATGGCGAGGCAGAAGTCCCGCAGGAGCAGCATATCGCTGAACACGAGTATGTCGAAGGGGGGCATCGTGTTCAGTACTCCGAGAGCCATGGTCAGCATTTGGACCACCAGCTACGAATTCAGGAGCAGGTATCCATGTGGGATGCCCCTTCAGGAGAGCATCCCGTCCGGCCGCCCATGGGCCGCGAGCGTCTCTGGGAAATCTTGAAGCCGTTCAAGCCATCCGAGCAGATCTACGTCATGGGATTGAACCGGGTCGGCCGGTACATCACCCACGCCTTGGCCGGCTGCCAAACCATCCCACCTCCGCGCTACATCCTGCACGAGCAGCATCTGCGCGAGCAATGGGAGCTCAGCCATCGCCGTATAGTTCTGCACCGTGGGCCCGAAACGATCATACGCGACCGTATCATCGCCGAGAACACCTGGCGAGGCGTTCGACAACGCCGCGACCCGATCGAGAACCTCGTGGTGACCGTCCCCGCTGGGCAAGTCCTGCAAGCACTCAAGACAATCCGCCATCGTCTCGACCACCGCTCGACCATCCTCCTCATTAACGACGGCCTCGGCGTCGCCGAGGACTTGATCAATGCCTACTTCCCCGACGAACTGACCCGCCCCATCTTCCTCTTGGGCTACTCCTCCACAGCCCTAGCCCACACCGACCACCTCTACTCCGTCGCCGAGGTCCACCCGGGCCGGCTCTACCTCACCCTTTGGCAGCAACCGCCCGACCCGAACCTCCCCTTCCGCCTGCGCCGCCACCCCCCGCTGGAACGCACTGTCCGAGGCACGCACTTCCTGCGTCTGCTGACCGCCATGCCGGGCCTCAGCGCTGGCGGGTTCCCTCTGTCCTCGTTCTATAAGCACAAGCTGCCTGCGACCGCCTTCCGCGCGATTGTCGACCCGCTGGCCGCGATGCTGGACTGTAATTATGAGAAGTTGGCGCAGAACCGGTCTGCGCTGGCGCTCATGGATCGGCTGATCGGCGAGGTGGCGAGTGTAATTGCTCGGTTGCCCGAGTGTACGGATAGGGAGAGGCAGGCGAGACAGGTGACGGGGATTGCGAGTAGCTTGAGGAAAGAGGTGCTGTTGAAGTTGAGACTGATGAGGTCGGCTGATAGTCCGATGAGGAGTCGGTTAAGTAGGGGATATGATACTGATTTGGATTATACGGTTGGGTATTTTGTTCGGAGGGGGAGAGAACTGAGGGTAGATGTTTCGGGGCTGGAGGCGGTCATGTTTGCGGCGAAAGCGAAGTTGGTGGAGACGAAGAAGGAGAGGGAGGATGAAGTACCGCTGGTGCTGCCGCTGCCGGAGTAGCATGGCATTTGGGGCATTCAAATTGGGTTGTAATGGTATGGGACATGATCATGGGAGACGGGACAAAAGGGTAATGGGTGGATGGATGGGAAGATCACTGTAGCGTTTGTGCCTGTATATTTCTCTGTACAGTAAACCAAAGCAAAGCAAACCACAGAACATGATAGACGGTTGGGGGGATTTGTGGATTTGTGCATTGGAGTGGCTAAGCCACGAATCTGATCTGTATGATAAATACTTGAAACAGATAGTTTTGTATACAATTTCTCTAAGAGGTCGAATGTTGTAGGACAAAGCTCTTGACGCGAAGGCTGAGTGAGACGTTAAGTGTAGGCAAGGCAGGCGGCATGATTTTGTGCCAAAGAGCGAGCCCCACCACAGCAAAGCTTCACGTCAGGTTCCCTCTTAAGTTCTCCAAGGCAGCCCCGCGATCGCGAGCGAACTTGGCCAGGCTCCCACTTCAATCGAGCAACTGTCAACAGCCGTTTAGAAACAACAATGGAAGACGCTGAGCTCGAGAGGGTATTTCTAACCCCGGAAATGATAGCTGAAGAAAGTGATTACTCACGCTCGCGCAGATCCGCAAAGCCCGACTGGAGCAGCTCAAGGCCCAGTCGGCTGCCAGACCCGGCGCCACGAACGGCGCTGATCAGGAGCAGAGGAAGTGAGTGCCCTGGAAGCATGCTGACTTAAGGATAGAATGTGCTAACCCATTGAGTAGACAGCGCGAAGGTACCTAAGCCCCTCATCATCCCTCCCATCCTGTTCTGACAAGTCATCAAATTACCCCCAACAATCGAATAACGAAGCTCTACATAACATACTAACTACCCGCTAGCCGAAGCCCGCCAAGCAATCCTGAACCAAATCCTCGAGCCCGAGGCTGCCGACCGTCTGGGCCGTATTCGCCTCGTGAAGGAGCAGCGCGCGACGGATATCGAGAATCGTCTCATCATGCTGGCACAGACGGGGCAGCTGCGCCAAAAGGTCACGGAGGACCAGCTCAAGGAGCTGTTGAACGCGGTTGCGGATACGAAGGAGGAGGAGAAGATCGTTGTGAGCAGACGGAAGGGGTGGGAGGATGAGGATGACGATTTGTTGGATCTTTAAAGGGGGGATGCTGGAAGGGAAGGGGGATGGGGAGTTTATGTTTGTGATGGATACCACGAATGAATGAAGACGATCAGTTTGTCTCGGACTGGGTTGGTAGGTTGTTTCTTCTTTAAATGGTACACGTTTTGGTATCACAATTCAATATCATACACTTACTGCCTCTGCCCCTGAGCCGCCTTCGCAGCCTCCATGGCAGCCATTCTCCTCGCCTCCTCCTCCTCAGCCTTCCTCCTCCTCCTCTCCTCCCTCTCCCGCCGTCTCAACTCTCTCATATCAGGCGGCATCTCAATCCCCAATTCAGCCCTCAAGTCGTTCACATCCCTCTCCAGCTCCTCCTCCCAATACACATTAATAATCTCCTTCGCCCGCAGCCCATTCCTTACCGCCCACGGCAAGTACACCTCCCAAAACCTCTTCCTCTCCCTGGGCTTCAGCGTCCCCGCCGCAAACACGCTCAATCCGGTCATCGGGAGCAAAGTGTTGCAGAACTCGAACGCCTTTAGCGCCACCTCCCCTTCTCTCACCGTCGGCAGCCCGACCAGCGCGTGATAAAAATCGTGACATTCCCTATACCGCTGCATAACGTAAGCGCACTCCTCGTCATCGATGTACCTGACTGGCGCGCGCGTGTCGGGCGAGACGTGCTCCCGGTCCAACCACTCGACGTACGTCCGGCCGACGGTGTTGGGCGGTAAGGAACGGAGATGGGGCAGGTTGAGAGACGTCGAGGTGATGCGCGGCCGGTCGCGCAGGATGCGCCGGCCAGTTGGGTGAGACAACATGGCGTCGCGCAGACGGTAGATAAAGTAGGGCGTTGCGGTGGCTTCGGCGAAGGCGGCGATTAGATCTGCACAGTACCGTGTTAAATCTTGAAGGTAGGGGAGGTTGGGGTGGAGGGGGGGTATGAGGAAGGGGGATAGTACCGCCTCGCCTGGGATCGCGCAACGACATCAATCCCGAGCCGATGGCCAGCGCGGCCTTTTCTATGAAACTGAGAGGGACATGGCCGGGGTAATTTGGTGGGGGACGGGTGAGGGAGGAGAAGGTGAAGGGGCGCCTCTGCTGAGGCTGGAGCTGGAGCTGGAGCTGCGATTGCGAGAGGGGAGAGGAAGTAGAGACAGTGACGAGGACAGAAGCCGCAGGCTTGAGGCCTTTCGGGCGGCTAATTGCGGCCGCAGGGCGTCTAAAGACTACCTCCATGGCGAAATGGGCTGCGACGACCGCCCGCGGTGCATCATAAGCTTTAGGAAGTGGTCGTCAAGGTCGCTGGAATCGGGTTCGGCCGGCGGCGTGGTTCGATACCAGCGATGCGCCAGATGGGCGATAAGATAAAGATAAGATATACGATAAGATAAAGAGTGTGAGACTGGAGGGCCAGGCTTCATGAAAGCGACCAGCTGCTGTGAAATGAGCTTGACTTCTAGAACCATAACATGTCAGTTGCTAAGTGTAATTCTTTCAAATAGTCAGCTGCTGGTGACTCTGACCACAAATATCTACTTCCATGTCTTTTGTCAGACACCATTCATTTCCATCTCTGAGGTTGATCCTTGAATTCCTCCCTCACCCTCATTTGACTATGATTTGTGTGCTCCGACTTACAACTCGGTGATTCTAGAGAGCCTCATCGAGCATTTAACACTACCTATCACAAATTCAAGATACAATGATATCCAGAACGACCGACTCGACACAACCACAAGATAATACCACAGAAGCTCACACAAACCTCCTTGCCTGGGCCCAAGAACAAGGCATAAAGCTCAACGGTGTCAAGCCCCGTGCCCTACCAGGCCGTGGTCTAGGCATAGTAGCCACACGCCCACTCCAGGTGAGCCTTTTGCTTCTCTTATCAATCTTAAACCCCCAAATACTTGCCCCTGAATACCAATCTAACTAATCCTTTCCCTCAGCCCAACGAGACAATCCTCCACATCTCTCCCTCCTGCTTCCGCACTGCCGACACAGCCCGCCCTCGCCTACGCAAACTCACTTCATCCTCCTTTGCCGGCGGCGGTAGCAGCAGCAGCAACACATCCCTAAGCTCCCACGCCATCCTTGCCGCCGATCTGGCCCTCGACTTTGCCAAACCAAACTCTCCCCGCTCTCAACGCAACGCCCCCTGGACCGCCGTCCTCCCTTCGCAAGAAGATCTCTTCTCCTGCCTCCCGCTAGCCTGGGCCGAGACGGGTGTCTGGCCAGACATCGAGTCGTACCTCCCCCCCGCAGCTAGGAAAATTTTGTCGAGACAAAGAGGAGAGTTCAGCACCGACTGGGACGGGGTGAAAGACGTGCTTGAAAAGGATGGGGTGACTAGAGAAGCGTACCTCCACGCCTGGGGCCTGGTAAACACACGCAGTTTCTACTGGCATGTACACCACCCAAGGCATCATCACCACCATCAGCACCTGCACGGCGACGACTCCCATCACCACGGAAGTACCAGCAGCGGAAGGGAAGACCGCATCTGCCTGCAACCCCTTGCCGACCTGCTCAACCACTCCTCGTCCTCCCCCCATCTTTGTACCGCCACATTCACCTCGACCGGCTTCCACGTCCGCACGACCACCCCACTCCCCGAGGGAAGCGAAATCCTAGTCCGCTACGGCCGCCACGCAAATGATGCACTGCTGGTCGAATACGGATTTTTACCGTCTGATTTAAACCCGTGGGACGAGACGCCACTTGATGATGCGGTGATACCGTTGTTTAACTCTCAGCTGAAGGAGTTACTGGAGGAGAATGGTTTCTGGGGAGGGTATGTCCTTGACGCGAAGACGGTGTGTTACCGGACACAAGTGGCCCTCCGTCTCCTTCTCCTCTGGCCGGATGGGCCGGGGGGCATAGCGAGATGGAAGAGGTGGGTTGATGAGGGGGAGGATGGCGGGGAGGAGGTGCAGAGGAGGGTTGATGGGATGTTGGTGGGGATACTTGAGAAATATTTGAACGAGACTGTTGAGAGGATGGTTCGGGAGGTCGAGGGATGTAAAGGGGGGACGGAGAGTCAACGGCAGGTTGTTGCGGAAAGGTGGCGGCAGATTGGACGGTTGATGAGGGGGACGATTGAGAGGCTTGCTTGTGGTGAGAGTTGAAGCTAGACAACAGGAAGATAAAAAGGGGAGGGACTAATAGAGATGGTTGCAGTCTCCCACACATAATTCCTGAGAGCTGTAATGAAGTCAGTCAGTCAGTCAGGTAGGGGGATGCAGAAACCCGTCCTGAGTCGACATGTTTGATCGAAAGAACCATATCATCCTCTTTTTGCCCTGAAATCGATCATCCGGGGATCCAGCCCATTTTCCATCCTATCCGTTTCCAATCCTTAAAGCTATGCCTATAGTACCCAACCACACTTCACATGGAACCCCTCTCTCTACAAGCCATCCAAGACACAAAGACATGGTACATTATCATCATTCGTACACAAAGAAACACCACAAATAGTAAGTAGTAGTAATAAAATGTCCAGGCAGAAGTTATCAATCGATTCAGAATTTCTGCAGGAGAGAAGTAGTACCTCGATACCTGATGATTCCTTTTTGAGAAAATCTCTCATAGCAGAAAAAAAATTTTGAAAGACAACCACGAATCGAAAGAAAACTGAGCAATAAAACACCATAGGCAGAAATTCATTATGACGAGTTGAAGAGAAAAAAAAAATCGAAAGAGAAAAGCCAGCAGACTATCAGATACCAATCACCTACCCACAGCCATGTATCGCCTTTTCTTCTTCATCAGCTTTCTTCCCTGTCTGTCCACGTTGACTGATTGATCCAGCCATCCACGGGTTTGATGACCGCGATGACAATGAGAGTGAGAACCCAAAACGCCCTTGCAAAGAATTTAGCAAAAAAAAAAAATGACAAACAGACACCCCTATTTTGAGCACGCAGTAGCATCCCTCGTCAGAGGAAGAAAAATGAAAGAAAAGAGACAACAAAATAATGAGTAAAATTCCATTTAACCCATGATAAATCAATGACGAGTCCCTTTTTTATGTTTTGTTTGCAGCCTGAGCTCTCTTAATATTTTCCTGCTTCCGAACCCGAACGGTATGAGTGAGAAAAAAGAGATCCGTTTCACGGGAGCTCTCTCTCTCTCTCTCTCTCTCTCTCTCTCTCTCTCTCTTTAAAACAGAATGGGGAGCTATCTCCTAAACCTGAGCGAGAAAGGATTTTGGTTCTCCTCCGGGATTCCGACGATGCTGCTAGCTTGCTGTTTGTGTCCCGTGTCAAGCCGAAGGTCGCTAGCTCTGCCATCAAAGCAGCAAAAGTTCAACTTTCAATTGAGGCGAGCTCAACAGCGCCGGCCCAGGCTACGGCGCGGTTGGCAGGATGGGCATGAGCATCCTCGCTAGTGCTTGCCTTGGGCATAGTCCTACTCGCCACGGGCACGCTTGGCGCCGTGAGGATTCTGCCATTCATTGGGCTGGTTACCGGCATTGAAAAAGCTGTTGAACTGGGGCTGCATGCCCTGGAAGCCTGTGCAAGTGTTAGCATAACCCGTTCCTATTTCATGCTTCTCTGGGAAAGGGAAAGCAGAAGAACCTACCAGGCATACCACCGCCCATACCCCCTCCCATCCCGCCGCCCATCATGCCCATACCACCCATCGGACCCGGCATTCCTCCCATTGGCATCCCACCGCCCATCGGCATGCCTCCCATCATATTCATCCCGCCACGGCCTCCCCTCATGCCGCCAGGGCCACCGCGCATGCCTCCGGGACCGCCCATCATGCCACCACGGGGGTTAAACCCACCGCCCGCAAACCCCCCACCCATAGGGTTATTGAATCCCATATTATTATTAAACGCAGCCATATTATTCCCAGCAAAGTTGCGGTTAAATCCCTGATTCATACCGACCGCTCCGCCACGAGGGCCGCCCGCGAAACCACCGCGACCGCCGCGGAAGCCGGTGCCAAAGTTGGTGCTCATGTTGCCGAAGTTAGCGGTGCCAGGTCCATAGCCGGGTGGACCGACGGGCGCCGCCCGACCCTGTGCGTCCTTGGCTGCACGGTTGGGGGCATCCTTTGGCAGCGTGCGGAAGGGGTTGTGGTTGGGGTTGGTGTAGATGGCGTTGTAGCGGCGTCCGCCTGGCTGGCTCTCAGCCTGCTTGCCGATCGCGTCGATGACGTGCTTTGTGGCGGTTGCCGCTTGCTGGGAGGTGAACTCAACATAGGCTTGGCTGGGGTGAGTTAGTTGTGGTCTGAGAAAGTTTGCTGTGAAGCAACAGGACGATGCACGAAACAAAGGGTAAGAATGGGGAAGCTACAAAAAACATAGAGAATCTGTAAAACACGGGAGAGCAGACATACCCCTTGCTCTTGCCATTAACCTTGTGCTCGCTGAACGTGATATCCTTGAGCTCATGCTCGCAGCCGGCCTGACGAACCCAGCCGCGGATATCATCATCAGTGTTCCACCAGTTAAGGTCCTGAATCATGAGCGCCGACGTAGCGCCTGGGTCGATTGGACGATCGTCTGAGCCCTCCTTACGCTTGACGCCCTGCGGCGGGCGCTGCTGCTGGTCCGCATCATGGGATTGGCCTTGGTTGCTGGAATCGCCGCCACCATCATGGGCGTTGTCATCTCTGCGATCATCATGGTAGTCCTCGTGGTGGCTGCCGTCGCCATTGCGGGCATGGGAGTCTTCTCCATCATAGTTATGGTGGTCAGCGTCGCCGCGATGGTCCTCGCCGTGATCCTGATCGCCGTGGTCGTTGGCAGAGTCGCCGTAGACGTCGATCTCAAACTCTTCCTCAGCCATTTTGATGGCAGTGGTACTGGGAGAAAATGAGCCCTGGCTCTGGCACTTGTGCTTGATCAGGCTCGTGGTGCTCCTTGAGCCGCTTCTGCTGCTGCTGGATGGGAGCTTGCCAACTTAAATGTAAATTGCAAGCCTGCCTATGGATTAGAATACAGGACGTCTGCAAGGTTCATTCCGTCATCAGTAGCTGACATGCGGGACTCCAACAACACAAAACAAGCGGAGAGCAGGAGTAGAGACAAGTGTTGCACAGCCGACCGCAGCTGGGCCGGGTTCCAAGTAATCGTGATCAGGTAGATGGCAACGAGGCAGAAAGGAACAAGGACAAAACAAATAACAAAAAGCAGGATAGAAGTTCGTCATACGTACATTCCGATCCGAACCCTCGACGCGAAGCCAACCGAAGAGTCCTGAGATTTGACAGGCCGACGATCACCCACTGAGAAAGGGCTGCCCGCTGGGGTAGGAATAGATAGGAAGAAGTTATAGAGTAGAGAGAAAAGTCAAGACGCAGCTCTGTGCTGGCGGTCTTGAGTCTTGCTTGAGTCCTTCTTGTCTTTGAGCCTTGGGTTATATGACAGGAGTCGGCCTCTGCTCTTCTGCCTTCCCTTTTGCCACTCCTCGCTTTGCTTTTTCCGCCTTTGGGCCTTCGGGTCAACGCAGACAGCGCGGACGACAAGCGCGGCTGCAAGATGTCAATCTAACCTGAGTCGCGTTTGCGCGTGGACGCGAGCTGCGGCTTGCTTGGGTCCTGTTGGAAGCGGGTGTTGAAGCTGTAGCTGTAGTCTTTGACTTGGCTTGGGTCACCGTGCAGGACTTAGTGGAAGCGGTTTGAACCTGTCACGAGCCTGAGCAATTCTCAACAGAGAGAAGAGTACTGGTCGGATCGAAGCCGGAAGAATGAAAAGGTTGTTGGATCGAAGAAGAGGCGGAGTCAAAGTCGGTCGTGCGGACGGGTCGGAAGTGACGGGGATCGATGGGACTGGTGAGCTACCCCGTAGAGACAGGGCCAAGGCAAACAGCGATCGCGTGGTCGTCGCGGCGACCGGACCAGCTCAAAGAGAATAAACTTGAGCTGGGTCACGAAATGCGAGAACCGCAGTCGGATCGTGGGGATCGGGGAGTGCGCGAATGCCGGAGAGAAGGGTAAGAAAGAAGCCGTTGCACAAGGGAAGGGGAAGGGAAAGGAAAGGAAAGAAAGAGCCTGAGCAGCGAAGCACAGTGGAAATGGAAATGGAAATTGTCCCAGGTCCAAGCTCCCGTCTGGCTTTGGATGTGTTGCTGCAGTCGCGGCAAGGCTGAGGCGCATCTACGCTTATCTATGGTCCGTGCACTCTTATCACAGAATACGAGACTCGTCAGGGTTAGGGTAAAGTAAAGGGGTTTTGGCAACGAACAAGGACAACCCGCCTCAACACAGCCATTAAGACTATAGAAACTGAAATTAGGGAAATGAATCAAGATGATAAGTAGAAGCCGGAATTAAACTACTGGGAAGATGATTGAACTATAAACCAAAATCGGAAATATCGTTTTGCCGAACGTCATCATCATTGCCAACCATTCAGTCATCTCAAGTGGACACCCATTTTCCTCGTGACTCCTACCCCTGAGTCTCCCTGACCAACATCTCCCACCGGGTTATCATAATAAGTAATTCATAACTTAAAATACTGGGCCCAAAATCTCCAAACCTCACCGAAATGCCTCGTGACCTTCAAACTCCAGTACTGAAACCAACAAGCCCATCAAAAGCCAACGATGGCACACTGCCCCGCCCACTCAGATCGAACAACTCTATGCTCACTATGAAAAAAAGTGAACGTCTCTGACGATGAAGAGCAGTCACTTATTCCGATCACCTCAACCCACTAGAGCTTGCTGCCGCGAATGATTCAAGATGCTCGTCAACAGCAAAGCCCATGGGCGGGTCTCCCTCATCATCCTCCGCCGCAAACCCGTCGTTAAACGAGTGCAGCGACGCTGTGCCACAGTCCATGGACGAACCAGACCAAGACGATGCTGCTCTTGTTAGCAATTGACCGTCATTGATACAGGGAAATTCCTCTCAACAGGCGGGGCAAAACATACCAACAACAATAGGCGCATTAGGATGCCATGCAACATCCCTAACCAGCGCCTCCCAGCTATCCGGCCTGCGATGAAAAAACGCGCCCAACCGAAACCTCCTCTCGGGCCTGTGCCTCAGTCCTGCCGGCGGCCTCGTCGTCGAGCGCACATCAATCTTCGCCGCGAGCGTCGCATCCATATTCCATACATACACATGTCCATCATAGCTCCCCGCATAAACATACCGCGAGTCGGTACTATTCGGCGGCGAGAAGTGACACCTTATAAGCGTTCGCTGCACGCGATGGCCGCGGAAGGTCACGAGGGAGTTGTCGTGCGGGTGCGGGAACCACTGGTACTCTTCATACTCCTGCCAACGGTAGTCGTACTCGTAGTCGCGGTTGCGCGTGACGGAGGTTGGGTCGAGCTCGGCGAAGCGGGTGGCGCTCATCGCCATGCGCAGGTCCCAGAGCTTAAGGGTCTGATCTTTGGCGTTGGAGAGGATGTACCGGCCGTCGCCCTTGCTGTCGATGTATGTCAAGCCCTCCGTATGCCCGACAAATGCGCCGGCCTCGCGACCCTCGCCGATACTCCTTGTGTCCCAGACTTTGATGGTGCAGTCGTCCGAGCCGGAGTATAGGATGTGCGGGGAGTACTTGTCCGCGAAACAGACGGCGTTGACGTCGTCTGCATGGCCTCGGACATGGAACAGTGACCGCCGTGCCTCAATATCGTAGACCACGATCGACCGGGCGCCCGTGCCGGCTACGAGTTGTCGGCCGTCGCGCGAGAAGCGCACGGAGAAGATGGGGAAGCTGCCAAAGGCGTATTGCGGGTCGTCGTGGGAACCGTTGGATAGGCCGCTGCTGTCGGCGAGATCCAGGGTGTATGGTTCGCCAGCGTCGTGCGGGTCGGTTGGGGAGATGCCGACGTGGCTTTGGAGGGAGGAGAAGGCAAGCCATTTGTTGTCTGGGCTCAAGTCTGCGTCGGTCATGGTCCACTGACCGCCGGGGTACCGTACAGTTTTGTAATGTTTCCAGTTGTACGGACTAGATGTGTCATAGAGGCGGACTTTGAAATCCTTGACGCAAGCATAGAAGAAGTTGCCGTCGTCTGAAAATTGGCCACAGCAGACTGGGTCGTCATAGTGGATGACCATGTCTGGTTTGGAAGAAGGGACCATGGACTGGGCCATCAAGCCTTGGTTAAGGCGCCTCCTTTCGGGGCTGTAGATGCCCAACTCTCTGTCGAGCAGCCGTCGGGCGAGCGCCTTTTTCTCAGGGCCTCTCCTGTCGAAGTAGCCAAAGGCGCCAGACTCCATGAGCTTTCGGCCCTCGTCGTTGGGCACTTTGGGGTATCGTTTTACATCGTTTGGGTTGCCGATGCGAAAGGTGACGCGCTCCCGGCCATTTTCGTCGTAGACTACCACAGGATGAAGGTGCTGTCCGCGTAGTATGGCCAGGAACTCGCGTTGCGTAAGGTGTGACCGTCCTGTCCATTCTTGCGTGTATGAGCATCCAACTCTCAACGACTTGCAAATCGGGGACACATACCCGCAATACCAGGGCCTATCCGGATGGTCGTCCTCCTATGTCCACTACTGGTGCCCTCTTCATCACCGTTAGAACCGTCCGCTTGGTCTGAACCGGCTGGGATCTCCTCGATGAGCAACTCGAACTCGAAATTGCCTTGTTCGTCAAGTCAGGGAGATTTGTAGACTGATGGCTTGGGACAGTCACGGCTCACCGGGAAACAGACCATCATCATCATCATCATCATCATCATCATTATCATCATCATCGTAGTCCTCATCTTCTTCATCTTCGTTCTCTTCATTCTCACTCTCCCCCTCTTCCTCATCTTCACGGGGATCATGCTGCCAGTTATACAGATTTGTGCTGTTGTGAGGAGAATCCTCGTTGTGACCGCTCTGGCCACTGCTGCTGTGGGTGCTGCTCATGATGAATTGCGATACTTCGCTGAGGTCACGGACACCAAAGCAGCCGATGAAGCGGGGACACAGCGTAAGGAACAAGCCAATTAAACAAAGGTCGGGGAAAAAAAAACCAGACGAGAGCCCGCTCTCAGAACGGTTCAATTAAGAGTTAGGTAACTTGTTCAGAGACAAGACAATAGTTTCAATACTGGACAAGTATAGCTTTAGCTCAAATGCCCAATGCCGTGATCACGACCACTGCGTCGACCCTCAAGCCTGATACGGATAGGGTGTTGTTGGGGCTGACGTCTTTGCTACCGGAGGGGCCCCCGCAGCCAGGTGGAGTATAAGCCGAGCCGGCTGACAAATCAGGCAGGCTGTGCATTACTCGACCCTAACCCTTATTAATTTGTGGAGCTCTGAGCTTCACAGAAAGCATCTCGCTCGGGTCTGGCAACAAAGCTTTCTGGGTTGCTGCAGCATAAAGTGGAGGTGGGGCTCCTCCCCGGCTCGCACCTAGGTACATACGCACTTTGCTGGCCACTCTGGAAACCGAGGCGAGGGTATCAACAGCCCACGCTGCTGCAGCCGGGCAGGGTCCAATTCTTCTCATGCTTCGTTGGCCCGCTGGGCTGCTGGTTTTGCCGGGACTGCTCTCGGGCTTGGCAACGGATCTGGAGCCGGGGTTGCGGAGCCCGATGGCCTTTGCGGAGGTAGCGCAGGGGCACGCCAGTCTCCAGATGCCCGAGGACGGCGAGCCGTCGCGCTGCTCTGTCGGGGCTCTTGGTATGGAGCCGATGATGACGTTTGGCGATGGCTAGCTCGGAGCTAAGCTGGGCGTTGTGCATGGGGTATCAAAATGGGCAGAATGGTCAATAAGGATTTCATGGAGCTCAGAATGGAATGTGGGATATAAGAACGTCCAATTGAACCCTGGACTCAGGGTTGGACTTATGAAGAATCAATTGACGTCTCCTGGAAACTCTGCTCAACAATCACCTCAATTGTTATCAGAAAACGCCGACATCGGGGAACTGACAACAAGTTGAAATGCCATGCTGCAAAGACCAGGTCAACTGGCGTCGTTGACGCAGAGAAGAGGTGTTTGGGCCAGTGCCGACCTCACAGGACTCCGGGGCCACAGGCACAGAGCGCGATGCCCGGCTGAGGCCTAAGGCAGGGTTGGCAAGGGTTGAGAATGTGCTTGGGGTGGGGTGTTCGGCATGCCGCGGCAAAAACTCCTCCGCTCGAGCGGTTCCAGCTTCCAATTGCTGGTTGCTGGGCAGTGCCCCTCCACTGAGGGCCACTTCTGTGTATGGATCCTGGACGGTGAGATCACGGGCTGCGACAGAGCCGTTGCTGTTTAAAGACGCAAACACCCCGTCGACAGGCACAATCCACGAAGTCTTTTTTGGGATCGGCGTCGTCCATTGAGTCGAGTCGTTCCAGGTAGTGTTGCCTTTTGTCAAGACAAGCACCATGTCTGCTGCCGTCAACCGCGGTCTGCGCCAGGCGACGAGAGCTCTGCGCCTCCACCCTACGACTTCTTCTGTGTCCTGCACCCGCTCGGCCCTGCGTCCTCTGAGCACCTCCATCCTCAAGAACGCCGCCGCGCCCTCCGCTGCTCTCGCTGCTACCCGCGCCCGCACCTTCTCGACCATGGCCTCGCTGCAGCAGTCTGTCAACACTGCCACGCCCTCGCCGTCCGCTGGCACGGGCTACGACCCTGAGATTGCGGACATTGCCAACTATGTCCACAACTACAAGATTGACTCGGAGCTGGCCGTGCGTACCCTGACCCCTTCATTTTTTTTCCTCCCAATTATCCCTCAATTTCTGACAATTGCTGATATGCTTGCCAGTTCGACACCGCCCGCTATGTCTTCCTTGACACCCTCGGCTGTGGTCTTGAGGCCCTGCGCTTCAAGGAGTGCACCAAGCTACTGGGCCCCGTTGTGCCCGGCACTGTCGTGCCCAACGGCACCAAGGTCCCCGGTACCCCCTTCCAGCTCGACCCCGTCAACGGTGCCTTCAACATCGGTGCCATGATCCGCTGGCTCGACTACAACGACTGCTGGCTCGCCGCCGAGTGGGGTCATCCCAGCGACAACCTGGGCGCCATCCTCGCCGTGGCCGACTGGATCACCCGCACCAACAAGGCCGGCGGTAACCTGGCCGGCGGCAAGATCTTCACCATCCGTGATGTCCTCGAGGCCATGATCAAGGCTCACGAGATCCAGGGCTGCCTAGCCCTGCTCAACTCGTACAACAAGGTCGGTCTCGACCACGTTGTGCTCGTCAAGGTTGCCAGCACTGCTGTCATCAGCAAGATGCTCGGCTTGAACGAGAAGCAGACCGCCGACGCCATCACCCAGGCCTGGGTCGACGGCCAGTCTCTGCGTACCTACCGCCACTCGCCCAACACCATGTCCCGCAAGTCGTGGGCTGCCGGTGATGCCTGCCAGCGTGCCGTCAACCTCGCCCTGAAGGTCCTCAAGGGCGAGACTGGCATTCCGACCGTCCTGTCTGCCCCTACCTGGGGCTTCTACGATGTCCTCTTCAAGGGCAAGAAGTTCGAGTTCCAGCGCCCCTATGGCAGCTACGTCATGGAGAATGTGCTTTTCAAGGTCTCCTATCCTGGTATGTCTCCCTAAATCTCCAATCAGAGTGACAATATCTGACTGTTCATAGCCGAGTTCCACTCCCAGACTGCCGTCGAGGCGGCCGAGAAGATCCACCACCAGCTCAAGGAGATGGGCAAGTCTGCTGCCGACATCAAGGCCGTCACCTGCCGCACCCACGAGGCTTGCATCCGCATCATCGACAAGCAGTTCAAGCCCATGGACAACTTCGCCGACCGCGACCACTGCATCCAGTACATGGCCGCCACCATGCTCGTCTTCGGCCGCCTGACCGCCGGCGACTACGTCGACGGCAGCGAGGCCGCCACCTCCCCGCTCGTCGAGGACCTCCGCAAGCGCATTAAGTGCGTCGAGGATCCCCAGTTCACCAAGGACTACCATGACCCTGCCCTGCGCACCATCAGCAACGGTCTCACCGTTGAGCTCAACGACGGCACCGTACTGCCTGAGGTCGTTGTCGAGGCTCCCCTCGGTCACCGTCTCCGTCGTGAGGAGGCCAAGCCCCACATCATGGCCAAGTATAAGCGCCATCTAGAGCCGCACTACCCGGCTGAGAAGGTCCAGCAGCTCATTGAACTCGGCCAAGATGCTGCTAAGCTGGAGGCTATGGCTGTCGATGAGTATGTCGATCTGTATGTCGTGGAGAAGAGCAAGTTTGTGGAGTAAGAAGGGGTGGTTGTGGGTGATGGTGTGAGGTGTATTTTTATGTATGTATGTAGTGCTTTTCGAATGATGAAAAATATACCATGGGTTGGGTTTGGGCATAAGATAAGGCGTTTTATCTAGGTATGGACGTGGCATGGTTGTGCTCTGAACCTTGGTGATGTCCACCCACTGTGTAGAGGACGCCAGTTCCTGAGCTGAGCACAAGTGATACGCAGCTAACCTTCCTCATCCTGTCCAAAGTTCTTCTAGGAGTCGGCTTGCCAAGGACCGACGACTCAATACACAAGCATGCAGCGAGTTTGGCTCAGTCTGAGGGCGTTCCGATCGTGTCGGTTGCCAATAGCATTGGGCATGATGTCCTCTTGCGGTGTGAGGAGTGGACGGGTGATTCGCGGCAGAACCCCTAGGGATAGTGTGATCCATTGGATGTTGCTTGGGTTCTGTCCGTTACCTTGCCTCCCAGCAGATATCGCAGATATCGCAAAGGGCTTAGATATTACCTATCTTGAAGTATTAAAAGTAACGAGGGTATTACTAGGCAAGTAGATGCCTATCTACATCTTGAGAGGGCTCATACGATTGTCAGACATTCGTGGCCAGAAGAGCCTGATTACTTAGTCCTCTAGGCCGATCACTTTTCCTGATAATCCCAACTCACATGACGATATGGGTTATGAACTCTGAAGCTGATATATATACCTACTTAGGCAGTACCCCTCTTCTTATGTTCTAAGATCCGATTCTTAACATGAAAATGCTATACCTTACTAGAGACATCGCTTGTATGATCCCCCTCCCCAAAAAGCAGCGATCCGGCTATCGATAGCAGCAGCTATTCCGGCAGTGTCCTCTCCCACACAGCGTGAGTATCCCGATCGATCACAACCTTACAACACACAGAGTCTGGGAACCTCAGAACGACACGTAACGGCAGTGATTCCACCATCACGATGAGACTAATCAACGTCGATACACTTCAACTCGAAGAATTCATCCATCCACCGCCCTACGCAATCCTTTCTCATACATGGGGAAAAGAAGAGGTTACCTTCCAAGACATGAATTCTCCAGCCCGGGAGAGAATGAAAGGGTGGCAGAAAATTTTGGCATTCTGTCGCCAAGCCAAATTGGATGACTTCCAGTACGGCTGGGTTGATACTTGTTGTATCGATAAAACTTCTAGCAGCGAGCTGTCTGAGGCGATCAATTCGATGTTTCGATGGTACCAGGATTCCGTGATATGCTATGCTTATCTGGAGGATGTTCCGCCGCTTGTCGTGAACCCAGACACCTTGGTCCCAGACTACTCCCAGTTCAAAAAGGCACGCTGGTTTACTCGTGGTTGGTGCCTCCAGGAACTAATAGCCCCAAGACAAATAGAGTTCTATGCAAATGATTGGTCAAAGATTGGAACGAAGGACTCATTATACGGCCTCATTCACAACATTACCCAAATTCCACAAGGGGCTTTACTAAGAGAGGTGCCACTCGATGAGTTCAGCACAGCGGAGAGGATGTCCAGGGCAGCACGCAGACAAACAACAAGACCGGAGGATATGGCATACTCTCTGCTGGGAATTTTCAGCGTCAACATGCCTATGCTCTATGGGGAAGGCCGCCATAGGGCATTTTATCGGCTCCAAGAAGAAATTCTGAAAAAGTCGGAAGATTTGTCGCTCTTGCTTTGGACGGATCCTTCACTCCCAACGACTCGGTTAACTGATGCAATAGAAGACTTTGATATACGATCCCCTGTGCTAGCGCATGGGCCTCAATGCTTTTCAGAATTCACAGGGCTTGTCCTCTCATTTTCCCAAGCCAAAGGGCCATTCGCAGACGAAAACAACACGATGACTATTGGTGCTACGATCAGTTGGAATTATTCTGACATCCATCACGTCTCTTCAATAGCCGGCGGGGTGTTAACATTGCCTGAACCACTCAAATCTAGTAAAGCACATTACTTTCCTCCGCAAAATACCAGCAGGGGTTTAAGGGTACGCTTACCAGCTTGGTGGCGTAGCCGTTACTTCAATGGCAAGAAACACAAGGAACTGGTCATGTGGACTGGTGCTGTTACGTGTCGAATGGGTCTGCGCCTTGTTACATGGTCTGTATCCGACTTGTTCCAGAAACCCATTCCGGCAGCAACTGGGGAAAACGCCGTTTTGAAAGACTAGTGAACTTCACGGCGCCAATCCTCCTCTACCCCAAAGACTATGAAGAGTGGCCCAATGATATTTTATATCAAGAACTATACCTCCGAACTCAATGGCAAGATACTGACCTCTTCTGGCCCCAAAACCCTACTGGAAACCTGCTGGGACCTCCCTCAGATAAAGTGAAGTTGGTACTTGTGTTTTCTCCAGTTGGGGACTCGGATGCCATGTTCGACATCGTATCAAGTCTGCCCTTTGTGAAGTTGGCACCTCAGAAACTGCCAACCAGCAAGGGATATATTACCAAGTTTGTTATAAGTCTTCCCAGTCAACACGCTCTCGACAAAGCTTTCGTTCAGGTTAACATCAAGACCACTGCAAAGGAGCTTGCAGATCATGCACCTAAATGGCTCTGTACAACACTCAGCATGTCATTCTTCAATCGTTCCTATGATCTTGGTTGTACAATACAAGAAGGCGTGTTTTCTCAAAACGACTCGGGAAACAGCCAACCTCCTGCTGAGTTTAATATATTCTCTTCACCCCTAGGATATTTCTCAGGTCCGTGTAATGCCATGATATGGAGCAGAAATCTGGGGCGCACAATTCTAGCAAAGTTCAAATGCATGGACTACGACAACCAGCGCAAACACGTCTTGCAGCTTGACGTCTCCCAACCTAAAACACCAATCCGTTCGACTTGAGCATCAGCCACACGCGATATTCTCGAACGCAACAGAACGAAACGGAACTGTATCCATCCACCCCAAATCTGAGATTCGACGCATCGATCTCAGATCCCTGATCCCTCGCCGCTTATTTACCTACCTACACTACACATTCATCTCGATCCGAAAGTAAAATACCTCTTTCATCTGCGTCCCGACGAATGTGTTACCCACGGCCGAAGATCTTTTCCATATCGTTGGAAGACAGCAATTTTGGCGCTAGAGAAGGTGTCCTGAAATGGGTTACGGAACGGATGGCTGCATCCCCACCCGAGGTCTTGTCCTGCTTGATCGTGTTGAAACACAAGAGATCTGACCTAATCGAGATTTGGTAGGCTGGAGGGTACGGCAGGTGGGAGGATGCAGGTGGTTGCCGGTGGGGGTTTGAGATGCATTACGGACGTAGGGTTGGCTTGAAAGGGTCGGATCCTGGGAAGTATATATGCCTTTCACAAGCCTTCACTTTCGAGTATCTGAAAGTGTTAGAATCTTGGAGGTTGATATTGCAGGTCTAATCTGTTTGTTAATGTACTCTATGCTACGAAATGGGTGGTCGCCGCCATCTAAGCAGTCAGGTTGTGATTGTCAGGGGTTGAAGGCACAAAATCCACGGCTCTGGGCTGGCAAGTTGGATTGAAAGTCTCAAGCTGACTTCTGGGATATCAATGTCTTCCCACAGAATGCGCACTAAGCCTGGTATTGTGCTTTGTGTTAAACACATCCCTGTGTTCCATCCCGCCAACCCCAGATGCATGTCTCACCGTCTCACTCCTTGGCTTAGTACTTGGTGGTGGTGGCGTTCTGAGCCACACACCAACTTTCAAGGCCAGTTAAACATCTTGCTTGTCCGTTTGCACTTTTGATCAAAAGAAGTATGATCGTCACCACAACGCCTTTGTCTTTGTTTGCTCTTGGTTCCTTTCCATGGGTTATGGAATGGCAGTTGAGAGAGTGCGCAGAGGTTCCGTTTACTATTACTACAAAACATGTCAGTGAATACCTGCAGCACTCGAACTCTATTTTGTACAAATGCCATATATTTAGTGTGAGTTCTGCTGAGTAACACTACTCAGACGCAAGATACCGCAACGAAGACTTCGTCATGTCCAGGCTACACAGATCTCTCTTCTCAGTCTCGAAGACCTGCATTCAAATGCAGAGAGGTAACCTCGAAATAAAATGAGAAAGATGACAAGTGAATGGCAGCTGGTAATACGCAGATTCGGACAGCCATGCATTCCGGAAGGATATGAATGCATCCGCACCCGATCTGGCTCGGCCGCTGCCGCCGATGGCACGAGTCTCTCACATCCCTGGGTTCCGAGTTGGTGATAAGTCCAGTTTTTCTTTACCACTTGTGTGCATATTAATGGGCTGTTTGTCCTCTTCCAGCTTCGTTCGATCCCCCAGACAAGTTCCTTGACCAGGAAGTCTGTCGTTCGTTTAATGTACTCGGCTACCGCGCTGTTCATGGCATGCCATCTTCGGAAGTTTCGGAGTCATTGATGAACGAGGCCTCAGTTAGAGATAACGTCATCATGGATCGCTGCTACTGCGCAAACTACTATGTAAGTCAAGCTGACAAGACAGAACATTCTCTCCTTGACCAAGATAAGCTGACAAAGGTCCTCCCATATAGTGCTCTATCCAATGCCGCAATCGCGTCAGCGAGTTCGGGCAAAGGTGTAAACTCTGCACCGTGAGTCTTCTACATATTTCCATAGCCCCTCCACCCACTGCTATCAAATAAAGGACAACTATAATAACATAACTTAGATCCTCGGAAGCGGCTCTTCCCTCAGCCCCGGGCTTCTCCCAGATAACTGTCTCTGGGCGCCACCGCCATCACAAAGGGAGTTTGAGGGGTGTCGTCAAGAGGAGCGCAGAGGGTCTTTACCCGGACTCGGGGCATGGCCCTTGCCTTGGAGCTTGGGGAGATTGACGCTATCGTTTTCGAGTCTGAGGGGCAAGGCTTGATAACAAGGAGAAGGGAAAGGGGGGATATATAGGGAGCTGGCCAAACAAAAGGAGGGAAGATGGATGAGTTGATGACTGACAATATGATACCCTGTGATGATATTGGTAATAATAAATACGATGGTAATGGATAGAATCTTTTTTTTTTTTCGTTTACTGTTTCACAGCCTATGATGTTTTGAAATCCCGTGACCAGCCAAACTACCATCTTGTTCCATGCAATAGATATCATGTGCAGCATGTCCTTCAATACCTCATCCACACCGAGGCTAACACAATTCCAGAGCAGCCGTCCCTTAGCTCTACTTACGCCGGGCACTGAACTCCTTAGGAATTGCCTCTGGACCGGCTCCAGTCTCGGCAATGGCCACCTAAAAGAATTCCACTTGTTAGGCACCTAGCTTTCTTTTCCCCAGAAGGGCCTGAATCCAAGGGCACACTTACCAAACTAGCCACTTTATCGTCCTCCAACCCAGAAATATCATATTCCGTCACTCCATCCGCCAACACCAACGTATCCGGCTTCACCGTTTCGGTACAATTCCCCTCCGATCCCAAATCTCCAACAGCCCGTCCCTTCACCCGCTTCAACAACTCATACCTCGATCCCGTATACCCCCTCCTTCCCGCAGGCGTCATGCACACCGAGGTATCCCCCCGCAGCTCAGCCAGCCAGGTAGGGCCGACACACCCGCCGCCCGTGAAGCCGGTCGCGCTGATGTGCTGGTTGCTGCGGACGTTGGCATAGCCGACGGAGGCGTGCTGGTTGTTGCCGGTACTGCAGCAGGTGCCGGCGGGGAGGTTGCTGTAGATGAGGTGCGAGCCAACGCAGTGCGTGCCGGTTTTGTAGAAGCGCACGTCGATGGCGGTGGCGAGGGGGATGATGGTGGTGAGAAGTGTCAGTGGGAGCTGCATTTTGAAGCTAGAGGAAGAGTTCAGGTTGAGCCTTGGAAGAGGTCTGTAAGAGCTTGTGAGATGTTCACTGATGTTTGAATGCTTGAGGAGTTTGGACTCATCTCGTTGGGGACTCAACAAGGGTTATTTATATGCACATGAGACCGGCGAGCAGATGGTGGGTTCTCGTTGATGATCCGCCATGGCGAAGGCTTCAATATGGTCCTTCGATTCCTTCAATTCCTACAATTTCCAGACGTTATCAATAGGCGGAGCGGAATCAACTTCATTTGTCACAGCATAAACTTGGTTGAGCATGCTTGTTTAATTCTCAAGACTATTTTTAGTGAGAAGGAATCGGTTGCTACAGGAGAACCGATTGGTAAGGCTGCAAATTCGGCCCTACCCATAGCTGAAATTGCTAAATCGTATGAACTGGAGAAAGACGGACCCATTATGACATATTTCAAAAGGAGGAATGCATGATAGTCGAGACGTCATCCGGGAAGGAGCAATTTTTCTTAACAATTTTTGGTTGTCGTTCGGCTGCTGCCTTTGGATCTCGATCTTGGTTGGGGACCAAACGCGGCTCGCGGTCAGGGGGTAGCTTGCCGTAGCTAAGGCGGGAATGCAGCATTTCCGCTCTTAATGCAACCTTAAAAACTTAACGACCTTGAAAAAAATATACGGTAAATAGAACCAAAGAAACATGTGAGTAAACATGAAGACGGCAACGGTCCGGAGATAGCGATTGCATAGTGATTGACGGAAAATCATCCGAGTAACATGTGGCGGTGTCGGGTTGAGCATCACTAAACCAGCAAGGTTGCTTGGGAGGCTAAACCAGCCAATACCTGGTTAAGATGAACGGTCGGAAGATCCATTCCAGACAGCAAGGCGCGATCCATTAGGCAACAGCTTTCGGTATTTGCGGACCGTCACTTGGTTAAGTTTACCACCAGGTCTTGTAATCTCTCGGAGTCCTGTCTGAGTTGGCGATAGCAATGTCCTTGTAAGCACATAGGACGTTCCAGCACGAGAGAGAGGAGCATAGCAACGCACGTAGAGACTTTCATGTCCCGTTGTTCTAAAGGGGGAAAAGTCAAGGCTAGCTTCTGTCAATCGTTAATATGAGGACGTGACAGTGCGCGGTTGTTGCTTGCTGGACGAGAGTTTCGCTGACTATCACCTTCCACCAAGAATCTTGGCTTTCGTGCCGAAGAGAAAAATCATTTGCAAAGAGAGCCGTCTGAAAGAGTGAGGGTATCAGCTATATCAGAAAGTCTATGAGATTCTTGCTGAGAGTAGTTGTTTCTGTGTCTCTACTTGCGGCGGGCCTCGAACTGTTTCTAAGATTTCCTCTGGCCCAGCTTCAGTCTCTGTATTAGTCATCCAAATTGACCACGATAGTTAGCGTCTGGCCTATGTAAACATAGCAACACGATGATTATGATGATGATGATGATGATAATCATAGTGTTGATGAGGAGCACAAACGAATTTAACAAGCTTATCCTTCTCCAACCAACAATATCATACGCCGTAACCCCATCCGATAGCACGAGCATATCCAACTTAACAGTCTTTGTACAATTCCTCCTTTCCACCACTTCAGTCTTCCCTGGATACAGCCGAGACTCCTCTCCTTAGCTTAACCCGACTCCCAAACGTCATATGCAATCTTCGTGATTGGCAGAATAGAATGACATCCATCTACGGGCGTGGAGTTGACATACATGAAAAATAGAGAATGGGAACAGCCGACCTCGTCGTACCCCGTGATTGCCTGGAATGTTGACGTAGGCGAAGGAGGTGTTCACAAGGTCGCCGGCAGGCAATGGATGTGCGTCAGTGGCGGAAGAAAGGCCGAGGAAGAGGGGGAGGAGGGTTAGGAAATGCGTCTTTTGTGTGAAGAAAAGTGTAGAGGATTGGAGAGATGTGGTGCAGTGCTGGCATACAGTCAAAAGGTTTGGTCGAACCTCTAGAAGTCTCACTAAACATTCATGTACACATAAGAATGTCTAACATACTTTTTCGGGAAGTATCGGCACAATTCTTCCACTCCTTCCAGCTTCTATCACTATTTATCCATGAGCAAAATGTGCGAGAAGATGGAATTTGTAATCTCGGGCTGTGACTCCGAACGTCCCTACATTTGACAATATCAGTGTAAAAGTTGTTGCCTAAGGCAGCATTTGGTCAAGAGTTAGATGCGATCTTCAGTAATGACGGATATACGGCTGACGAGAAACACTGCTCTCCGCTCTTGACGCAACCGTAGTGCGGGCTTCGCCAAGGAGGGGATTTCGAAGACAAGCAAAGTTACGTGTTATGAAAATTACAGTCTACGAGAGATAGTCGCCATACTGTTGCTATTAGGATGAGCAGAATATCGCATTTTCCAATGGGAGATGCTGCTCGAAACGAGGGAGGACTTGCGGTGCAAGGGGGAGTCCAGGGGAAGCAAACAGCTGAGCGCTCTATGTCAGAGACCAGCACCAACCTCTTGGCACCGTTTTTTCTAGACTAAAAAGCGAATTTTTTCGTTAACTTTTCTCTCTAGGCATAATGATGTCTTATCTCAAAAAAAAGGTGTCTGGTTGACCGTCTCGCCCATTGGTTCAGGGGCAAGGGGTTTTGGGTTTTGTTTAGCTCGCCGGTTGAACGGGCAATAATCTTATCGATAAGCTTACAGTGATGCCAAGGCCTCAATTTCTGGGAACCGGCGCTGGTCGCAAACAGCTCCAGCTTCACCTGCGCTTCGCTTTCAGCACCACAACCATCGCCGTTGTCGCGATCGCCATCAACTTTCTCGCAAACCTAAATTACAACCAGAAACCCTACAAATTTGACCCTTAATCTCCAGCGATCCCTTTACGATAACACTTACAACGCCGCGACAACAGCTACAATGTCCAAACCCGACACCCACCGCGCCGACGAGCGGCGCTTCCTCGACGAGCGCGGCTCGTCCGGCCCGCTCGCCCCCAACGGCCTCAACCCCGCCACAATTATGGAAAAGGCGGTCCGCGAGCGAATAGTCGAGTCTTACTTCTGGAAAGAGCAATGTTTTGGCGTCAACGAGGCAGACATCGTCGACCGGGTCGTCGAGCATGTCCGCTTTGTTGGGGGCGTGACGGGTGTCACGCAGAAACCCAGTCCATTTTTGTGCCTAGCGTTTAAGTTATTACAACTCGCGCCTGGGGATGATATTCTAAAAGAGTATTTGTACTTCGGCGGGGAGAAGTTCAAGTACCTCCGCGCGCTGGCAGCGTTTTACATCCGGCTAACGAGACCAGATAAGGAGGTGTACACGTTGCTGGAGCCGTTTTTGGAGGATCGGAGGAAGTTGCGGAGAAAAGGGAAGAATGGGACGAGCTTGACGTATATGGATGAGTTCATTGATGATCTGTTGACGAAGGATCGAGTTTGTTCGACGAGTTTGTGGAAGATGAGGAGGAGGGATATACTGGAGGATCTGGACCTTTTAGAGCCGAGGGTTAGTCCGTTGGGGAGTTTGGAGGATATTCTCGAGGAGGAGGAACAAGCAGCGAAGAATGAGGATGGGGAGAGGCGTGAAAGTGGGTCGGTTAGGGAGAGATCCAGGTCCAGGTCCTGGTCGAGATCTAGGTCAAGGTCAAGGTCGAGGTCACGATCGCCGTCAAGGTCTCGCTCACCGGTACGATCTAGGTCACCATTACGGTCAAGGTCGTCATCTCGGTCGCGAGACAGGTCTGATCACGATAGGATGGACGTCGATAAGCCGGACAGGAGTCCTTGAGCAATTTGGCTACTCGGCATAAGCCACCACGACAAGTGGCCGAGCGCAGCGCCATGCCAAGTAGCAGGCCAGACACCATGTCTTAACCACAATCCCGTACTCGACGACCGAGCAGTTGGCATTGAATGGCAACCTTCAAAACTCAGGTGTGATACTTTTCATATGGGCTAGAACCGCCCAGCTCCTATGAATAGTCTAAGGAGTATAAGAACATGTTCCAGATCTCTCAAAGCTATTTTCAGCGGCCAGAAAAGGCCGTTGTCAGCCAGCCCAGAGGAGGCGGCTTCACCTTCACGATCATCATCTTTGATGATACGCCAACAACAATGTACCTAATCTTCCATACCTTAAGCCCATTTCGGGTCCATAATACAGTATATATAGTACATAAAGAAATATGTACATGCCCATGTAATCCTACCAGGGTATCTGACCATCCATCTACACATTCACCTCTCGTGCATTACCCTCTCAAAATTTCCCTGATCACCTCCGCCACAGCCAGCAACCTCGCATCATCCCAATACTGCCCAATCAACTGCAACCCCGCCGTCTTCCCTTCTCCTTCCCCCTCTACAGGCATGGGCACGCTAGCCGCCGGCAACCCCGCCAAACTCGCTGGTACGGTAAACACATCATTAACATACTCATCCACCGGACTCCCGCCCTCCATGACCTCCCCCAGTGTAGGCGCCAACGTCGGTGCCGTGGGACAGAGTAGGAAGTCGACCTCTTCTGGTCCCCATTTATCTTCCATGATGGTGCCCTCAGGTAGGTCAGAGAGATCGAACACCTGCTGGTCGGGATCAACCAGCGGGTTGGGAAGCGCAAACACCCGATCAAAGTCCCGCCGTACCAACCTTCTCACTCGCTGGGCTTGTAAGAAATAGTTATCCATTGCCTTTGAGCTGAGTGTGTATGCCCCCAGCAGGATACGTCTCCTCACCTCGGGACCAAAACCTTTGCCTCGTGACGACGCATATAATACACCATCGGCAGCGGCGTCGTTCTCGACGGAAGTGTCTCTCACACCGTACCGGATACCGTCATATTTGGCAAGGTTGGAGGACGCTTCCGCGGGCGCGATGACATAATATGCGGAGAGGGCGTGCCGGGTCGAGGGGAGGGAGACCGGGATGATGCGAGCGGAAAAGTGAGACTGGAGAAGGGAGGCCGCGCGGGACCAGGCGTCACGGATGGTGGGGGAAAGTTCGTGGATGTTATATTCTAGAGGGAGGCCTAGGCGTAGGCCGTTCAGTATTGAGGGGTCGGGGGACTGGGACGGAGAGTAGAACTGTCTCGAGCGGGCGCAGCGCTTCCTCGCGGAAGGAGTTAAACTAGTCGGATCGTTTGGATCATGCTCAGCCCAAAGCCCTTGCGTCGTTCCATCCCCAACGATGAGTTCCCTAATCGGGCGTACCTCCCTCGCCAAAAAGCCAACCGTATCCAAGGAATTGGCGTACGGCACCACCCCAAACCGCGAAAGCATCCCATAGCTAGGCTTGAACCCCACCACGCCACAATACGCAGCCGGCAACCGCACAGAGCCGCCTGTATCTGTCCCCAGCGCGACATCGGCTTCGCCCAACAACACGGACACTGCGCTGCCGCCGGAGGAACCACCCGCCGATCTCAACGCCTTCACATCCCCCGCTAATTGTTCTGGTGAGTCCTGCGCGACCGCCCCAAAAGCAGAGTGCACGCTATGACTCCCCATGCCGAACTCATCCAGATTAGTCTTCCCCACGACACGCCCGCCTCTTGCCCGCAATTGTGAGACGATGGTTGCTTCAAACGGGGAGCGGTAGTTGGATAGGAATGGCGAGCCGCAGGTTGTGGTGGTGTGTCCGTCGGCCGTGGCGATATTGTCTTTTACGGCGAGGGTGAAGCGTGTGGGTGAGTGTGGTGAAGGGATAGCATCTTTGGGGACTAATGGGAGTTAGTGAGGGTTGATTGAGGTTGGTTGAGAGAAGGGGGGATAGAAGGGAGGGTATGCCTTCGGAGATGAAATGGTTCAGCAGCCGGCGCTGCTGGGCTGAGAAGGCCGCATGACGCCAGGGGAGGCTGCTGGGCCTGCTTCTGGCTAGCATGGACGTGACGTTTTTTTTTTTTTTTGGGGTGGGAGGGGGCGCGGTTGAGTCTGGTGAGGCTGGTGATGGTGTTGGAAGTTGAGTGGGTTGCGATGATGCACGATATCGATAAGATGTGGATCTTGCCCAAATATAAGGGTTTGGGTCATTATCGATAGTAATTCTTTATCTTATCATTTTGCGATGACATCACCGATGTAACGCTGTGCAACCTCAACTTCCCTTGAGGGCCTGCAATGAGGCGAAGCCTGGAAAGTCCCAAAAGTCCCTTGCAGCTCTGTGCCGATGCAGCCGCAGTCGGATGGAAAGGACCCTCCGAAATCCATTGGACTTCAGCCGGACATGTGACGGTGCCCAGAATGTGAGCACTTTTCTCTGCGATGCCACGGCCGGCGATAACGACGACGACGTTGCCTGGAATACTCGGTAAAGGCATCACTCCCCGTCTACTTTGTCTTTCAACTCGAGTATATCTAAGCCATCACCCTCTACTACCCCGCCATTTCCAGGCATATAACCCCTCTTTGTGTCTCCCATATCTCGACTCCCCCACACGACGAAGTTTCTCCTCATCCCCCAGCCATCGAAACCCATCTCGTTATACAAGAGGTCGCACAAACAGAGCAATTGTCATATTTACCGCCGCCCTAGCTACTCTGGTAACCGTCCAGCTCAGTAGTAAGATCCCTGCGCTACAAGGAGCCATGCCTTCGAAGCTGGTACCCACCAACCCGGAGGAGGTGATGGTCATCCGGGATGTCACACCCAATGTTGTGACGCTGTCTGTGCCGTTTGCCAGGTTTGGGAAGGTCCCTATTGGAGGGAGGGCGACGATTGGTATATCCCCTTCTTAAAATCAACCATGCCCATTTCCTAGCCCCTGTGAATGATAATATACCTTGCATGAACCTACCCTAACGCAACTATTAGTCCGTTTGACCTCCGGAGCCCTGGCAATCTTCTCCCCCGTTGCGTTAACCCTTACCGTGCGCGCGAAACTCTCTTCCCTAGGCAACAACGTGCGCTACCTCATCGCCCCGGACATTGAGCACCACCTGTTCCTGTCAGAATGGAAGTCCGCCTTCCCCGACGCAAAGCTCATAGGCCCGGAGGGCCTTCCCGAAAAACGCGCCAAGGCACATGCCGCTGGGAGTGAGATGATCGGGAATGAGGAATTTGATGCCATAGTGACGAGGGAGAATTATCTGAATGTGTTGGGGGAGTTTGGGGAGGATTTCGCCACCGATTTTGACATGGAATACGTCTCCGCACATCCGAACCGTGAACTAGTCTTCTACTTCCGTCCCGACCGCGTGCTCATTCAAGCCGATTTATTTTTTAACCTGCCCGCCACAGAACAGTATTCCCGCGTCCCCGAGTCGGAAAAACCCTCCCCTGGTTTATTGACAAGAATGTTTACCTCCCTCCAGACGCCAGGGAGCGGCAATCCGTTGGGGATGAAGAGGTTCATGTGGTATCTAGTGAGTAATAGCAGGGGGGATAGGGAGGCGTTTAATGAGAGTGTGAGGCGGATTGGAGAGTGGGACTTTGAGGTTGTGGTGCCGTGCCATGGGGAGACAGTTGTACAGGGGGGCAAGGAGTTGTTTGAGCGGGTGTTTGAGTGGCATTTGAAGGCGGCGAGGGAGAAGGGAAAATTTTGATTTGGGGGAAAAAGGGGAGGGGGGAATTCTGGTTTGAGGAAGAGCTGGGGTTCTGTGGACTTTGGACTAGGGTTGGGTTTTTGTTAGTTGAGATCTGGGTGTTTGTTTAATTAACTGGGAATCGTTTTTGTTTACATTGGGATAGGGTTTGAAATCAAACACAACTCTATTACTTAAGTCTACTTTAGTATCCTAACCCCGAAAGCGACAGAAGAACACAAAACTGCTTGCCTCACGTATCTATCTCCACACTCTTAAAACAAATAAAATTACACATCCTTAACCCACCGTCCAAGCTTAATCACGAACTCCTCGCCTTCCCACCCCAGCAACCTCGCTACCCCGTGAGCACTACCAAAAATTACCCACTTCGCCCCCTGCTCGACCTTCGCCCACACCGGCTCCACGACCAATCGATAATCCACGCTCACCGGAGACCACGCCGCATAGTAGTCTTTCCCCCATCCTCCCACGGCCCTCTCCCCGTCGGCAGCGACCCTTGTGCCCGTGGAGTACACACCCCGTGCTAACTCGGCTAGGTACGCCCCGCGCCAGTCGTTCGATTGTAGCCAGATCCGCCGTTCCGAGAGGAGGGCGAGGTAGGTTAGCATGGTGAAGAGGAAGAAAAAGGTGAGCAACGAGAGAACCAGCCCCCCCGGGGTGGGCATTCGTGAAAACGGAACACGGAAGCGGTTAAACCTCGCAAGTCGGCCTTGTCGAAGAGCTCGCAGATGCATCTCTTTCGTGTTCCTCAGCGCCGCCCACAGCGACGCTACCGTAGGTGGCGTCCCCAACTCCACAAGCCTCTGCTGCGCCCGGAGCGCAGCAGCCAACGTCACCGGCACGGGTCCGCCTCCTCGTCGACGACGACGATCGCGACGCATCAGCATCAGCATCCGCACGGACGTGCTAAACCCCCGGAAGACAAACGCCCGCCCGCACGCAAGGACGTGTCTTGCTGTCAGGAAGACTATCTCACCAAGAAAGTAGGGAACTTGGATGAAGGCTGCGCCCAGCAAGAAGAGGATGGTCTTCCACATGTGGTACGGATTGTAGAGGAGCAGGAGGATCAGCCAAAGAGTGGAGGTGAGGAGGTGGCAGATCAGGGTTGCCAGTGAGGAAGAGGAGAGGATCGGGCCGTGGCCGTGGTAGCTGTGGCAGGTATGGGGGGGTACGCCGAAGAGGAGGGGGGTCGGCTGGTACCGGGGGGGACCGCCTAGGGGGAGGGTGTGGAAAGGGAGGTCTTGATGGCCTGGGTCGGGGTTTTCGCCTTGCCAAGCTTGCAGGGCTTCTTGTTGACCTTGTTCTTGAGTCTGGCCTTGCTGTTGACCTTGCTGAGTTTGTTGAGGCCGTTCTGGGTTCTCTTCCTGTTGCTGCCCCTGATCCTTCCTGAGGGCCGCAACCCCCGGGGCAACAAGCAACCTCTCTGGCCCATTCGGCACGGCATTACTGACACAGCAGCCCATCGACACAGCAGCGAAGAACCTTTGCGGCCAGAATGCCCTGACCAAGCTGCAGAAACACAGTCCTTCCGCATGTCCAGCTGGGGCACTCGCCTGCAACCGCGCCAACGTATCCGTCAACAAGGCCTCACACCTCCTCTTCGCCTCAACTTCCCTCTCCTCAAGCCACATCTTCACCCTCTCCTCATGCGGAGGCCCCAGAAGCGCCAGCATCGCCCAATACACCTGCTTCTGCCTCCTAATCTTTGCTTCCCTCCGCTGCAGACTATACCACAAATCTCCTTTCATCCTCCCCTCCCTCAACCGTCCCCTCAGCGCAGCCTCCTCCAACACAGCAATCTCACTTTCCAACCTCTGCGGCCGTGCCTCAACCTCCCTCATAGCCCTCTTCACTCTCTCAACCTGCAGCCTCAGCTCCTGAATCATCCCCCTTATCTCGGCCCTCTTCCTCCTAAACCCTCCATCCCCCGACACCCCCTCAATCCTCCTCAGCACCTCCTCTTTATCGTACCAAATCATCCTCTCATCCATCAGGCCTCCCTCTTCAATAAACGCCCCGACGGTCAGATACAAATCCTGCATGCGGCCTTTGCTCAGGCGCATGGAGGTGTGCGATTCCCAGGCGAGGAGGTACTCATGCATGAGGGCATTTTGGCGTTGGCTGAGTTTGCGGAGGGCAGAGAGTTCGTTCTCGACTTTTTGCAGGAGGTGTCGGTCATGGAGGAGGAATTTGTGGATTGCTCGGCGTTCTTGGGAGAGGAGCAAGGAGAAGTGGACGTCTTGTTGGTCGAGGAGAGCGTTGAGGGCAAGGAGAGGGGGTGAAAGGTCGGCTGATTTGGGATCGGCTTGCTCCTGAGCTTGAGGAGAGTCTTGGGCTTTTTCAGGCTGATCTTGAGGCTGCTCCTGAGCCTGGCCTTGAGCTTGTCCCTGAGCTTGCGGCTGCCCCTGAGGCTCCTCATCCCTAACCTCCAAACTCTTCTCCCTCAGCTTCCGCATAAACTCGACAATGGCCTGCTCAGCCGGTGTATGAGGATCAATACCCCTGAGATCAGCCACAACCTCTTCGAGCTTCTCAACCCCCCTCAAAATAGCCTGAAACACACCCACACGAGGTGCCTTCTGCCGAATCTCCCTTCCAACTCTCCTGGCCTCCTCCAGCGCCTTAATAGCCACATCATCCGCATCCACAATCTCCCTCCACAACCAATCCCTCTCCTCATAAACCGGATCCGTCGCCAGCTTTGTGAGCACCCTCTCCTGATGATGCCCTGGGAAAGCCAACTCCCGCAACATCCTCCCTGCCTCAGTGATCTTCTCCCTCAAAAACTCCTCATGATCCCTCAGCTTCTTATGCATTCTCTCAACCCACTCCTTCTGATACCGAAAATTTTGCTCCGCCTCGCCCTGCCTCGTCCACACATCCTCCAGCGTCTCCCCCAACTGCTTCACCACATCCTGTAAATTCCGGTCCACATACAGCCAGTGACTCCGATATCGATTCGTCACCTGCAACCCAGCGAACTCATCCAAATGCGGCAGCACCATCTCCATAAACTGCTCGCGCATCGACGACAAAAGCTCAATCTTCCCTTTCACCTTCTCCAGAGCCTCGTTCGTCTTCCGAAACAACCCCTCCTGCAACCCGGCATACCGGCTCGCCTCCTTCTGCATGTACTGCACCGCCAGCAGGGCATCGTTCCGGTCGGCAAAGCTCACAAATTCCCCTGGCACGCCCTGCTTTGCCTCGCCCCAGGTCGCGTACATCATGTCTTCGACCCAGGCCAGGAACGTGCGTCTGCATTCTTGGTACCGATCGAGATCGTGGCTGGATACGACGAGCATGTCGGCCAGTCGTTGGCGGAGCTCGCGTTCTTTGCGCTTCCAGTCACGGATTTGCGTAGCTAGCTGGTCTCGCTCCCGCTTGTACCGCACCAGATTGCTTTGGCGGCCGCGAGCGGCTTCTTCGTAGCGCCGGCGGAGGTCGGCAATCTTTTTCGCATCTTGCTCCTGTCGTGTCTTGGCTTGATCACGCACGGCAGCTAGCTCGTGCTTTGTCTTGCGCAACTCGTCTTGGACAGATTGCAACTGGTCCTCCAACTCCCGTATCCGCACGGCATGCTCCTGCTCAAGCTGAGCCTGCGTCATCTGCGTAGCCGAAGAAACAGCCTGTTGTGCAGAGAGCTTCGCCTTTCTTAGCTGCGTCCGTAACGAAGCAATCGTCAACTGGAGGTGCTTAATCTCCGCGCGATTCGTAGTAGTCTGTATCCCCAGCGCATCGATCGCCTCAACAAGCTTCTTTACCCTATTCGCCAGCACTTTGTCCCTCGCCGTAATATTCACGTCCTCCTCCCTCACCGGCAGTTCCCC